ATCCAATTCAAAAACACAAATATCATCAAATATCATAAATCCAACCTTTTTGTAGTTTTTTCTATCGTTTTGGGACTTCCTGTACAACTCCCTCCGTTCGCAGCGGATCGGCGGTCAAAGGGTGGCAATGATTAGAATATCAGAATGATCATCATCAACGACCTATTCATCTCTTAAACTCCGGATGAATAACCCCCTGGGCTCACTTTAGTAGCAGGTTATCATAGATTATCACCTCTTGGGGAGAACTCCCCCCAAAAGAACAAACCAGGGTTTGTCAATCCAGGGTTGACATTATCTTGGTTGATGCGAACTCTTTGCTTTGTTGGCTGAACCCTCTGTGACACCCATGGTGAGGCTCTTTTCTTCACATTGGCACGAGCTAGAGGATGCACCACTGCAGTTGCGACCAGCAATACTTTTGCGCACAGTGATTGAAGCCAACGTGAGGCATCTCGGGGCTGTAGGTTGGCTGGGATCATACAGGGTACCACAGTATGGCAACACCTGAATCGATAAAAACAAAATCTAATTCCAAAATAGCCGCAGCGGTAAATTACTTTTCTATCTTTTTGATTCTTTGGTAGTAAAGTGATAATTTTTGGAGGATTTGGTTACCCAAGAGGCCAGTCCGCCGGCACTGCAGTGTCTGCAACAGCATTGAAAAGCTGCCTGACTTAGGCGATCGGGGACTATTGGAAAACGACATAAGATACAGTCCTATTAAAATAATTTTCTCGGTGCATGAAACGCAGCCACAAATGGCGGAGTCCGGGTTTCATGAGCCGCGTTTCGGCGCAGTCTTCGCTTCAAAACTGCTTGTCCATATTTCTCGATTATCACATATCATAATTATATATTATATATATAATATATATATATGTATAGATCAGATGGTGTGGTTTTCCAAAGTGTCCTGGATCCCCCATGGAATCATGGAATCCATCAAAAGGTGTGACGCCGCTTATGGCACACATTGGCTCTTTGTACAACTGCGTGCTTGTTGCACCACATAGTTTTTGACCCGATGTTGGTGTTCCAAGCAACTTTGAACCATTGGACAATTATGGATAATTGTTGGATGCACACTTCACAGTCCTTTCCTATCGCATCATTCTGTCCTGCGGGGCTAGGATGATCGGGCATGACACACTTTGGCGTCCAAGCCCATCAGGAAGAAATGAAACACCGCAATCGCGTTTACATGGACCATCATGGACCATCATGGACCTCATTGTATCTCATTGACATCTGGTGCCACCTTGGAGTCATCTTTGCTCCAATAAATTGTGGTCTATCTTCCTTTCTCAGACAATTTTGGGTCTAAGAGCAAACTGGGCCGCAATAATCCTCACAAAAGCAACGAGATCTCTCTGCCCTGGCTCCATCTCGGTCGGGGCCGTGGGGCACTGTGGGGCATTTGGAAAAATGATGCATTCAGCCCTATTAACAGGATGCATTCAGCATCATTCAGCCAATGTCGCCTTAGAGCCACCATCCTCTGATTCAGCACTTGCATACACCTTTATATCCTTTATACAACATGTTCATACATGTTCAATCATGTTCATCAGTATTGTGCACCTGTTTCTTTTGGCTAAACGGCTAAACTGCTTCTCCAAGGATTTTCCATCCTTTCCCGCCTCAAAGTCTGAAGTCCTTCACCTTCAGCGACGGCAACGTCAGCTTTGGGATATGGCTGTCGTGCCTGCCGATGGCTGGCCGCAGCCAAGGATGCCATAGGCCCACACTGGATTCACTGATCAACATCTCAAAACAATTGAAGGCATTCCACTCTGCAGAAGACTTAAGATACTTGATGCCGATGCCTTTATACACCTTTCATATCTTTGATCTAGTTTTCAACCCTGTACAAGAACAGTCACAGTGCATTCATCGGTGCACGGGGCAGGCGACAAGGTGATGGGATTGTCGCTCCTGCCATGATGGGCCCCTAACTGTTACTGACTACCTTGGATTGAGACCCCGGTTGGTGAGAATGGGTGGGTCCAGTGGGTCCATTGTGCTCCATTTCAACGGCATCACTTTGAATTCATCAGCCACAGGGCCGATCCTGGAATGAGTTGATTCAAGGACCTTTGATGGTGAAAGATGGCCTCCCCATCTAACCGAACACACAGCTGAATGGCACGGCTGGCAAACGTAGCACAAGGAACAGCAACCGGCGCCCCAGGAAGCACATTAGCCCATTTGTCTTCCTGTCATCCACTTGGGGGCGGACCAATGACTGGTCCCTCGCAACGCACCATGAGTGGGTTGGCCTCAAGGCGCTGCAAGTTGCTCCAATTGGCTGTCAGCCGGATGGTCCGTGTGGAATCTCCTTGCACTACATGTGTTTGTTTCCAGCGGCGGCCCAGTGCGCGTGGCGACCACTCGCACGTGCCATCTTGGGCCACATGTGTTCAGTTCGGTGATCCACAGAATATATCCATGGAAAATCACCTGGGCCCCACACCCGGCCAACGGTGTGCAGAGTGTCATACACTCCGTGGGTAGAGCGGTCTAAAAGGGGCTGGTGATGGCTGGTGATCTGCTTGATCGCTTGCTTCCAGCGCTTCCGGCTTGACCTTGGACAGTGGACATCTCCCCACCTTCAAAGCCTGCCCTGTGGTTGGCTCCAGAAGCATCTGGCAGCTGTCAGCTTTGGGAGGAGGCCATCCCAAGGTTGCAGGATCCTGCAGAGCCAAGGGCGAAGGTGCTGGTTGGGACGGGATCCTCTTGTTGCATGGACTGTAGATACTTGGAACTACACACATATCTTAAAATATATAGTATATTATAGTATCATAATGTCATAGATGCAGATAGAATATATAGAGGATTTAAAACCACTTATTGAAAATCACAGGCTGAGACCGTCCTGCTGCTTGGAATTTGGCGACAGCCACGCGCGGCCGGGAACCAAGTCTGGCTCCTGACCCAGACAATGGAAACTACCAGCCCAAAATATCCCAAAATAGCAACATTGTAACATTCTCGACTAATTAGTTTGACAGTGATTTACTTTTGGGTAGCTTGGTGGAATAGAAGAACAATGAAGAACATTTGCTTCATATTTGATGTTCATAGCTGCTAGCACTTGCCAAAAATCTCTGCAGGACATCATATTTTCTCTGCAGGTGTCAGCAAATCCATGGTCTTTTCGTGAATCCACCTGCGGATATTCGCCTGTAAGTTCAATGATTCACACAAACTGTGAGTAAGGGACCATCTATCCAAACACATCTGTCATTAGCTGGTTTGAACCGTAGAGTTTCCCGCAAATATTGTCTTAAATGAACCAATGAATGCATGATATCTTCGATGGAGTCATTCAGGAAACCATGGTAACCATGGTAAGTTTACACCCAAATTTCTGATAAATCTTCTCCAGGATATCTGCAACAGTCCATCCTAAAAAACAACAAGGGACCGCCCAACAGCGCTCCACTCGAACGGGTGACCATGAGCGACAGGAAGCGAAGGTCACGCTTTGCGGCCCGTTTCCTGGATAGATGATATTTGGATACCCATCTATATGATATTATATGATAATGTGTATATATATATATATATGTGTATGTGTATATATATATATACGTATATATATATATAATATCAAATTATATTACATCAGGATTCAGGATTCTCATGAATCATCTATATATTTGAATCAGTTGCATATCAGCCATCTCTTCACCCATTGGGACTCAATGGCATTTTTTTTTGTTTGGATTTGTCCCCCAAACCCATGACCCATCTGCCTCGGGTTGCTACCACACATCTCCTGGTTCTTGTCAACCTCGGCTAAACTCATCCTAGGGATCAACATGTGCAACATGGATCAACATGGGACATATAGCATGAAATACATCACCAACATTCACCAGCCAAAAATCTAGGATCAATGATCAGACCATATCAAACGTCTAAGACCCCCCAGTTGATGTCCCAAGAACCCTCTGTGGCGCCAACAAAAATCCCCGGATATCCCCAGCGGCGCAGAGGGCCCAAGCGGCGCAGAGGGCCCAAGCGGCGCAGAGGGCCCAAGCGGCGCAGGCGGCCCCATGGAAGCTGCAATGTTCGGTACCTGGTGGATGTTCGGTGGCGGAATCATCAATCATCCCAGGATGGGAAAAGCACACAGAGATTCACAGATATTCACAGATACAGCAAACATCAGCAAACAACATCAAACAACGACATTTTTGGAAGTTTAGTGTAGGAAATTCAATGAAACCAACAAGCTCTTTTTCTGAATCGGTGCTGTGATTCTCCTTAAAATCTATGGGCTTCACATGGCTTCACCGCACCTGCCAGGCGTGGCTCAAGTTTCCCATCGAAGCAGATTGGCAGTGGCTCAGTTGCTGGGAGAACACCTCAGCAAATATGCAAGCGAGGAAGACCATGAAAGGGCGCAAGATACATAATGCATCTATACGCATAGTTAACGCATCTATACGCATCTATATGGTCTATACGCATCTATATGCATCTATATGCATCTATATGCATCCTGCATCCATATGCATCTAGCATTTCAACAAGTCCCATGGGACAAGTCTCTTGCATCATTATCAGTTGCTGAAATGCTGAAATGCTGAGCATTTTGGCATACCAAAAGGACCACTTAAATCGCAATGGGACCACTTATCAGTATTGAACCAACTCTAGGGGCCAACAGTCAACAACTTTGTCTTCTAGGCTTTCCACAGGCTTTGCTTCTGGGGCAGGCATGGGCCGCGCGGTAGCAGTGCCTTGGAGTTCCAAGAGAACTCAAGTGAGCCTGTCAAAAATTTCATTGAGATTATTACATCTGAAAACTATTGAAAATCAACATCTATCATCATCTATCATCCTCTATCATCAAAATAATCTATATTTCTTGTTTGTTTTTGCTGAATTTCCACATTTGAAGGGCCTTTTTTGAGGGCCAATGAGGCCGCTTCAAAGGCGCATTCCAGCTATGAGAGATGCTCCTCAGCAACATCCTGGAAAATCTTATCCAAAACATTGGGGATATTTGGGACTCAAAAGATCTCATAAGGGGCTTATATCTGGCCAGATATTAATTGTTGGGGGTAGTACGGACTCATACAGGGGCTTATTCAACCCCTATTGTTTCGGGAGCACTGTTCGAAGGGTGCCATCAGACTTCCATGAACCCTGTTCAATGCTGGCAAAACACCCGCTGGTTCAGCCAACGCAGGTTGCGTTCGTTGCACACTTGTTGTCGAACATGGCATGGGCATGGAGCGTGTTGCCAGAACCTGACAAATCCAATTATTCAACTGGTGCTGCTGAAGTCTGATTTCCACTCCATCTTTCCAAAAGAAACCGTTTACCTTCATGACAACTTTAAGACAACAAATATAAACATAAACATAAATATATACATACATATAAATAAATATATATATATATATATATAAATAAACATATATATATATATATACACATAAATATATAAACATGAATAGATAAATATAAATAGATTTATATAAATAAATAAACATAAACATAAATATCTAAATATAAATACACATACAAATACAAATATAAATATGAATATATGTAATGTAAATATATATATATATACTAAATTAAGTCTGCTTTCGGATCGCCCTCTTCAAACTCATGAATCTTGCTGGCCCATCCAAAAATCTGACAGCACGCCGCAAGAATCAGCCTGTCTGCTAGGCAAAGAAAGAGTGGGCTTTCGACCTGCTGTGCGTTGCTGCAAGTATTCACCGATCGCAAGGGTATGCTCAATTGGGGTCAACAAAATAGGATGGAAAGTAAACATGTTTGAAAGCACAGGCACGCTACGGTTCAAACATGTTCGACAAACTTGCTTCACCCATAGCTAACCTGGTGCTCCCATGTGCCTGTAACGAGTCTTCGCACAGGGGAGTGGCTTCCTGTGGCTGCAGGATGATACTGCACAAGCCGATCAAACAAAAGACTGTTCTGTTCTTTTTGATTTGACATATTTATCATATTTGAAATTAGCGCTTGCAAACATTTACAAACTATCCGAATCAAACAAAATGAGACTACAGTAAAACACTTCATTGAGTTTTTGTACCCTTATAAACCATATATCTCAAATTGCATCACCAGAATCCACCAGAATCCACCCAGTATTTTCAAGCAAATGCATGTCGAGCCGCTGCTTCTGATCACCTTGGCACACGGCAACACAGTCTGGTCATCGCAGGTTAAGGGTTGGTCGTGAAATAGATGGATCTTCATGGCTGATGCAATCTGGATTTAGATTCTTTAGATATCCAGCACTTCAATTTGAAGTTGTGTTTGTACTTCTTACTTGCTTACAGTTTCCCGGCCAACCCAGGCCATGAAACCACGAGCCACTGATGCACGAACACAAACAAAAACGACTGGAAAATACTGGAGATTGACCACGAATCCTTTCTACATCCTGCCTCTTTGTTGTCAAGAAACAGGACAGTGTAGTTTCTATTCCAGCAATTCCAGAATCAACCATGCACACCATACCACCTTTCCTGAAGGTGTCTACGTGCACCTTCAGTCGGATCTCCTTGGAACCTCTGAGCTAGCCACAGGATTGAGTGCCGCAGTGCGCGCGGTGGACACAGAGCCTGTAGCAAAATGAACAACCTCTTCAAGGTTTAAAGGTGCAAAACGCAGTGCAACTACAGTGGCAATTTCAAGCACGCTTTTGCACCATAATGCTCGGTGTGCACACAAAACGCAATGCTGATGTTTTCTGACGGGCAAACTGTTGAGAAATTGTTGACTGGTGACTGAAGAAACCTGCAGTTTGGACGGATATATTTGCAATTTTTGGATGACACTTCGCCAGAATTCAAGGGTTTTGCTTCAGTCGTTGTATTGTAGCTTTGGCAAGAGGTGTCCACTTATTGGATGTATCAAAAAAAATCAAATCACCAGTTTTCGGGTGTGGTTGAGGCTCTGAATCCCTCTATCTCTCAGTGTCTCTCAGTGTCTCTCAGTGTCTCTCAGTGTCTCTCTGTCTCTGTGTGTCTCTGTGTGTCTCTGTGTGTCTCTCTCTGTGTCTCTCTCTGTGTCTCTCTCTGTGTCTCTCTCTGTGTCTCTCTCTCTCTCTCTCATCTAATCTAATCTAATCTATCCTATCCTATCCTATCCTATTCTATCCTATCCATCCATCCATCCATCTATCTATCTAATCTAATCTAATCTATCTAATCTATCTAGTCGATCTAATCTATCTCTCTATCTGTCTGTATGTCTGTCTGTCTATCTATCTACCTATGTATCTAATCTACCAACCAATCAATCTACCTATCAATCTATCTATCCGTCCATTTGTCCATCTATCTATATACCTATCTATCTACCTATCTATCTATCCATCTATCCAGTCATTTATCTATCTATTTATTTACCTATTTATCTATCTATCTACCTATTTATTTTTTTGAAATATATCTACCTATCTGATTAAAGTAATTCATCTAATTAATTTAATTAATCGATCTAATCTATCTCATTTTTCTACTCTATCTTATCTATCTTATCTACCCTATCCTTCCTATCCTTCCTATCCGTCCTATCTATCCTATCTACCATATCTATCCCATCTTTCCCATCTATCCCATCTGTCCAATCTTTCCCATCTACCCTATCTTCCCTATCTATCCTATCTCTGCTATCTATATGTTTCATTCCTATCTATGCTATCTATCCTATCTATCCATCTACTTATCTATTTATCTATTTATCTGTCTACCTATCTATCTATCTATCTATCCATCCATTCATGTATCTATCTATATCTATATCTATCTATCTATCTACCTATCCATCTATCTATCTACCTATCCATCTATCTATCTGTCTGTCTGTCTGTCTATCCGTCTACCCGGCTAGCTGTCTATCTACGTATCTGTCTGTCTGTCTTTCTGTCTGTCTGTCCGGAAGGGGGCTGTGGCACATTCTAACTGTACAATGATTTTCTGAAAACATGGGATAAATGAGATATAGGGAGATATAGGGAAAAATTGTGGTTTTGATTGTGCATTTCTTACTAGAGAATCAGATTTCACATTAGGGAGATATAGGGGGCTGTGGCACATTCCAACTGTACAATGATTTTCTAAAAAGCATGATAAAAAATGGTGGTACATGGGAAAAAATGGTGGTTTTGATTGTTTTTCTCATTAGGGAGATATAGGGAGATAGAGGGAGATATAGGGAAAAATTATGGTTTTGATTTGATTATCTCACGTAATGCTTATAACATGGCAAAAATCCGGGGCACGGTGCGGGGCAGCGAGGGTGGCACGGTCAGGGGCTGGAGATCAAAAAAGTAGGACATCTGGTGCTTGGGATAGCTCACTAGCGCGGTCTAATGCATGTCACAACTTGGAGATGATCCCTGGGTAGTGTTGAAGTACATCCTGGCAGAAGTTACTACCCAGGTACTACCCAGGAATCGACCTGACAGTTGCGCCAAGCATTATAGACGCCAAACCGTTTCGGTGACACTTACGATAAGCATTATAATTCTGCAATGCTTAGCATAACTGTTCCAGGATTCCTGGGTAGTACCTGGGCAGTGTCTGGGTAGTCCTGGGAAGTCCTGGGCAATCCTGGGCGGTTCTGGGTTAAGAATCTGATAGCCGAACCCCTTATGGTCAAAGGAACCCAAACTTGGACATTGCAAAAGTCAAATTCTATTTCCACAGCACTTTAGTTCCAGAACCATGAAAGAATATAGAATTAGCGCCCAGGAACCCAGAATTAGCGCCCAGGAACCCAGAATATGATTTTCACGTTATAAGCATTACATGGGTCAATCAAGTTTTGATTGTATATTTCTTACTAGAGAATCAAATTTCACATTAGGGAGATATAGGGGGCTGTGGCACATTCTAACTGTACAATGATTTTCTGAAAACGTGATAAAAAAAAGGTGGTACATGGGAAAAATGGTGGTTTTGATTGTTTTTCCCCAACAGCAGAAGCTTTGGGGTCTTCAGCCATAGTAAAGGTTTCGGAGCAGACCGGAGCAGCTCCAAAACCCATTCCCCCAAGGTTCCCAGGGTTCCCAAGGTTCCCAAGGTTCCCAACATTCCCAAGGTTCCCAAGGTTCCCAAGGTTCCCAAGGTTCCCAAAGTTCCCAAGGTTCCAAAGGTTCCGAAGGTTCCCAAGGTTCCCAAGGTTCCCAAGGTTCCCAAGGTTCCGAAGGTTCCGAAGGTTCCCAAGGTTCCCAAGGTTCCCAAGGTTCCCAAGGTTCCCAAGGTTCCCAAGGTTCCCAAGGTTCCCAAGGTTCCCAAGGTTCCCAAGGTTCCCAAGGTTCCCAAGGTTCCCAGGAAGAGGTTCCCAAGCAACGTTCCCAAGCAAGGTTCCCAAGAGGTTCCAAGCAACGTTTTCGAGAGGTTCCAAGAAAGGCTCAGAGGTTCCCAAGCAAGGGTTCCCAGCAAGAGCTTCCCAAGCAAGGTTCCCAGGAAAAGGTTCCCAGGAAAACGTTCCCAGGAACAAGGTTCCCAAGCAAGGTTCCCAGGAACAGGTTTTGCAAGCACGGATTTCACGAACCGTTTTCAAGGTTCCCAAGAACCGTTTTCCAAGCAAGTTTTCCAGGAACATGTTTTTCCAAGCAAAACAAGGTTCCCAGAACAGGGTTTCAAGCAAGTGTTTCCAGAAAAAGTTTCCAGGAAGAGGTTCCCAAGCAAGGTTCCCAGCAAGTTTCCCAAGCAAGTATTTCCAGACGAGGTTTCAAGGAAGAGGTGTCAAAGCAAGGTTCCCAGCAAGCTGGTTCCCAAGCAAGGTTTTCAGGAAGAGGTTCCCAAGCAAGGTTCCCAGCCACAGATTCCCAGAACAGGTGCCCATACAAGGTTCCCAAGAACAGGTTCACAAGTAATTCCCAAGCACGTTCCCAAGCAAGGTTCCCAGCAACAAGTTCCCAGGAACAGGTTCCCAAACAAGCTTCCCAAGAACAGGTTCACAAGTAAGGTTGCCGGAAAAAGTTCCCAGGCAATGTTTCCAGGAAAAGGTTCCCAAGCAAGGTTCCCAGGAACAGCTTCTCAAGCAAGGTTGCTAGGAAGAGGTTCTGAAGCAAAGATCCCAGGAAGTGGTTCGCAAGCAATGGTTCCCATTTGTTCTCGAAATTTTGCTTGGGAACCAGCTCTTCCTGGGGACGCTTACTTGAGAACCTTTTCCTGCGAGCCTTGTTCGTGCTTGGAACCTTGCTTAGAAACGGTTTCTGGGACCTTGCTTGGGAACCGTTACCTGGTAACCGTACTTGCAATCGGTTCCTAAGAAATTAACCTTGCTTGGGTTCTTCAGCCACCCCAGGAACAAGATTTCCAATCACATTTTCCGGGTTTAGATTCGCAAGAAAAGTTACCAGGAACGATTCCCAAGCCAGGTTCCCAAGAACAGGTTCCCAGGGAAAGGTCCCCAAGCAAGGGTTCCAGAAACAGTTGCCAAGCAAGGGTTCCAGAAACAGTTGCCAAGCAAGGTTCCCAGGCCAGGAACAGGTTCCCAAGCAAGGTTCCCAGGAACAGGTTTCCAAGAAAAGGTTGCAAAAAAGGTTTCCAAGAATAGGTTCGCAAGCAAGGGGTTTCCAGGCAATGTTCCTGGGAACAGGTTTCCAAGCAAGGTTCGCAAGACCAGGTTCCCAAGCAGGGTTCGCAAGAACAGGCTCGTTCCCAAGCAAGGTTCGCAAGAATAGGTTCACAAGCAAGGGTTCCAAGAACAGTGCCACAAGTTCCCAAGCGAGGGTTCCAAGAACAGGTTTCCTTGCAGGGTAGCGGCAAGGTCCTTGGGAACAGGTTCCCAAGCAAGGTTTCCACGAACAGGTCCCCAAGCAAGGTTCCCCAAGGACAGGTTTGCAAGCAAGCTTCGCAAGAACAGGTTCGCAAGCAAGGGTTCGAAGAACAGGTTCCCAAGAACAGTTTCGGGTTCCAAGAACAAATTCTCTAGGAAGGTTGCAAGAATAGGTTGCCAGCACGGTTGCCACGAACATGTTCCCAAGCATGGTTTCAGGTTGTTCATGTTCCCAGGAACAGCTTTTCAAGAACAACTTGCAAAGCGAAATTTCGAAGACCATCTGCAAGCAAGGTTGGAAGCAAGAATAGAATCCCAAGCCAGGTTCCGAAGGACAGGTTCCTAAACAAGGTTCCTAAGCAAAGTTACGAAAAACAGGTTCCCGAGCAAGGTCCCAATGAACAGGTTTGAAGCAAGCAGGCAAAGTTTCCAAGAACAGGTTTCCAAGAGAAAGTTCCCAAGAACAGGTTACCAGGCAATGCTCCCAAGAGCAGGTTCCTAAGAATAGGCCCCCAAGAACAGTTTCCCAAGCAAGGTTCCGATAAACAAGTGTCAAGCAACGTGTCCAGGAACAGTTGCCCAGGCAAGGTTCCAAGCACATTGAACAACAGAACGCTGCAAAGTTTGAAGATTTGTTCGTATAACGGAACGGAGAGATTGAAGAACTAGTTTTGCTTCAAAAAATGATACGGCACTCGCACATGGATAAAACACTAGATGACAGCGTGGCATGAAAGAAGGCAGTAGGGAGGAGACGAGAAGATAATACACGAGAAAAAGGATGATGGTGATGATGACGACGACAATGATGATGGCGATGACGATGACGAGGATGAATGGCGATGGAGATGATGATGAATGATAGCTGACGCGAGTCAAATATCATATATCCACGGTTTCGCGCCTTTTTTGGCCCCACATAGGGTTTGCTCCAGGGCTGGCACCTGAGTGACAGTCAGAATCCAAAGACATGTTGTTTTTACACAGCGAAAAGTTTACACAGAGAAGATGTTACACACAGAAGCCTTTACACAGAGAGGGATTTACACAGAGCAGCTTTTACACAGACGCTTTTGCACACAGACGCTTTTACACACAGAAGCTTTTGCACAGAAAAGCCTTTTCTAAAGAAGCCTTACCACATGAAGCCTTTACACAGAGCAGCTTTACACACAGACGCTTTTTCACAAAGAAGTTTTTACACACAGGAACTTTAACGCGCAGATGCCCAAGCTTTTACACACAGGAGCTTTTGCACACACACACACACGCCTTACAAAAAGAAGCTTTTAGACACAGAAACTTTTACAGCCTTTTCACAAGAAAGCTTTTACACAGAGATGCCTTTACAAACAGAAGCTTTTACACACAGAAGCTTTTACTCAGAGAAGCCTTTAAACAGAGCAGCTTTTACAGACACAGAAGCTTTTACACAGAGAAGATTTTGCACAGAGAAGCTTTTTCACAGACAAGTGTTTGCGGGAAGGAACTTTGAGCACAAACGGTTTTTAGATACAGCAGCTTTCACACAGAGAAGCTTTTGCGCGGACCAGCTTTTACACTCAGGTTTGTTTTCACAGAGCAGCGTTTACGCGGAGCAGCTTTTACACACCGAAGCTTTGACGCAGAGAGGCCTTTACACAGAGAAGCTTGTACACACAGAAGCTTTTACACACCGACGCCTTCGCACACACAGACAGATGCCGATACACAGAGCAGCTTTGACACACAGACGCTTTTACACAGAGAAGCCGTTACACAGAGCAACTTTTACACAGCGCGGCTTTTACACGGAGACGCCTTTACACAAAGAAGCTTTTCTACACAAACGCTTTTACGCATAGAGGCCTTTACACACAGAAGCTTTTATGCACAGAGGTTTTCACACGGAAGCTTTACACAGAGAAGCGTCTAAACAGAGCATCTTTAATACACAGAAGCATTTACACACACACACAAGTTTTACACACACGCCTTTGCACACACAGAGCTTTTACACACAGACGCTTTTACGCATAGAAGCTTGTTCACAGAGCAGGGTTTACACAGAGCACAGAGAGAGGCCTTTGCACAGAGCAGCTTTTACAATCTTATACGCGCAGAAACTTTAAACACGCCCTTGTAAAATCGCAGTTTTACACAAGTTTTATTTCGCGCAAAACGGTTGTGCCTGACGTTTCAAAATGGATAAAGTCGCAATTTTACACCAATTCTTGAACGTTGGCATCTGACGTTTAAAAAAACGCAGTTTTCCCACAGTTATTGCCGTTTGACTTTCATGCCACGCTTGCATCTGAACTTTCAAAATCACAATTTTATACCAGTTTTTGACGGTTGACCCTCATTTCGTGCGAAGGGGCTGTGCCGGGCCTCACCAAATTTGCATTTTGCCACATGTTTGGATGTCCGACCTGCGCGATCTCTGAAGAGGGTTGCCCGTGCCCAAAAGAAATTCACATTCCACCACATGTTTGGGCATTCGAAACGCACGATCTCCGCAGACGGCTGCTGCGGGCAAAGAAGTTTCGCATTTCACCACACCACATGTTTGCCCATCCGACACGCGCCATCTCCGCAGAGGGTTGCCCAAGGACAAACAAGACCCGCATTTTGCAACACGTTTGGGTGTCCGACACGCCGCAGAGGGTAACGATTCGTAAGCCACCGCCTGGCTGTCCCTGCCACCAGAGAGAAATAGAAGAACTGGATGATTTTGCAGGAGTTCAGATACAATTTGATCACCTGGAAGTTAGCTGAACCCCTGTGTAGCAACTCCAATTTCTGTGCAAAATGACCTTGCCGGCAGGAGTCTTGTAGGAGTTCAAGTAGAAATGGATCACCTGCAAGTCAACTCCTGTGTAAATGACATTGTTCAAGTTTTGTAGGAGTTCCCTAGAAGTTGATCACCTATAGCTGATGTAGGTGATGTTGTCTATGTTGTAGATGATGAGGATGATGTTGTAAGTGATGTAAGGTTAGATAGATTTGAAGATGTAGGTGATGTATAGGATGCAGTGATATAGATGATGATGTAGGTTATGTATGCGCTGTAGGTGATGTATATCATGTAGATGAGGTTGATGGAAAAAGATTGTGTAGTGATGTAGATGGTTTAGGTGAGATAGATGATGGTGATGATGATGATGGTGGTGGTGATGGTGATGATAATCATGATGATGTAGGGAAGATGGTGCAGAAGATGTAGGTGATGTGGGTGATGTAGAGGATGTAGTCATGTAGATGATGATGTAGGTAATGTATGTATTGTAGATACAGCATATCATATAGATGAGGTTGATGGAAAATGTGTAGGTGGTGTAGATAATGTAGGTGAGACAGATGTAGGTGATGATGATGATGATGATGGTGATGATGATGATGATGATCGTGATGGTGATGATGATTGTAGATGTAGATGTAGATCTAGAGAAGATGGTGTAGAAGACGGTATAGAAGATGTAGGTGATGTAAAGGACATAAGAGATGTGGATGATGTATGTTAGGTAGATGAAGTGAAGAGTGAGGCAGACAGCAGTTCTTTGGGAAAAAGCCTTCGTACGAGCTTCGGGAATTTTGGCCACAGTATTGCGAACGCTTTTGGAAAAGCGGTTTTTCATAAAGTGTTTGTGCTGTGATTGCGCCTTGTACGCCCGACCTCTAGAGTAAGAAGGGCGGGGCAATAAACATACTTCACTCATTGGGTGTTTGGCAACTGTTTTTGTTTCTGGCTGTTGGGGATACTCTTTGGGCTTATTCTCTTTAGGGAGATATAGGGAGATAGAGGGAGATATAGGGAAACATTGTGTTTTTGATTGTGCATTTCTTACTAGAGAATCAGATTTCACATTAGGGAGATATAGGGGGCTGTGGCGCATTCTAACTGCACAACTATTTTCTGAAAAACATGGGAAAATGGTGGTTTTGATTGTTTTTCTCATTAGGGAGATACAGGGAGAAATGGTGGTTTTGATTTTACATTTCTTACTAGAGAATCAGATTTCACATTGGGGAGATATAGGGGGCTGTGGCACACTCTAACTGTACAATGATTTTCTGAAAAACATGGGAGAAAGGGTGGTTTTGATTGTTTTTTCTCATTAGGGAGATATAGGGAGATAGAGGGAGATATAAGGAAAAATTGTGGTTTTGATTGTACATTTCTTACTAGAAAATCAGATTTCACATTAGGGAGATATAGGGGGCTGTGGCACATTCTAACTGTACAATGATTTTCTGACAAGCATGGGAAAAATGGTGGTTTTGTTTTTTTTTCTTATCTTGCATCAGGGACTGAAGGGGGCTTTCTAACTGTAAATCACAATCCGGTCGAAATCCCAAAGTTAGAACGTGGCGTTTCATGTATTCATGCATCGTTTTTCCCCTTCCGCGCGTTCCCAAAACGTCATTCTAACTTTCAGTCGGTCAGTATCCATCTGTCTAAAGTATTGCGCTTGCCACGAAAAAGTGAAGAGAGGTCATACGAAGTGTTGCACCTGTCACGGCACGCAAAGCAGCGTATGCTGCAAAATGCAACCCCTCTCCGGAAATCAGCACCCTGACCTCCGAACATCTCTGATGAAGATGTCTCTTGTACTGCGCCTGCCACGCGAAAAGCATCTTTGCAGATCCTCTTCAAACGTCCCACGCCTGGCATCATGTCTGAAAATGCTACAAAACCCACACGTTTAGCTCACTTTTGGCAAGGTGCAGAATCCCGTGCGCCTGCAACGAAACATGACGCTTGAACGTCCAAAACTGGTCCGAACATGTGGTGTCTTCACACTTTTGACTTCGACATGTGCTTTGCGCCACAGCTGCGTGCACTTTTCCCACAGCTCAACTTCCAAAAGTGGTTTGACAATGACCTGTTCTTACCATTTTAATTTCGAAATGTGCCTAGCGCCACCACGGCGTGCACTTTTTGAACAGCTCAACTGCCAAAAGTGCTTGGAACCTGAGGTATTTCAGCATTTTGCCTTGGAAATATGCTGCCACAACGGCCTGCTCTTTTTCAACAACTCAATATCCCAAAGTGCTCCTACCCTGAGGTGTTGTGTGCATTTTGTGCATCGCGCCACAATGGCGTGCAACTTTTCATGTCTCATCTCATCTTACCAGATGGCTCCGCACCCGTCGCTTTAGCGAGCCTACTTTTGGACCCTCCGAAGCCACAGAACATTGGAAAAACACAGTGTTTCCGCGACTTTACTTTACTTTTCTTGATTCTTTCGCGCCCTTCGATCTTCTTTCTGCTCACTCTCTCTTCTGTCTCTTTCTCTTCTGTCTCTTTCTCTTCTGACTCTTTCTCTTCTTCTACTGCTCTCACCACTGCTGCTGCATCTGTCCATAAGTCGGAAGTTTGACTTCTAAACTTCCTTCGATAAAACGCACCCTCAGAAACCATAGTGGATGTAGGGGATGAAATATGGATGTCAAGGATGAAATCACATATTTTTGAAAATCACAAACACCCAAAACGCCATGTCTTTGATGCTGGTGACCCATGGTGACCCGGTGCCCCACCTGGGCTGCGAGAACCGCTGCTGCTTCCTGTTCGTAGCACGTCTCGGAAACAAGCCTATTATTGGGATAATGATTGGGATAATATGGGATAATAATGGGTAATCAAAAAGGTGATCATCAAATATACCCAAGAATGACCCCCAATTGGTTGGCTTCACCGCCTTACTGGCAACCTTTCTCAAACTTGTTGACGTGGCACAGTCTCAAGGTTGGCTATACCACCTAATGCCTCATCAATCCAAAGGTTCATGATGGGTAGTGCCAAGTTCATGCCTTCCCAAGCAATTCAGTGTCAAACATGCACATGGTTGGGACATGTTGGAAACCACAATCATGAAAACTGAAAACACACGTTCCGTGATTGGCTGCTCATGCCCCCATTTCCAACCCATGGTAGCTCATTATATAACATTATATAACCCCCATTTGAATCTTCATGGGTTGAATCCACCCCTTTGCGGCTTGGGGACTGCTGAGTAACTTTCGGCTGGTTGGCGAGGCCTGGCAGTATGGTGGACCATGGTGGACGTCCAATAGTCATTGACCGTCAAAACATGGATGATTTGGGGTACTCAACTTGCTTCATGATAATGCTACTTTCAGCAAACTGCTGACATTTGCTGACAGCCTTGAATCTGCTGTTGCCCAACACTGACTCCTTTCGATCAGTCGATTCTACGGGTAACTTTAAATTCGTCATTCCAGCTCGTTCAAAAATGGCTGTAGAATCTCGCCAATCTAGGGAATGCAACTTTATTTTGTGGGGATACTTCATCTTGGATCCATGATCTTTGGACACCCCCCCAACAAGTCAATGATGGGCCTCTATTACTCACAAATGGGTTTATAGTCCCAATCAGCCCTGGTTGCCCAGTTTTAGGCAGCGATGTGTAGTGATAGCTAATGATAATTCTAACTTCAGTCATAGTAACTCCCCAAAAATAGAAAAGTACAATCCTGCTAAAATAGTGATAAATCAGTTTTCTATACTTTTCTATCTTTCTGGTGGTCATATAGTCTATTCGTCATACCGTGATAGTATAACATGGTCCAAAAAAAGGCCTGTCACTGTTTCAGCCCATGAAGCCTGCCAACTGGCTGAAACGGAGTTGGCATCCAGCTCGGCACACAGCCGAAGGGACTGCAGGTCGTTGCACCACAAAGACCACACCATGTTGGGTGATGATGGATGTGTCATAGTCATGCTGCAATATATTGTAATAATATCATCAAACAAATAGGATTATGAAGTTTGTGAAATCAACAGAAATTGGACCCACAAATCCAGCCCAATGCTTGGTGGATACCACCCGCCTGTGACGTACCAACACCATTTGTGCCTCGGCAACCGATGGCACTGCCAGATTTGGATCCGCTTTGGATGGATTTGCTGGGCTTCCTACATTTGAAACAGTCAGTGTCACATATCAATATCACTATATATACATATACATATATGTATATATATATATGTATATACATATATGTATATGTATTATATGTATATATGTATATGTATATATGTATATGTATATGTATATAGATAGATAGATTATGATAAATTACAGTATATTGGACACATACCCACTTTAAAACTTCGGATCATCGGCTTCAAGGACTGCCAAGATGCTGAGACTCTTGTAATAGGCCAGCTGTGGCCCCACAGCATCCTTGCCGCGACACTGACGACTGTGGACCAGCTGATAGAGGGCACTTCAACTGCGGATATGAACTCCCATCATAGCAGGCATGTTTCGCAGCCTTATATACACACATATATACGTGTGTATATATATACACATTAAATACTTGGATTTATCAGATAATATCATATCAGGTGTATACATATGTCGACATCTGTATGAATACATCATTGACGCAGCTTTCTTCATCAACGTTTGGATCAAACACCAGAAATACAGCAAAAAATAGCAGCAATTTGTTGAGATGGGTTCAAATCAAACTTGGGCAACTTCAAAATGGGATGGCTCGCAGAATCTTCCAATATCATCAGCATCATCCATCTGTTTCTCGATTTTCTCATTCGTCCTCGGTCCTTTCGGTCCTTTCGGTCCTGCTCCCGAAGCCTGCAAGGCGACATCAATGGCTGCCGCTGGTTCTGCCTCTGGGTGGAAATCAGTGGAAATCTTGCCAAAGTAAGTGCAAAACCAAAGCCTTTGCATAAGTTTGACTCCGGACTCAAATCTGCATCTACATTCCATGAATTTCAACCCCTTGCCCTCAGTAAAACAAGTCATCCCTTTAGTGGTTTCAGTGTCCGCAGGGCCCGGTCGCTGTTGAACCCCGTATGGGACTGACTTCAGGACGTATCACAGGCAGCTGGACATGCTTGGCTTTCTTTGGGAGCACCTGGCAGCAAAGGATGTAGCTACCATCAGCCCAGCCGTGCCCAGCCGTGCCCAGCCCATCCCAGAATGGCCTGGCACGATTTTGGGTCTCGCTGGAGATGAAGGAGCATCGGAATCCTCAGAGAACTCTCATAGATCTGAGGGCGTCTGAAAGCATTTCACAAGTCTTGTAGCCAAAAAATACGACTTGCCAATTTTTGACCATTGAATTTGGACAACCTTTTCTGGGATATCTAAACATATCTATGGATATCTTGGATCGATGATGAACATGATATGAACATGTTGACTCCTCACCACCGATGAAGTCTCGCAGCCCGATGCAGCCCGGGCACACTCCGAGGGGGTTCTGCTTCTGGAGGTGCCTCGAAGGATACCAGGGGTGGTCGCCTCTGAAAACTGTCTGCGATTTTAAATTACTGGTTAAAAACAACATGGAATAGAAAAACTACAAAAACATACAAAAACAAACATCAAACGTAGATCAACCAACTGAAATCAGCACAAACCACACTACAAACTTTCATTGATCTTCACCTATGACATGCAGAACCTGGCAGAGGGATCAGATCTTAATACATTTTTAAGGCAAAATGCACGTGAAGCCATCCAAGAGCCAAACGCTAACGGCTCGCCCTCGCTTGGCTTCCAGCCTCATCTGGCCATGTCTGGGTCCCCCCAAAATCCAGTGACTTCATTTGGTCCTTTAGAAAGCAACTCAAGTAAGATCAAGTAACCATTCACTGATTATAACATATTGTAAATATATTCTAACACATTATAACCTTCCACGCTGGATGACGTGTTTTGGAGACATGCTTTGCCTAAACAGACTGACAGCTTGCGGTGGATCTCAATCCGGGCTTCCACACCAAGCTGCTTGTGGAGACTGGTGGATGCTCGTCTGCACCTGGTGCTGATTGAGCTGATGGCGTTGGCATTAAACGATATTAAACGTTCAAAGATGTTCAAAGATGTTCAAAGATGTTCAAAGATGTTCAAAGGCATCCAACCACACCAAGCTTTCAACTTCCAAAGAACTCTTTGGTGGTTCCATGTGGTTCCAATCCCAAGAGACTTGGGATAACTTGGGATCATGTTCTCAAGGCATGTCCCTGGTCGCACCAACCTCCTGACGGCGCAAGCTCTGGCTTCTGCAGGCCTGGTCCATTCGTATCCTCTGGAAAAAAAGACCTCTGGCAGTGGAAAATCCACCGGTTACACATGGTTTTCCTTGAAAGTCCATGGGGCAAACTGCAATTTCTGACCCCACCTCAGAAAAGCAATACGCATGGACGGAACAAAACCATCTAATCCTGGTCATGAACTTCGAACTTTGACTTTGTCAGCTGCACAAAGAGTCTTACACTGATCAAAGCTGCGAGAGCTTCCCAAACGATTCTTGAAAGCAGTGAGTCAATCAGTCAATCCACAAATCTCTAAGAAGCAGTTTTGGCAGCCTGAATTTCCACATATTTCCACCAGTTAATTGTTTCGTGCTTTATGTTTTGTAACAAATCCATCGCACCTGCGCCAATGGAAGGCTCACTGTGGAGAGGCGCCGCGGCCTCTCTAACTTGACAACTCCAAAATAGTGGTTGAGTGGTTGAGTGATTGATGATATGTTGTGATATCATCCCAACCAAATATTAGTTAACTAAGTGGTGATAAACAGGCTACCTACCAATAGTTTTGATCATCTCATCAACCGCTGCGAAGAATTAGTGTATGATGATATATCCCCACCTAGGACGCATAATCTTTTAAAACGCTTCGACTTCCACACTGGGGTGCAACCAACAATCCGGGCATACTTGTGGGGATACAGTTACAGCAACCAATCACCTCGGGTGTTTCCACCTAAAATCTTTGGTTGGTGGTTGAGCATTTCATCGAAGAAAACATAATCAACTGGGTAACTCAACGCCAATGTGCAACTTCATCGCTTCTAGATAAGATATGACCAGGCATGATAAGCTTGTAGAAACATTGGCTGCGAGAACTTCCACTGCGGCGTATGCTAAGATGTCATTCGCTGCTTGGAACTCCAACTGGTCGCCCAGCTTCCCAAGCCTTCCCACTTCACTCAGATTCTGCTCAGAAGGCAGTTTCGACCAAAGCATCTCTGCCTCTGCACACAAATGCAAAGGCATGCATCGCAACCTAAGAAACTATTCCAAATGTTCCAAGAGATTTGCTTGATTCTGAACCCAAGCATCTATCCGCGTGATCACAGATTCAGCGCGAGTCTGATACAACCTGAATTGCATCATTTTGCATCTACTCTTCCGGACTGCATCATGCTGCATCTCAAGAAAGGTGAAGGATCTTATTGGGAGGAAGTACCATCAAGGCCGTCAAATTTTAAAAAGCCAAACTGAACTCCAAACTAACCAAAATGTATCATAGCTTCTTTAACTGCAGCAAACCACTTTTGATGTGTATGATGTGTATGACAAACACGCCACCGACCAGGGACCGACCTTTCGCAGCTCTTCTTCCACTTGGCGTCGTTGCTCACGAAGTTCTTCCAACTGGCGGAGCCAAGTCGACTGAAGCTGCGCAAATCCAAAGATTGTCCAATTGGCATAAAAATCATCCCTATAATTCGGTGAATGTTGGGATAATCATCCCAATAATTTGGCCAATTGAAACAGTTTTCGGATTCCATCCCAATAATTTGGGGGTGATTATCCCAACATCCCCCAAGCGCAAGTCGATCTGAACATTTCTACAAAAACCAGCCACCGGTCTAGATCCTTTCCCAGCTCTCTCTCTCTCTCTCTCTTTCCCACTCTTGTTGGTTGCCACATTGTTTCTTGGGCAGGTATTTTGCTTGGATTTGGGTGGAATTTCAATGGCATTTCCCGAAACAGGGGCGTTCACCCCTCAGGAACCCCGATTTCACCTCTGGAGCGACAGGCTGCAGCTCCTGGGATCATTTGACACCGCTTCATCTCAAATCAGCCCTCCAACCAAGATCCATCAAAATCCTCCGATTTTTCACCTATCAAGATGAGCCTGAAAAAAGGAGTGTGTCATCATGCCTCATGCAAGGTAAAAAAAAAGTCCAAGATCCATCAAGATCCCCTCTTTTCAGTGGCTTCACCCAGAAGCCGCCTTCCGAAGAGCCGCGGCTTCCGCCTGGCACTCACTCAGGTCCTGGAATCTGGGGGGTAGTCATATTCATTGGTGGACATATAACCAACTATAATTGTGTATATATATATATATGTGTGCTAAATATGATCTAGTACATAACACGATGTAAATGATGATGTGACATTATGTACATATATGTACATATAGGAATTCATCGTATGTTAAAATCATGACTTGCCAGAAGTGTTGATTTGAAAAGTGCACAGCAGGCACTATCAGAAAGGTAAACGTCCACAAGGCAAAAATGACCGCCATAGATTCAGCACCTCTGAGAGCTCTGAGTCAAATTTTCAGCTGGCTAAGCCATGAGGATAGCATCAACATACAAATAGATGCTTGCATTCTCATCCAAATGCTGGTAAGTACATGTAAGTATTATAGAATGCTTCCAAAATGCTACACACATTTTTAAAGCTATCAACGACATAAACATGGAAATCATAGAATACGGATTCCCCCCAGTCTTCCTCCGTCAGCGATGCGATTCGTGCCATCTGGGCGGTGTCGGCAGCACACAGCTGCTCCGCCCGCGCATGGCATGTGTCTCTTTCCTGCTGGGAAGGACTGGCAGGACACCTGGTGCCATATCCTCTACATACCAATTGATGGTGAGATATTTTTGCCACTTACATCCAATGATATATTCATGGATATTTATGCTACTGTACTTATAGTATATCCCATGATATATTTTGGATCTACACCCATCAAAAATAGGTATCTGTGCTACCCTTTGGAAGATCTTTCCCCCATACTTTCGACAGTTTTCCAAGTGTTTTCAAACATGCGGCACCAAAGTCCATCAACAAAAAAAATGTTTCCCCAATCTTGATGGTGAATACTCATGTGCTTTGGACACCATTTTCATCTATATATGTATATAATATATGTATCATATCCTAATAGTTGTTCGTTGATGCTGGTCATACTTGCGATACAATCTGGGTCTGAAAATAGGCTACCCCAAAAAGTGGTTGATCAGAATTTCCTCCATTGGAAATTGCAATGAAGTATCATTAAACTTCATATTTTGGGGCATAATATGGCATATGGTATATATATATATAGTATAGTATATATAGAAAATAATATGTATATATATATACACAATGTATACATATATATATATTATACAACTAAAGCGTACAACAATATTTGATCCTTTTCATGCCATGCACAAATTAGGGTCGTCCCCTATCGGTTGTGAGGATTCCTGCGTTCTCAGATTTTGAGGTGACTCATGCAAAACAGGGGTATCGGTTTAGGGTCGTCCCCTATCGGTAATGAAGGTTTTTGCACACCCCTCAGCAAGGCCAAAGCATTCCCCCCCCTTTTAAGGGGGGGTCGGGTGGTGGGTAAAAATTGAAATATTTCGAAAAGGGTGTGTGTGTCCCCCCCCACACCTAGAAATATTTCAGCTAAAAAGGCTCTAAAAATATCTGGTTTATGATGGTCTCTCCAGAGCCTGGTTGAATGCATGCATGTATATATATATATATATTTATATGTATGTATCTATGTATGTATGTATGTTTGTATGTTTGTATGTTTGTATGTATGTACGTACGTCGAAAATGAAAAGGTTTGCCATACCATCTCTGGGCTAAAATGTGGCATCCGGAGGACCCCCCCACTTCTGTTGGAAGCCCAAAAACATGTGTGGGGGGTATATTTCATGTGGTCAGGTGAAATATTTCTGAGAAATTTCTTGTCCTAACCCCCTAAATATTCCAGAGTTAAAGGGGGGGATGCCAAAGCGAAGCAAAACTAAATTAGCATTAGTATTATAAAAAATGGTCGACTTAGTCATATATAATATGTATATACAGTATATGTATAGGTATCTATGTATATATATATATGTATATATGCACACCACGTTTTCAGATAACCCATAATAGATCATGATACACCCATCTCGATTCACCCATGGTCTGCCAGTGTTACCCGTCCAGCTGACGCGCCTTGGCCATCTCCATGATCTCCAACCGCATCGCTTCCATGCGCGGCTCAACTTCCTGGCCGTGATCTTTTTTGTTGAGATATTTTTTCACGAAAGATTGATGTCCTGTCCAAATTTTTGCATCCAACCATCAAAACCCAGTTGGCTCTTGAAATTTCATTCTGTACCGTAAACTCATTGGGAAAAGAGTTCGCAATTTGGCTAGGCAAACCGCGGCCTCCAACGCATCACATTTTGCACGCAATTCTTCTGCTTGGGCTTTGTACTCCTCCTCCTCAAGCTCCGGATGAGGGAACCACGATCACCGCTCCAGGGAACCATCTGGATGTGGGTCAAGTATGGTCAAGGTAGGAACAAAAACTGGGGCAACACTGAAATGACAAAATCTATCCAAACTTCTATCCAAATCTGTGAGGGTTGGGGTCTTGAATTATCTTTTATTAAGATCTTGACTTGGGCCAATTCTCCACATGGGTCCTTGGCCATCTCGGATTCAGCCTTCTCCTTCCACCTCTGCAACTCCTGCAGCACAAGCTATCTGGGGGCACCGTGGGCATTTCGTCTCATCACAATTGAAGGTTTCGTTGTTAAAGTCAATGCATCTCCCAACGTCTTTCCTCAGAGACCGAAAGTTATTGTCTCTTTCCTGTGGAAACAGCTAGGTGTTTGGCCATCACACATCGTTTGTTTCGCATGAAGCAGAACTTGGTAAACTCATCCAACAGTGCAACATATTGAAGTCAAACCTTCTATCCACTTCTTTCAACAAAGTAATTTCTCTTGCTGTATGTACGACCGAAAGTTCTCCGTCAACCGCCGAAAACATCTGGAATTAAGGAAATTCACAGAGGTAAACCAAGTGAGGTATGCTCATGTATGTTTCATATGTCTGTCCATTGCCATGTTGGTTGAAACTGTATAAAGGGAATTCAAGGGATTTAATAGGGTATAAACCATTGAAGCAACACCATAGCTCAACATGGGGTGCCTCTCTCGTCTCTGGCCTGGTGAGAGCATCTACTGCCGCATGGCCCACATGTCAACTCTTCCAAACACGGATGGCATGTGGCATGCACAACGCAGAACGTATCCCCTGTACAGTATTTAGTCCTTGAGGAACATTGTGGGTGCCAAGTGTGCAAGTGAGTTTGGGTCCTCGAAACCAATCCCTTGGCACACACACACACAGACACTGTTTGCATAATCTTCCAAACGATTGTCATTTTCTGCAATCCAAGATATAACAGTCAAAGAGATTAACCATGATGAAACCCAAACATGCAAAATGCGACATGAACAAGTGTATATACACGAAACGTCGATAGCAAGAAGCAAACCAGTGCAAACCCCTGGCGCTCTGTTCTGATGTTAAAACACCTTCAACTACACCCAGGTGCCCTTAGCAAGAATAGACATCTCTGCCTCGTATTCTTCTACCAGACCACGCATTCGGGTAATCTCTTCGCTGCATTCGTCGCGCTCCTGCAAAAGTGAAACGAACCATGAGCATCAAAAAGTAAAAATCAGCCGGTTAGCCTTTCAAACATTAATTCTGTCTGGACTGAGATGCATGAATCTAAGTGGGAGTTCGGACAAATAAAGCCAGCTATTGCATGCTCTCACTAGAGCAGCCAAAAATGCATCATAACCAAAGGGATACCAACAGGCTCAAAACTTTCAAGCTCCTTGGAAATCAGAGTGATTTCTTCAGGCTGTTCTTCTTGAACTTTCTGGAGATCGTTCACTCGGGCTCTGGAGTGATCCAGCTCCTGCACGTTCGGATCACAACTATTGGGCATTTTGGGAGCTTCCAAAGGCCTTTGCATACATGTACGATATTGTATGATCATTCTACAATGAACGATCAATCTGCGAAGCAGTGTGACTGAGACGCTATAGATTTTGGCATTGTATATTATTATTGGATATTGCTGGCCAGCAAGACAGATCTATTTCCCTGGATTGGGAATGTCCCAAACAGTGCCATAGAACGACCTATAGCTATATTACAGTGTTCTCATTTGAAACTGGAAACAACCTGACTGTCCTTAGCAAGCTGGGATATCTCTGCCTCGTATTTTTCATCCAGACCACGCATTCGGATAATCTCTTCGCTGCATTCGTCGCGCTCCTGCGAAAGCGACACGAAACATCAGCATCAGAAAAAATGAGCCGGTCAGCCTTTGAGAATTGCTTCTATCTGGACGGAGATTCATGAGTCTGAGTGGGAATTTACAAAAATAAGGACGGTTCTTACATGATCAGCCGATAATGCAGAACCAAAGGGATACCAAAGGCTCAAAGCTTTCAAGCTCCTTCGAAATCCGAATGATTTCTTCAAGTTGTTCTTCTTGAGCTTTCTGGAGATCGTTTGCTCGTGCTCTGGAGTGATCCAACTCCTGCATGTTCGGATCATTGACAAGACTTGGGCATTTTGGGAGCTTCCAAAGGCTTTTGCACCCAAAGCAATGTGACTGAACCCCTATATAGATGTTGTCATTGTATATTATCATTGTTGAATATTGCTGGCCAGCAGGACACATATATTTCTCTTGATTCGGAATGTCCCAAACAGTGCCATAGAACGACCTATAGCTATATTACAGTGTTCTCATTTGAAACTGGAAACAACCTGACTGTCCTTAGCGAGCTGGGACACCTCTGCCTTGCATTTTTCTTCGAGAGCATGTATTCGGGCAACTTCGCTGTATTCGTCCCGCTCCTGCAAAAGTGAAACGAAACATCACCATCACAAAGTATAGAAAAACAGCCGGTCAGCCTCTCAAAAATTGATTCAGTCTGGACTGAGATGCGTGAGTCTGAGTGGGAATTGGAAAAATAAGGGCAGTTCTTTCATGCTCTCACAACAGCAGCCAATAATGCACCATAGCCAAAGGGATACCAACAGACTCAAAACTTTCAAGCTCCTTGGAAATCCGAGTGATTTCTTCAGGCTGTTCTTCTTGAGCTTTTTGGAGATTGTTCACTCGGGCTCTGGAGTGATCCAACTCCTGCACGTTCGGATCATTCACAACTATTGGGCATTTTGGGAGCTTCCAAAGGCCTTTGCATACATGTACGATATTGTATGATCATTCTACAATGAACGATCAATCTGCAAAGCAGTGCGACAGAGACGCTATGGATTTTGGCATTGTATATCATTATTGGATATTGCTGGCCAGCAAGACAGATCTATTTCCCTGGATTCGGAATGTCCCAAAAAGTGCCATAGAACGACCTATAGCTAAATTATAGTGATCTCATGTGAAACTGGAAACAACCTGACTGTCCTTAGCAAGCTGGGATATCTCTGCCTCGTATTTTTCATCCAGACCACGCATTCGGATAATCTCTTTGCTGCATTCGTCGCGCTCCTGCGAAAGCGACACGAAACATCAGCATCAGAAAAAATGAGCCGGTCAGCCTTTGAGAATTGCTTCTATCTGGACGGAGATTCATGAGTCTGAGTGGGAATTTACAAAAATAAGGACGGTTCTTACATGATCAGCCGATATTGCACAACCAAAGGGATACCAAAGGCTCAAAGCTTTCAAGCTCCTTCGAAATCCGAATGATTTCTTCAAGTTGTTCTTCTTGAGCTTTCTGGAGATCGTTTGCTCGTGCTCTGGAGTGATCCAACTCCTGCATGTTCGGATCATTGACAAGACTTGGGCATTTTGGGAGCTTCCAAAGGCTTTTGCACCCAAAGCAATGTGACTGAACCCCTATATAGATGTTGTCATTGTATATTATTATTGTTGAATATTGCTGTCCAGCAGGACACATATATTTCTCTTGATTCGGAATGTCCCAAACAGTGCCATAGAACGACCTATAGCTATATTACAGCGTTCTCATTTGAAACTGGAAACAACCTGACTGTCCTTAGCGAGCTGGGACATCTCTGCCTTGTATTTTTCTTCCAGAGCATGCATTGGGGAAACTTCGCTGCATTCGTCGCGCTCCTGCAAAAGTGAAATGAACCATGAGCATCAAAAAGTAAAAATCAGCCGGTCAGCCTTGGTTTTTTTTTCTGTCCGGACTGAGATGCAGGAGTCTGAGTGGGAATTGGAAAAATACGGGCAGTTCTTACATGCTCTCACAAGAGCAGCCAATAATGCACCATAGCCAAAGGGATACCAACAGACTCAAAACTTTCAAGCTCCTTGGAAATCCGAGTGATTTCTTCAGGCTGTTCTTCTTGAGCTTTTTGGAGATCGTTCACTCGGGCTCTGGAGTGATCCAACTCCTGCACGTTCGGATCATTCACAGCTATTGGGCATTTTGGGAGCTTCCAAAGGCTTTTGCACACATGTATGATAATGTATGATATTGTGTGATCATTCTACAATGAACGATCAATCTGCGAAGCAATGTGACTGAGACGCTATGGATTTTGGCATTGCATATCATTATTGGATATTGCTGGCCAGCAAGACAGATCTATTTCCCTGGATTCGGAATGTCCCAAAAAGTGCCATAGAACGACCTATAGCTATATTATAGTGATCTCATGTGAAACTGGAAACAACTTGACTGTCCTTAGCGAGCTGGGATATCTCTGCCTCGTATTTTTCATCCAGACCACGCATTCGGATAATCTCTTCGCTGCATTCGTCGCGCTCCTGCGAAAGGGACACGAAACATCAGCATCAGAAAAAATGAGCCGGTCAGCCTTTGAGAATTGCTTCTATCTGGACGGAGATTCATGAGTCTGAGTGGGAATTTACAAAAATAAGGACGGTTCTTACATGATCAGCCGATATTGCAGAACCAAAGGGGTACCAAAGGCTCAACGCTTTCAAGCTCCTTCGAAATCCGAATGATTTCTTCAAGTTGTTCTTCTTGAGCTTTCTGGAGATCGTTCGCCCGTGCTCTGGAGTGATCCAACTCCTGCATGTTCGGATCATTCACAAGATTTGGGCATTTTGGGAGCTTCCAAAGGCTTTTGCACACATGTATGATATTGATTGATATTGCATCATGCATCTGAATCTACAATAAACAATCTGCAAAGCAATGTGACTGAACCCCTATATAGATGTTGTCAGTGTATATTATCATTGTTGAATATTGCTGGCCAGCAGGACACATCTATTTCTCTTGATTCGGAATGTCCCAAGCAGTGCCATAGAACGACCTATAGCTATATTACAGCGTTCTCATTTGAAACTGGAAACAACCTGACTGTCCTTAGTGAGCTGGGACATCTCTGCCTTGTATTTTTCTTCCAGAGCATGCATTGGGGAAACTTCGCTGCATTCGTCGCGCTCCTGCAAAAGTGAAACGAACCATGAGCATCAAAAAGTAAAAATCAGCCGGTCAGCCTTGATTTTTTTTTCTGTCCGGACTGAGATGCAGGAGTCTGAGTGGGAATTGGAAAAATACGGGCAGTTCTTACATGCTCTCATAATGCACCATGACCTAAGGGATGCCAACAGGCTCAAAACTTTCAAGCTCCTTGGAAATCCGAGTGATTTCTTCAGGCTGTTCTTCTTGTTGGAGATTGTTCACTCGGGCTCTGGAGTGATCCAACTCCTGCACGTTCGGATCATTCACAGCTATTGGGCATTTTGGGAGCTTCCAAAGGCTTTTGCACACATGTATGATAATGTATGATATTGTGTGATCATTCTACAATGAACGATCAATCTGCGAAGCAATGTGACTGAGACGCTATAGATTTTGGCATTGCATATCATAATTGGATATTGCTGGCCAGCAAGACAGATCTATTTCCCTGGATTCGGAATGTCCCCAAAAATGCCATAGAATGACCTATAGCTATATTATAGTGATCTCATGTGAAACTGGAAACAACCTGACTGTCCTTAGCGAGCTGGGATATCTCTGCCTCGTATTTTTCATCCAGACCACGCATTCGGATAATCTCTTCGCTGCATTCGTCGCGCTCCTGCGAAAGGGACACGAAACATCAGCATCAGAAAAAATGAGCCGGTCAGCCTTTGAGAATTGCTTCTATCTGGACGGAGATTCATGAGTCTGAGTGGGAATTTACAAAAATAAGGACGGTTCTTACATGATCAGCCGATATTGCAAAACCAAAGGGATACCAAAGGCTCAACGCTTTCAAGCTCCTTCGAAATCCGAATGATTTCTTCAAGTTGTTCTTCTTGAGCTTTCTGGAGATCGTTCGCCCGTGCTCTGGAGTGATCCAACTCCTGCATGTTCGGATCATTCACAAGACTTGGGCATCTTGGAAACTTCAAAAGGCTTTTGCACACATGTATGATGTTGATTGATATTGTATGATCATGCATCTACAAAAAAGATCTGCAAAGCAATGTGACTGAGCCGCTATATATATTTTTTTTATGTTGTCATTGTATATTGTCATTGTTGAATATTGCTGGCCAGCAGGACACATCTATTTCTCTTGATTCGGAATGTCCCAAGCAGTGCCATAGAACGACCTATAGCTAAATTACAGTGTTCTCATTTGAAACTCGAAACAACCTGACTGTCCTTAGCGAGCTGGGACATCTCTGCCTTGTATTTTTCTTCCAGAGCATGCATTGGGGAAACTTCGCTGCATTCGTTGCGCTCCTGCTTAAAAGTGAAACAAACCATGAGCATCAACAAGTAAAAATCAGCAGGTTAGCCGCCTTTCAAAAATTAATTCTGTCTGGACTGAGATGCATGAGTCTGAGTGGGAATTGGAAAAATAAGGGCAGTTCTTTCATGCTCTCACTAGAGCAGCCAATAATGCACCATAACCAAAGGCATACCAACAGGCTCCAAACTTTCAAGCTCCTTCGAAATCCGAATGATTTCTTCAAGTTGTTCTTCTTGAGCTTTCTGGAGATCATTCGCTCGGGCTCTGGAGTGATCCAACTCCTGCATGTTGGGATCATTCACAAGACTTGGGCGGCTTGGAGCTTCCAAAGGCTTTTGCACACATGTATGATAATGTATGATGTTGTATGATCTCGTATGATGATGTATGATCATGCATCTACAGAGAAGATCTGCAAAGCAATGTGACTGAGCCGCTATAGATGCTGCCATTGTAGAATATTGCTGGCCTGCAGGAAATTTATTTTTGGGATTCGGACTGTCCCAAAAAGTGCCATAGAACAACCTATAGCTATGTCAGTGTTCTCATGTGACACACTGGAAACAGCCTGACTGTCCTTAGCGAGCTGGGACACCTCTGCCTTGTATTTTTCTTCGAGAGCATGTATTCGGGCAACTTCGCTGTATTCGTCCCGCTCCTGCAAAAGTGAAACGAAACATCACCATCACAAAGTATAGAAAAACAGCAGGTCAGCCTGTCAAAAATTGATTCTGTCTGGACTGAGATGCGTGAGTCTGAGTGGGAATTGGAAAAATAAGGGCAGTTCTTTCATGCACTCACAAGAGCAGCCAATAATGCACCATAACCAAAGGGATACCAACAGGCTCCAAACTTTCAAGCTCCTTAGAAATCCGAGTGATTTCTGCAAGCTGTTCTGCTTGAGTTTTTTGGAGATCATTCGCTCGTGCCATGGAGTGATCTAACTCCTGCATGTTCGGATCATTCTCAAGACTTGGGCATTTTGGGAGCTTCCAAAGGCTTTTGCACACATGTATGATCATGATTGATCATGCACCTACAAAGAAGCTACAATTAAATCAGTGTGACTAAATTGTTAAATGTTGTCATTGCATGTCATTGTTGTTACCTTCATTTTTGGGACGGAGACTGTGCAATAGATTACTGTTCTCATGTGAAACTGGAAGCAGCCTGACTGTCCTTAGCGAGCTGGGACATCTCTGCCTCGTATTTCTCTTGCAGAGCACGCGTTCGGGTAATCTCTTCGCTGCATTCGTCGCGCTCCTGCGAAAGCGACACGAAACATCAGCATCAGATCACAAAGTAGAAAAAATCAGTCGGTCTGCCTTTGAGAATTCTGTCTGGGCTGAGCTGCATGAGTCTGAGTGGGAGTTCGGACAAACGGACAGTTCTTACATCTGACTCAAGATCAGCCAACTATTTTAATGACATAATGCACCATCATGACTTGATCCATAATGCACCACAACCAAAGGAACGCCAACAGGCTCAAAACATTCAAGCTCCTTGGAAATCCGAGTGATTTCTGCAAGCTGTTCTTCTTGAGCTTTCTGGAGATCGCTCGCTCGTGCTCTGGAGTGATCCAACTCCTGCATGTTCGGATCATTCACAAGACTTGGGCGGCTGGGAGCTTCCAAAGGCCTTTGCACAGGTGTATGATCATGATTGATCATGCATCTACAACGAACCTACAGTTAAATCTGTGCGACTAAATTGTTAGATGTTGTCATTGCATTTTTTTGGGGACGGAGACTGTGCCATAATGTTGACCTACGATTTTTAAACACCCCTTAAATAAAGCTAATTTTTTTTGGCCCTAAACCCAGATTTGCCCAGATGGGGCTGACCAAAACCTTTATTCAAAAATGATAGCTGGACATTGTCAAAAATGATGGATGCTCTTTCTATTCAAAACCTTTACTTAAACTTATCCAAAATCAACTCCAAATCAACTCATCAAGGGTACCCCCCATGAGGTGCCTTAGCACCAATTAGAGTTTGACCCTGAATAAAGCTACTGAGCTTCCCCCTCCCGCTGATCAAGAAATGAATACTAAATCAATACTAAATCCATGAAATGAGTACTAAACCAATACTAAATCCATGAGATGAATACTAAATCAATACTAAATCCGTGACATGAATACTAAATCAATACTAAATCCATGAGATGAATACTAAATCAATACTAAATCCATGACACGAATACTAAATCAATACTAAATCCATGAGATGAATACTAAATCAATACTAAATCCATGATATGAATACTAGATCAATACTGAATCCATGACATGAATACTAAATCAATACTAAATCCATGACATGAGTACTAGATCAATACTAAGTCCATGACATGAGTACTAGATCAATACTAAAACAATTGCTGGATTCCTTTTTTTTTGAAATTGCATTTTATGTATTCGTTTTCAATTGTGGTACAGTAATTTAAAACCTTTACATACAAACAAGTTTTATGGTGGCTTTAAGTTTATTTAGGGTCAAAGAGGGGGGGGAGGGGCCCCCCTATTTATAAATCATAGGTGGACATTAGGTCACTGTTCTTATGTGAAACTGGAAGCAGCCTGTCTGTCCTTAGCGAGCTGGGACATCTCTGCCTCGTATTTCTCTTGCAGACCACGCATTCGGGTAATCTCTTCGCTGCATTCGTCGCGCTCCTGCGAAAGCGACACGAAACATCAGTCAGCATCACAAAGTAGAAAAAATCAGTCGGTCTGCCTTTGAGACTTCTGTCTGGGCTGCGCTGCATGAGTTAGTTGTGACTTCGGACAAACGGACAGTTCTTACATCTGGCTCAAGATCAGCCAATATTTCAATGACTTAATGCACCATCATGATTTGATCCATAATGCACCCGAACCAAAGGAACGCCAACAGGCTCAAAACATTCAAGCTCCTTGGAAATCCGAGTGATTTCTGCAAGCTGTTCTTCTTGAGCTTTCTGGAGATCGCTCGCTCGTGCTCTGGAGTGATCTAACTCCTGCATGTTCGGATCATTCACAGGACTTGGGCAGCTGGGAGCTTCCAAAGGCCTTTGCACACGTGTATGATCATGCATCTACAATAAACAATCAATCAATCTAGAAAGCCGTGTGACTGAGTCGTTAGATGTTGTCATTGCATGTCATTGCTGGCGTTTCACAGAAACATCATACGGTCATTTTTGGGACAGAGACTGTGCCATAGGCCACTCATGCGAAACTGGAAGCAGCCTGTCTGTCCTTAGCGAGCTGGGACATCTTTGCCTCGTATTTTTCTTGCAAACCACGCATTCGGGCAATCTCTTCGCTGCGTTCGTCACGCTCCTGAGGAAGCCAAACGAAACACATCACAAATTAGAAAAAATCAGCAGGTCAGCCTGTCAAAAATGGATTCTGTCTGGACTGAGATGCATGAGTCTGAGTGGGAATTTGGAAAAATAAGAACAGTTCTTACATGATCAGCCCATAAATCCGATATGATAAATGCAGAACCAAAGGGATACCAACAGGCTTAAAACTTTCAAGCTCCTTGGAAATCCGAGTGATTTCTGCAAGCTGTTCTGCCTGAGCTTTCTGGAGATCGCTCGCTCGTGCTCTGGAGTGATCCAACTCCTGCATGTTCGGATCATTCACAGGACTTGGGCAGCTGGGAGCTTCCAAAGGCCTTTGCGCACGAGTATGATCATGATTGATCATGCATCTACAACGAACCTATAGTTAAAGCAGTGTGACTAAATTATGAGATGTTGTCATTGCATGTCATTGTTTGCCTGCACAAAAACAGGACGTTCATTTTTGGGACGGGGACTGTGCCATGGGTCGCTGTTCTCATTCTCATGTGAAGCTGGAAGCAGCCTGTCTGTCCTTAGCGAGCTGGGACATCTCTGCCTCGTATTTTTCTTGCAAACCACGCATTCGGGCAATCTCTTCGCTGCGTTCGTCACGCTCCTGAGGAAGCCAAACGAAACACATCACAAATTAGAAAAAATCAGCAGGTCAGCCTGTCAAAAATGGATTCTGTCTGGACTGAGATGCATGAGTCTGAGTGGGAATTTGGAAAAATAAGAACAGTTCTTACATGATCAGCCCATAAATCCGATATGATAAATGCAGAACCAAAGGGATACCAACAGGCTCAAAACTTTCAAGCTCCTTGGAAATCCGAGTGATTTCTGCAAGCTGTTCTGCCTGAGCTTTCTGGAGATCGCTCGCTCGTGCTCTGGAGTGATCCAACTCCTGCATGTTGGGATCATTCACAAGACTTGGGCGGCTGGGAGCTTCCAAAGGCCTTTGCACAGGTGTATGATCATGATTGATCATGCATCTACAACGAACCTATGGTTAAAGCAGTGTGACTAAATTATGAGATGTTGTCATTGCATGTCATTGTTTGCCTGCACAAAAACAGGACGTTCATTTTTGGGACGGGGACTGTGCCATGGGTCGCTGTTCTCATTCTCATGTGAAGCTGGAAGCAGCCTGTCTGTCCTTAGCGAGCTGGGACATCTCTGCCTCGCATTCTTCTTGCAGACCACGCATTCGGGCAATCTCTTCGCTGTATTCGTCGCGCTCCTGTGAAAGTGAAACGAAGCATCAGCATCACAAATGGCCAACTTACAGTATCAATTCCAAGAACATGTGTCAATAATTCACGGATACAAAGATGCGCATGTGTATTTACCGGTGACAATGTGCTGAGCAAACGGAACTCCTTGGAAATCTGTGTGATTTGTGCGAGCTGTTCTTCTTGAGCTGACCGGAGGTCGTTCGCTTGGGCCCTGCATTGATCTAACTCCTGCAGAGCTTGGGCATGCCGGGAGGAACCTTTTTTTGGCCGTCTGAAGGGCCGAAACTTAAGCGCTATACAGGCTCAGATCCCAATGATGCAACACCTGAAAGGTTTTACCACATTTTAAAACCATATCAAGAATCTAAGAATGCCTATCTTCCCTCCTGTTTTAGGGTCTTGAATTCTTTCCCCCGGTCACATCACCATGGAGCCACTCCTCCAACTCCGGTTGAAACATGTGGGTCCAGTGGGGAGATCATCAAACACAGGATCTTTGGGGTGGTTGAAACATCAAGCATTGGCTCTTGATTCATTGATGATGATTCATGTGGGTGGCTCTAAATTGGGGTAGACATGGACCACTTCCTGCAGGGAAAGAATCTGTGGGAAACCTGGCCAATTAAATTAATGGCTCGTCTACGCACAGATAGTGTATACTTGTCTGTATGCTATATGATACAATAGCGGAATATAGCGAATATCAATTCATGCAGCACGAATCAAGACTATTGCAGAACAATATAATATAGTACTATGGCTTACTATGACCCAATTTTGAACGCAGCGTTGTTGTTGATGACATTCGCCCTGGTCGGTTCCCAAATCCTATGTCAAGATGAGTCAAAATAGACTCAGATAGCGCCTTTACGACAATGGACATCTCGTCGAATGCTGCGCGAAATTGTTCGGAAAGGGACTGATAGTCATCTCGATCCTGCAAGATTGCGCAGGGAGGCAGAACTGGGTGGCTCCCCCATGATTCGTTTGGCCGTCAGAATCTTGTTGGAAGAGGCTCTCGAAACGCAGAGATTAACATCAAAACTCTTCAGCCACATCGAATCAACTGCTGTGATACAATCCACTCATGACCTGGCCAAGATTTATAATGATTCATCATCTGGACTTCCAAAGGCGTAAGCTATCTCTGTCCATCAGAAGAAACTGGCAGAGATTTGCAGAGCAATTAGCTGCGCCTCCGTTTTTATCTGATGCCATGCCCTTGGATTTTGTTGTACAAGACTCAGGTGAATGGCCCTATCAGATTATCACTCCCGCCAAATCTCCTTGGATATCTGGCTCATCTCCATGATGTCTGTTTCATGTTGTGCCTGGAGGTGATCTATTTCTGATCTGCACTTCTGAAGTTCCTGCAGTGCTGCAGGGGGGCCTGGAATGGCTAGAGAGGGCACCCTTTGTAGAGAACCAAGAGGTTGGGCCAAATTATAAGTCACTGATCCTCTAGAATTTAACATCCACATCCACATCCACTCTCATGAGATTTAACGATTGATGTCATCTTCCAAAATCCAAAGCAAAGGGTGCATGAGAAGTGAAAGATCATGCATTTCTTGTCAACATCAGATTTGATTAAAGGAATTCTTGTGATTTTGATCCGTCAGCATTCTGGCATGGCCTTCAGAATTTGCGAGGTGTCTCTCAGGCACGCAGCTTCGGCATGACAATCGGCAGCTTCTTCTTTCCACTTGCGAACCACCTGTCATTTGCCGACGGGTAAAACATGGTAAAACCAACATTCTGCACATCTGTGGGGTTTGACCTATTGAACATGAGAACCACTGCAGGTTGGACAATCCCAAAGACCCAACACTTATCTAATTGCAGCGACCAACCCCTGAGTCCTTAAGACTGCTACGCGAACATTGCCTGTTGGAAAAAACACTTAAAACAAAACCAACAGAATCTATACGTTTGTCATCCGTTGTCTACTCGAATATCTTTAAATAGATGTGGCCATTGGCGCACCTCGGCCATGGTTTTCATCCGCCCGAAGTAGAGCAGGAAAGCGCCGAAAGATAAGGCACGCAGCTGTTGCACTTGGACATAGCAAGCATCGCGTTCCTGGACGCCATATGGGACCCCCCAAACATGAATCGTGTCCCTGGGGTCACCCTTCACACCTTAAAATAACTGCTTCTGGAATCTTCTGGATGTTCATCCCCCTGAATCCACCGACCCCGGCCGACAGCAGGAGGGGCGCGCCAGGGAATAAGAGTGTCCAACTTCAATTACGATATCGGGCCGACAGTAAAATCAGAAGCAGCAGCAGCAGCAGCGGCAGCAACAGGAGCGGCAGCAGCAGCAGCAACCCGCAGCAACCAGCAGCACCAGCAGCACCAGCACCAGCAGCAGCAACCCGCAGCAGCAGCAACCAGCACCAGCACCAGCAGCAGCAGCACCAGCAGCAGCAGCGGCGGCGGCGGCAGCGTCTTCAGTGATTTGGCGGCTCAGAAGGTGTAAGTTGAAGAGCTAGTTCTCTAGGATTTCAGAAGACGCGTTAGGGAGTTTTTTGGTGCGATTTGGTGGCTTCTCCGTCCTTCACTGCCATGGTGTTTTAGGCTGGCGGGTCCAATGTTTTGGCGGAAGCTGTAAGTTGAAGAGCTAGTTGTCTAGGGGAGTTTTTGGTGCGATTTGGTGGCTTCTCCTTCCTTCACTGCCATGGTGTTTCAGGCTGGCAGGACCTGAAGCACCATGGCAGTGAAGGACGGAGAAGCCACCAAATCGCACCAAAAAAACTGCTAATGCGGCATCCAAAATTCTACAGAACTAGCTAGAAACGCGCTTCAACTTACACCTTCCCAGCCCCCATGGCAAATCTTGAGGCGGGGCCAGCTCCATGTTCTTCCCGACCGTTCGAACGGTCAACTTCAAGTCCCGCAGAAGCAGCCCACATTGTTCGTAAAAGCTATGCGACTTGTTGTAGGCAGCTCGGGCTACGAGAAGACTGATCACTCCTTCATGTGCGGTCAGCTTGTATGCCATGCCATCCACCCTCAGGAAATCCCGATCTTGCAACGCATGTTCAAGAAGCCATTGGTTCACAGAGACTAGTGGTGGTTTCTAGTGATGAGATGATTCTTCATGAGGTTTCATATCTCATGATCCAAAGGATTGAATTTTCTAGTCTTGACCAGAAAGCTGCTGTTGGTATTGTACTGTTTGATAATGTGTCATATTGCTTCATCCCGAGTCGTTTCATATTACTTCGTGCTCCAAGAAATCCCAATGTTTGGTGATCAGTTTTGGCACTTTTTTTGTTGTCTCATCCCCAAAAAGTCAAGAACAGCCCCAAAATATCATGATATTTGTTCTTGCCCTCACTGATGCAACTTGTCCACTTTGGTCAATTTAGATTTTCTGCTTTTCAGCCACTCTCCTGCGAGTGAATTTATGTCATCCTCCCATCAATCACGTGAAGAATCTGAAAACCATGTTTGAAAACACGAGAGATGGAGCTTAAATTGAATTTGGATTACACAAGAACGAGGAACAAGGGACTGCTACAATGATTTTCTTTGATAACACAACTAGATGCTGAAGGGAAAGAAATTAAAAACACGAAGTGCTATGCCAAGTTAAGTCTATGTGATCTCTGCTTGAAAGACAAAGAAACAACTGGCACAGTGGAACGCAGCTACTAAGCCAAACATAGAAGCATCCATATTTTCATGGATTGACCCACTAGATCAATGCAATGCAAGGGCTGCCAGAGACTTGTCGGGCGCGCCTGATGGATGAAGGCGAGAGGATGGCACAGGTTTCCGGGGTCGGCGACAGGGGCGGCCGCCCTTAAATATATGGTATATATTTTGACCCATCCCCATTGGAAATCCTTTGAACATTTATCCAGAATCATATCCCCATGGCGAATCCTCCAGCCCCAGCCGCACCTCAGAAATTTGCACCTTCTCTGCCATGTGCATGGCTTCGGCCATGCACAGCCGATCAACTTCGGCGCGGTGCTTCTCCAGGTCCTCCAGTTGTGACTCACTTGATGCATTTTGCTGGGGCATGGGCTGAAGGGAAAACATAAATATATATATATATAAATACATATATACATATATACATATATATATACAGTACAATGTAGATCAATGTACACTGCAAACCCTAGGCTTGCCCGCGGCGAATCCTCCATATCATTTGACATGCTCAAATCCCCGCGTGGGGTATAAGTTTTTTACTTTCCAAAACAACAAACCCTAAAACCTAAAACCCTAAATCCTGAAATCTTAAAGTCAAAATCACTGCGTATAGCCAGTGTTTTCATTCATCCTGGTGATAAGTATATCATATTGTTTGGATGTGTTGTTTAAGTGTGGGCGAACCCGGGGTTTGGAGGGTCAATGTAGTATATGATATACAAAACCATGATAACATAATGCTATGCGTTAGATAAAGGTCTCAACGTCTAAATACCTAAAACGTCCCGAAACGAGATGCGTCGACACACCCGGCCCAACCGGTTGGCCCCAGATCCCAAATGTGGCTACAAATGGCTACAGTAAGAAATACCACTTTCAACACCTTTCAAACATTCCATATGGGTTTGTCTGGAAATCGGATTTTCCAAAGCCCATGGTTTATCATCAATTTCGTATGAAATGGCTACATCATGGGTACGGGTATACCAGGTATACCCCATTTCCAGACACATCCAGCCATGGGTCCTTGCCAATCTGGGCAATCTCGTCTAGTTGCAACGCTTCAGCAGCTCGAAGCTGATTGACTTCTGCTGTCAATTTCCCAAGTTCCTGTCCACTAAACACTCAAAAATGAACAGCATGGCCATGCATGGCCAATCCATAAAGAAATGTATATACAATTATATAAATAAACAATGAAAAAATATAAACATATATTTATATATCTATCTATATTAAAATCCTAAGTGTATGTAAATGTAGTCTTCATACCTCAGGCGACCCTTTGCATTTCAAACCAGCTACAGGGCGTGAGTTTATTTTTGAACCACACAGCCTTTCGCTCAAAAAGAGGAGCATTCAACATACATCAACATAACATACTGTACTATTGTCACAAACAAATCAAATACAATGGCCAATGGAGCTTAGCTTGTTGACCAAATCTAGCCGTCTAGCCCTCTCAAGAGAGCCAAATCATGAACACATGAACACTTAGGTGCTACATGGTGCTACAATTATCCCCGATCTGCAACGTCAACTTTCTCCATATCCAGGTTCCTCCGCACCAAACGCCCAAGAGTCCCATGTTATTGCAGTCCCATCCTTTAAACATCTTTAAACCCTAGCTGTGTTGAGGACAGCAAAATATCAGCCTTGTTCGCAAGTGAAAGTCGTTCCAAATGGCAGTCTTCAGCTACTTGGAGCTGATCAGCTTTAGCATGGAAATCGTCTCTTTCCTGCGTCTCAAAGCTCAAGGGCTGTCATGGACAAAGGAAACCATGCGAAAAAAATGCATTGTAATATATTGTAATGACACAATAAAAACTGTGAACTTAAAGTTTCCTGTGGTGCTTGCCAGTGGCTACAGCAACTTCAAAATCTTGGTTTTTACAAACGGATGCAGATGTTTCGAAATGGGACGATAACACACATATACACACACACATATAATTATGTATATAATATATATATAGATTGAGCTTGCCTTTCACGCTGTTTGGCCACCCCGGGAGCCCGACAATTTGATATATAGCAACAATGCACGACATGCTCATGTTCATTGCAAAAATCCATATCCACTAGCAGTATTCTTCGGGGATGACAATGGTTGACACTTTCAAACTTCTCCCGGGGCGTATCAACATCCAATTCCCTCTGGGACAACTGACAGTGTTGATTTTCAGTATCATCATGCAAACCCGGCATTTCTCGTGTGCCCTCCGTTAAAAGCCACCCCCGTCTCATCCGTGGAACATCCACACCCTGACACATTGGAAAACCAGATTTCCGCCTTCCTCAGCTCAGCTGTTGCGACCCTGCAGTTCTCTAACTCCTGTGATATCTGTGATGCAGCGATCAGTCCGAGCGGCACGGAGCAACGCCGGAGTGGGATTGAACTCATCGTGATCGATGACGACGGCAACATGATGATGATGAGGATGAGGATGAGGATGAGGATGAGGAGGAGGAGGATGATGATGATGATTCTACTATTATGATGATGGCAAGGATGGGAACAACTAAGCAGCGATTGCAAGGATGATGTCAAAACAAACACATGTTATGAACAAACAAAACAAAAACACATCTCTTACATAGGTTTCTTCATCACTTTTGCCATTGCATGAATGTACACAACAATATTTGATTGGTATACACCGAGTCAAATGAGTTTAATGTACTCTCATAATATATGGTTACAAGTTACAAGTCGTCTTTTTTTGGGGCCCTATCGCTTTGCATGGTTTGGTGCACTTTCTCAGCATAATTGCGCCCCTCCTTACAAGAGTAATCTACGCTTCTTCTGACCGTATCTCACTTGTTGGTACAGCCGCTGAGATACACACAGAAAGCAGTAGTAGCAGTAGTAGCAGTAGTAGTAGTAGTACCTACAGCCTACAACAGCAATGGCTACAACAGCGCGTATGATTTTGTGGCAAGTCGGTGCCTGATGAATCCAACCAAAATATCAGCTGTAGAGTGGGTTTGTTTGAAAATAGGCTACCCCATCCCATCCACTGGTTCATCATTCTTTTCCCAATTGAAATACTTTCAAAGGGCCATTTTAGATATCCCAAGTTTCATCAATTTCAATGGCTATTTTAGATCACGAATCATCCCGAGTCAATCTTCCTTGCCGGTACAAGTCGGTCCTGTGCCATCTGAGACTGCTCTGCCAGCAGCATGGCTTCGGACACCCGAAGATGATCTGCTTTGGTCATGAAGTCTTCCAGCTCCTGCACCGAACACCAACAAACAGCAACAAATACCAAGAAACACCAACACATTGGCTAAGGGAGGCTGTGACAAGGCAGTGCAAATTGAATCTCGTTAGAAAACATTACGTAAGGGCTCAAATGGGACAACACTGCATTCTGAATTCCGATCATCAACAATGTTTTCGATGTAATCAGTCAATATCTTCGCCTTCCCAAGATGGTGTTTCATAGTATTTTCATAGTATTTTCATAGTATTTCATAGTGATCATAGTGTTTCTGTGCTCTCAAAATGGCACCCAACAGCAGCATTGTCAAAGCCCGCCTTTTCGATCTGAGACTTCTCCGCCAGGTGCATCGACTCAGCAATACAAAGCCGATCAGCTTCTGCTCGGTATTCTTCCACTTCCTATCGCACATCAAATTGCCAAGTCTAAGACATCAACACCAGGCATTCGGATGCTATGCTTGAAGATGCTTGAAGGTCCAATCACGACAAGCTGTAACCGTTACGTGCAAACGTAGTTTGACAACCGGCATCAATCCCAAACAATGGGTATTAAACATATGCAGGCACACACATATAATATAATAACATTATATACGTACATATACGCAAACCAAAATCAAACAAAATATAAGAACAGGCTTACAAACATATAAAAAACATCAACCTACCTACTGTAGTATTTGAACAAGTGGCAACACTGCTGAAAAGCCTTGTTCCAGCCTTCTGCAGCTGTGTCCTCTCCGCCAGAAGCATGGACTCAGTAGCAAGGAGCTGATCTGCTTCCCCTCGGCAATCCATGAGCTCCTGTCAAGAATCCATTGGGGCACAGTTTTTCGCATCTTTTCATCTTCTATACTGTCACCATCTATCAACATTATATTTCGCAGGTTAACCACTATGTTTAGGATCTAACGAAAGTTCAATCTCTAATCGTCAAACTTAGTAATGATAAGTGATGTCCATATAATTGGCTAATCCCCCCTGAATCGGGACGTTTGTGGAAATTGAAGGGCAGTTGGCGTGTCATACCCACACATCCCAGCAGACCCTACCTGGGAACTGGTCGCGTGGGGTATTCAAAAATTAAGACCCCGTCTGTGGACCACAGGTTTGGGCCATTTTGAGATGTTGAATATCGATCATCAAACAGAACCAAATCCATCCAATTTTTTGGGGGGGTTGACCCACACCTGCCTCTGCTTGTTTGGAAAACTCTTCTTTCCTTTTCTCAGCTTCCTGTTGACACTTCTCCAAGTCTTCTTGGCATCGGGCTAGGACCTGGTCCCGCAGCTATGGGATTGATGTAACCAGCCCTATGGCTATCTACCGGTATCTACCAGTTGAATGTGCGTACTAGTCCAGTGACAATCCCGATGGTGATTCATCGTGGTGTTGAATCCATCATTACCGCCTGCCTCTTGAGACAACTTGCACTGACCTCTCCAAAACTGATCTGCTGCCATCGCCTCACTTTGCTTCAATGCACTGGTTGCATCCTTTTCCTTTTGTCTCTTCATCTCCTCCAACTCATCTCTCGCGCGCTTGATCTCCTGCCATGTGGGGCACTACATTGGAACAAACCAGGTATCCGGTATCCAGTTCATCTCTTTCAAAATCAAATGCATCAAATACACCAAATAATTACATCCAAATACATCAAACCGCTGACCACTGCCTGGAGATGTTCTGCAATCGTCTGGGATTTTGTCGCAGCTTCCTCCTTCCAGGTGTCCACCTCTTCTTGGCAGTCTTCCAATTCCTGACCACCAAAAACGCGAGCAAAAACAGTGCACAGATGACCAAGATGAGCCTCAACTAAGCCGACTAAGCCGAATAAGATCAGCAGGGGCACCTTGGCTTGGCGAGACACCAAGGCCATGTTCTTCTGATATCTTTTCTTCAGAGTTTCCAACTCATCTTCTGCCTGAAGGCTTTCATCCCAAGGATGTTGAGACGTATACCCAACACCTACGATGATCTTTTGTAATCTTTTGTGGGGTTTCAGGAATGTTTGTGAGTTGCTTTTGAATCATCTATGCTCATCTGCACAACTGCAGGCATTCGTCGCAGGGCATCACCATCCCAAATCAGTTCGGAATGGAAAATTTTGGGAACACCAGGCACAGTACAAGTTCCAGTTTCATTCTGAAATAATCATAAATACCTCTGTATACATACTGTAAACACATATATATATATGTATATATATATATCATATTATATCATTATATATCTCTATCTATCTATGAAATGAACCCATACCAATCGCGTTCATATCATGACAATGGAACACATGGAACTCATTGGGCATGCGGCATGTTTCGTCGTGTTTCGCCGTGTTTCGCCGTGCCACCCTCCGTCCTCCAGTCGCTTTTCAACCGCTGCGGCAGTGCGCTCCTTGCCCTGTTCTTTGCACATCTCCAACTGCTCGCGACATTGCCGCAGATCCTGCCATGGGAACAAACGGTATCTGGTTGATATTATAAGAAACACTGATACTTTATCATGGGATATCATCACAATCAGTGGCATATTAGAAGTGTATATTCATTGATCCTAGTATCGGATATGATTTGATTAAACATTTACTAAATAAATATCTCCTGTGGAATTGATGAACATTGAAGGGCAGTTGGCGTGTCATACCCACACATCATCCCAGCAGACCCTACCTGGGAACTGGTCGCGTGGGGTATTCAAAAATTAAGACCCCGTCTGTGGACCACAGGTTTGGACCATTTTGAGATGTTGAATATCGATCATCAAACAGAACCAAATCCATCCAATTTTTTTTGGGGGTTGACCCACACCTGCCTCTGCTTGTTTGGAAAACTCTTCTTTCCTTTTCTCAGCTTCCTGTTGACACTTCTCCAAGTCTTCTTGGCATCGGGCTAGGACCTGGTCCCGCAGCTATGGGATTGATGTAACCAGCCCTATGGCTTTCTACCGGTATCTACCAGTTGAATGTGCGTACTAGTCCAGTGACAATCCCGATGGTGATTCATCGTGGTGTTGAATCCATCGTTACCGCCTGCCTCTTGAGACAACTTGCACTGACCTCTCCAAAACTGATCTGCTGCCATCGCCTCACTTTGCTTCAATGCACTGGTTGCATCCTTTTCCTTTTGTCTCTTCATCTCCTCCAACTCATCTCTAGCGCGCTTGATCTCCTGCCATGTGGGGCACTACATTGGAACAAACCAGGTATCCGGTATCCAGTTCATCTCTTTCAAAATCAAATGCATCAAATACACCAAATAATTACATCCAAATACATCAAACCGCTGACCACTGCCTGGAGATGTTCTGCAATCGTCTGGGATTTTGTCGCAGCTTCCTCCTTCCAGGTGTCCACCTCTTCTTGGCAGTCTTCCAATTCCTGACCACCAAAAACGCGAGCAAAAACAGTGCACAGATGACCAAGGTGAGCCGCAACTAAGCCGACTAAGCCGAATAAGATCAGCAGGGGCACCTTGGCTTGGCGAGACACCAAGGCCATGTTCTTCTGATATCTTTTCTTCAGAGTTTCCAACTCATCTTCTGCCTGAAGGCTTTCATCCCAAGGATGTTGAGACGTATACCCAACACCTACGATGATCTTTTGTAATCTTTTGTGGGGTTTCAGGAATGTTTGTGAGTTGCTTTTGAATCATCTATGGTCATCTGCACAACAGGCATTCGTCGCAGGGCATCACCATCCCAAATCAGTTCGGAATGGAAAAATTTGGGAACACCAGGCACAGTACAAGTTCCAGTTTCATTCTGAAATAATCATAAATACCTTTGTATATATACTGTATATAATTAATATATTATATATATATGTATATTTAATTATATTTATATATCTCTATCTATCTATGAAATGAACCCATACCAATCGCGTTCATATCATGACAATGGAACACATGGAACTCATTGGGCATGCGGCATGTTTCGTCGTGTTTCGTCGAGTTTCGCCGTGCCACCCTCCGTCCTCCAGTCGCTTTTCAACCGCTGCGGCAGTGCGCTCCTTGCCCTGTTCTTTGCACATCTCCAACTGCTCGCGACATTGCCGCAGATCCTGCCATGGCAACAAAAGGTATCTGGTTGATATTATAAGAAACACTGATACTTTATCATGGGATATCATCACAATCAATGGCATATTAGAAGTGTATATTCATTGATCCTAGTATCGGATATGACTAGATGATTAGACATATGTATAGCACATATAATATAATAATATGTTTTAAAATTTAAGCGTAGTATTGAATTTATGTAACCGTCGTATATGCTTGGGTATCATGAACAAATAAATTTGATACTTGGTGACAACAAATTTGGATATTATATGATATTACTATTATCATCATTTTGTGGCACTTTTGATGAGATCAATCAGATAGCCATATTTTTCAGGTGGTTGACAATGTTAAGGTATGTTCAACCAACCCGAACCATATGAATTATGACTCCTGGGGGATCATCTTTGCAACCATAGTAGCAGCTACTTGTAAAGATGTAGGGAGATACAGAAATAATTGAACGATTCTACAACCACCCCCACATTTTTCGCGCTCTGGCTGCTGCGACCTCAATCGCCGTCCTGCGTTTGCTTCCCAATGGTTGTTTCAGCATTCTGTGCCTCCAACTTCCAATGTTCCACCGCATCTTGGCACTGGATGATCTCCTGCAAATGCTTCTGTACGATTATGGTGATGATGATGATGATGATGATGATGATGATGATGATGATGATGATAACTTGACACATGTCTATCATACAATGATAAATAGTTTAAGGATCCCACAGTACCAAATAGGACCCCACATGTTTGTGCGATCTGGCTGCTGCGACCTCAATCGCCGTCCTGCGTTTGCTTCCCAATGGTTGCTGCAGCATTCTGTGCCTCCAACTTCCAATGTTCCACCGCATCTTGGCACTGGATAATCTCCTGCAAATGCTTCTGTACGATTATGGTGATGATGATGATGATGATGATGATAACTTGACACATGTCTATCATACAATGATAAATAGTTTAAGGATCCCACAGTACCAAATAGGACCCCACATGTTTGTGCGATCTGGCTGCTGCGACCTCAATCGCCGTCCTGCGTTTGCTTCCCAATGGTTGCTGCAGCATTCTGTGCCTCCAACTTCCAATGATCCACCGCATCTTGGCACTGGATAATCTCCTACAAATGCTGCTGGATGTTGCTGGATGTTTCTGGTTCCATGTAACTGCCTGCCTTGATCAACACAAGAATTTAACAAGTGCCTAATCACCCTGCTTCGAAAGCCAGCAAGTACACATGTCAAGTATCATCTTCATGACAATCGTAATCATAACACATCCAATATCATCCAATAATCAGTCATCATCCGTCATCTATATTACATAAAAACAGTTTAATACCTGTAACACAAGACGTGGGATGAACATCCATGTGACCCGTGGGGCCCTGCCTCCACTTGTTGTGAAATGATCTGCGCTTTTTTCTCCACCTCCGATTTCCACCACTGCAGCTCGGTCACATGCGTCGTGAGGGTCGTATCATGAGTCTCCTGATGGTCATTGCAAATGGGGGTCGGTGTCAATGTTCCATTGCCATGTTTGAGTACCAAAATTACCAAAAGACAGCAAAGGAATATCTGATATGACCGCTGCCTGTGGTCGAAACTTAACTCTGCAACTAGTGAGAACATTCCTACAGGTTTGCACAGAGAGGAAATCAGTCAACCACTCTTCATGGCTTTGTCTGAAAATCTTGGGAAATCCCCAAACCCACTAGCTTATCATCATTTCTGGAGGTACGGCATCCCGCCCTATGGGCACATAGCACATCCCTTTGGAGGAAGAATGATAGTTGCGCGGTCCTGCAGTTGCCTGAGATCTTCCCGAGATTGTTGTACTTCCTGCCAGTTCGGTGGGAGGGGTGCAGGGTGTCATTCCTGGTCCCACGGAATCATCTGGCTGGTGTGTCCGACCCCTGTGTATTGTAGATAGTATGGTCATATATAGTCCAGAAAAATGGAAGAATCATCCCAAATAGATCCAAATAGGATTAAAAAAACAAAAAACGATTGAAGATCATTGGACCATTTTCCATACACCAACCAGCCAACTCTTGTTGAATGCGGCACCTGGACCAGACGAGGTACCTGGCTGTTGGACACCGCCAGTTTGATCAAAGGATGAGCCAGTCGTTGGTTGGAGAAATTTGCCAAACATCAAGCAACTCATGACGCCATGCTCCAAAGTCAGTTGACCTCGTTGTCTTTCAGCTCATCTAGTTCTTTGCGAGCAGCATCACGCTCCTTGACAGAGCATGATGAGAAACTAGGCTCCAAGTGGAAGAGCTACGGACATGTTATAAAGAATGCTTAGAACAGAAAATTCAACAGGATTCCGAGATTGAAACACACGCGAAGAACATGAGAATATCACCAAACAGAATGGAACCAAATCCAAATCAATCGGACTTTATCGATCTTTTCAGCCCTGGACCATCGACAACATCCGTAGTACTTTTCTTCGCCCCCATTTCTGAATGTGGGATCTACAATAATAAACCATAATAAACCATTCCCACTCATCAACCATAAAAGGGGTTTTGTTTAATTTGTAATAGATTAAAATGAACATAATTCTGTATATGTCATCCAAAGTAGGGGCCCGGGGCCATGGATGGTCGTGGTTTTTACACCACGAAGATTGACAGCTGCAGTCGGTCAGCTCCTCGCTCAAACGAAGCGCCTCCGACTCCCTGGCCTGTTCCTCGGCAGGGTTGCGACCATGTGCCGAAAAAAGTCATTTCGTTTACCATGTTGTTTAGCATAGTTTTACCATAGTTTACCTATGTTTAGTTGAATTTATGATTAAATTGAATGTTGACCTGCCCATGACAGATCATGACAGCTGATGGGTTGTCATGTTCTATCACCAATATGAGTGGCCTACAAAATTACTTACTACCCGCAATAGACATGGCCAAACTGGGTGGTCCCCTATCAGTTGTGAATGTTTTCGCACAAATTTGAATATCCCGTGTCCACTTCCCACTACTTTAGCCTTCCGCTAGTTTTGTCGGTTACTCATATGGAATTAATATGAATTAATTCGATTCTCTCTATGTTTTTGGGTGGAGTTGAGGGTACCAGGTACCTTCATGACCCTTCATGGTCATCCATTCCTGGGATGGTGACCAATTAGCCATGGATGATGATTGATGTCATGAGGAGCCTTAAAAAAAGGAAAGGATCAATCAATCCATCAACTCATCAATCATCATTAACCATCATCAACCCATTGTCAATATCACCGGGTGTTTGTTTGGGATCGTGGTAGCTGCCACCAGCAAACCTCTGTTGCTCGTATGGCATCCGCCACCAGGAGTTGGTCCGCTTCCTGGCGATATTCCTCACGCTCCTGTGGCGCTGCGCAGATTCAAAGCTTTAACACTTTAATGTGGTGATCAGGATCTTGTTTCATACCACATTATCAAGTTAAATCAATGACAATCAACGTACAATGTATATATAAAATATATAAATCATATATATATATATGTATTGATACAATACGATACGATAGTACGTATTACAATGAAATGCAATACCGCGCCTCTTCCACAATGCAGTCTCATATCAGGATATACTGTATCAGAGAATCGGGATTTGGATGATGGGACACATAAGGATGCTGCTCAAGAACAACGACAAACAATCACGACTAGCACAACAAATGCCCAAATCGATTAATGAACTTCGATGAACTCAAGGTATGAAACTGATAAATCAGATTCAATCCCTATCATATTACCAGGTAATCAAACCATTCCGAAGACATCAAACGCGGCCCATCAAGCCACAACTGCTACAGCCGCCTCGGCCATCCGATTCATCTCATCTTCCAAACAGGCCACTTGATGTCGAGATTGGCCAAGTTCCTAGCCGCAGGATGCCGAAGGCAGACTTGGCCAAGATGTTTGATTGGCAAAATCATACCGAACATAAATATGGAAAACCCAAAGCCATACACCATCATACACCATCCAAACTTGGGTTTATGACATTGGGTATACCATGGTATACCTCTATCTGGGATCTAACATTACCATACATGACCCCCCATCGTTGGTGAGTTGGATCCACACTACTTGGAGTACTCAATCTCACCAAAACACTCAGAGATGGTTTCTTAATGTCTATTATTGGGTGTTCTTTTCTGATGCAATTTGGGGTTACACATCCCAGGCATGGATTAAGTAAAGGTATACTCTGAACTTGAAACCATGACCGCTGCAGAAATTGTTCTTGCAGATATTCACGACGTTCTTGAGATCTCAAGCAAGCCAACATAAACCACAACCCGACTGACACTCGGATCCTCTGCCAAATGCTGCAATTCCTCTCAAAGAACAAGAGGAACGGAATTGAAGTGACAAAAGAAAGAAATCCGTGTTTGGACCAAACATGAAAGTGCGTTCGGACTGGTTCACCTTGCACAAAGGGCTGCCACTGCCAAAACAAAAACCGTTTCAACCTTAAACTGATCCTCTGTTATATTGTTACCCATCCCAAACTTACATCCCGATATGGCTCTAAATCCCGTGATATCCCCAGGTTTCTGATGATAAGTCCACCGTAAATTCTGGTTGTTTGCTGCGGCCTCCTCCTTTTCCGACAACAGCAATGTGGCGGCCACATCTGCAGCGCGCAAGCGCTCCGTCTCCGCACGAAGGGCTTGAAACTGGCAGCAAACCATGGAGACCATTGGGGGTTTGGGATGTAGCCTATGAAAGGGGTAAATTACCATTAAATAGCTATGGAAACACAGCTATTAAACACATATGGCTCTATCATACCATATCACTATGGAATTCCATGAGGCTAGGGAATAGCTATGGCCTATTGAATCTCAGGGAAACATAGCTATGGAAGCCATGGCCCTTTCATCTTTCTGTCAATGATTTACCTATAAAAACGGTGATTTCCATAGCAAACATTGTCTGTTGATTTGCTGGTGGATGAGCCACTGCAAAGTGGAAAAGAAACCACAAGAGCATGCATACGTGGCATGTGAACAACAACATCAACGTGCCAAAACAATCTGGAATACAACCACAGAAGATGAACCGATCTAGACCAATAGTGTTGGTTGGTGTGTCAGTGTACCTTCTACCGAAGCAAATGTGGCCCATGACGGAACAGAAACCGCGATATACCGAAGTCAATTTTGACCTCGTGATTTTCCAATGCATGCCACAATCGTTCACGTCGACGCTTGAATGGTCTCTTACAGCAGTGACTATCATGATTTCTGAGCCGTCGAAGGGCTTGTACTGAGTTCTTTGGGGTACATGCACTGCTTCGTACACAACCGATTAAGAGCCACTGAAAGCGACCAACTATCAGAGTGATCCAACACCAACCAAGACCATCTTCGGATCACACCGTTGAAATCGCATTTCAAAGCAACAATTCAACACAAATCCTCATGTTCTATTCCATCCCTTATAAACGATGGTACACATATGGTAATTACACACGTATATCATGTATATATATATAATATACCAGCATCACTTACAAGCATGAGTGCGATAACTATAAAATCATATATAACCATAGTATACCATAGTATCAAACAATTAAAAACATGTTCCTATATGTTCCTATTTTCTCTACGTGTAACAGGTTCCTATTCCCAAGCAACCCAAACGACCCAAGCTCTGACCGATCTCTCTGGCACGCCTCCTCTGGGGGTGCCAGAGCTCGATCGGCCTGCAGCCAATCTGCTTCCGCACGGCACTGGTCCAACTCCTTGATGTGCGCCCAGCTGGTGGCCAAAAATTACACCCTTTGGATGTATGGGAAAAAATGGGAAAAAATGGAGATATGATGTGATATTTATATTGAACAACCGTAGTGGCTTGCTTCCAAAAAAAACATGATTTGGTTTGTAGTTGGCCCACCCCTCCCCAACATATGCGCCTGAATCTACCGTTGCAAACCCGGAACCTGGGTGTTCTCAACAGTTACTTGCCAGCTTGTTCTGTACCGGTCACAGAAGTTGCTAGCTCATCCCTCATCGAAGCAATGTTTGTCTGCTGTCCTTCTGCAGCCTCATGGCATCCTGGCAACTAAGATGTTGGTCCATTGGACCAGACATCTACATCTGTCTACCATATTACATATGTGTATATACATGTTATACACACATGTATATGTGCTGAACGAGTGTCCTTTACTGCAGTTTGACTTTGACCAAGCATCTCTTTGCCTCTCGCTAGCATAGACTAAACCAACCTTCCAACCACATTTCTGTTTACGCGCAAGATCAGTCGTGATACCAGGCTAATTCCCAAAGAACTATGGACAACATCATCTTGTATTCCGAGTAGCATTAACGATCTCATGCTATGGATTTGTCTGAAAATAGGTACCCGCAGGGTATCCGAAAATCCTATAGTTTATCATGTTACATTTTTGGGGAGGTTATATCCCATGTTCAGACACACCCAGTTAGATATTGTGGGCTATATCCCCATGATACATACCCCCATGTTTCCTGTGGTCGCGATCCCCCGCCCTGGTGGACACCTCATTGCTCTGGGCATTGGCGGCTTGAGTGATTTCCAGCTCCTGGCATTCGGAGAGGCATCTGGCTGATATCCATGGGTTGTATGGGAAACCTATTGGTTTTATTGGTTGTTTTAAATGTGTCCTAGCCCCCAGAAAATGAGATTCCTGAAGACACAAAAACATGAACCGTTCTGGGGTTGAAGGTCTAGGGGTGTTTTCTCAAAACATTTTCTAGCTGGTTGCAAATGAAATCAAAGAATCTCTGCCACCCATGGCACATGGCCTACACAGAACCAGTGTTTGTTGGACTAGACATATCCACCTGTTCTTTGGACATAATCCCAAAGATTGCTATCCAATATCTCCACAAATTTCCCATTCGTTCACATATACTTTGACTTCCTTATAATAACACATGTAATTTCCATTTTAAATGGTTTCTTTACCACAGGCAACTCATTTCGGATCATTGCCTCCTTGAATCGACGGACTTCCTGACGAGGCGCAGGCGAGTCGTCATAACTTGCCGAGAAAGATAATTATGATCATGTGCGTTGACAATGGATTGGTTTAAGGGAAAAATTTACAGGAAAACCCGGTAAACCCCATATTTCATGGGAAAATCGATGGTTTCCTCTAGATTTTCCCTTAAACCAATCCGTTGAGCATTGACCATGCGTCGACTTGAGCAATGGATTACATTATCCATTGTTCAATACCAGTAGTGCCGCACAAGGAGGTGGCGGAATTTCAAAAACAGGAAACCTATAGTAGAGGTTTGTTGTTGTGACTCACGGATGGCAGAGCGAATCCACTGATGGACCGAAAGGTGGTTGGAGTTGTGTTTCTTGGAGTGGTTGCAATGGTTGCAGTGGTCACCTCACCACCACTGCTGGGTGTAGTGTGGTGTAATGCAATTGTAGCTGTAGTTGTAGTGTAGTGTAATGGAGTTGTAACTGTGGTGTAATGTAATTAATGTAGTGTAGCTGCAGTTGCAGCTGTAGCTGTGGTGTGGTGAAATTAGTATAGTGTAGTGTAGGGTACTGTAGTGTTGTGTGCTGTAGTGTGGTATAGTGTAGTGTAGTCTAGTGTAGGGTAAAGTAGCGTAGCTGTAGTTGCAGTGTAGTGTAGTGCAATTAGTAAAGTGTAGCGTAGTGATTTGTAGTTGTAGTTGCAGTTGCAGTTGTAACGCAATGTAATGTAATGTAATGAAATTAGTGTAGTGTAGTGTTGTGAAATGTAGTGCAGTTGTAATTGTATTTCTATTTGTAGTTGTAGCACGCTGCAGTGTAATTCGTGTAGTGTAATGTAACGTAATGTAGTTGTAATTGTAGTTGTAGCTGCGGTGGTAGTAGTAGTTGCTGTAGTTGTAGTGCAATTAATGTAGTGTAATAAAATAAGATGTAGTAATTCGTGTAGTGCATTTTTTAAAATGATTTTTAAAAGGAAAATTACTAGCGCCAAAGTCAAGAAAACCTGCTGCCAAATCACTATCGCAGCCTGGATGCAGCCATTCCAATACGATTTACGCTGTTCAACTGCAAAAGACAATAGTATTACGCATGCAGCCGCGGCACCGAGCAACCTTGACGCAGCCACTACAATGCGATCTGCAGAGACTGAGTTGCAAAACACAATAGAACTACGCGCAACGGCGTCAGAAATTGTAGCTTTAAAACTGGGATCTCGATGCCAAAGCAGAAAAAAGACGATTTTGAGCCATTTTTAAAAATAAATTTTAAAGGAAAATTACTAGCGCCAAAGTCAAGAAAACCTGCTGCCAAATCACTATCGCAGCCTGGATGCAGCCATTCCAATACGATTTACGCTGTTCAACTGCAAAAGACAATAGTATTACGCATGCAGCCGCGGCACCGAGCAACCTTGACGCAGCCACTACAATGCGATCTGCAGAGACTGAGCTGCAAAACACAAAAGAACTACGCGCAACGGCGGCAGAAATTGTAGCTTTAAAACTGGATCTCGACGCCAAAGCAGAAAAAAGACGATTTTGAAGCATTTTTAAAAATGATTTTTAAAAGGAAAATTACTAGCGCCAAAGTCAAGAAAACCTGCTGCCAAATCACTATCGCAGCCTGGATGCAGCCATTCCAATACGATTTACGCTGTTCAACTGCAAAAGACAATAGTATTACGCATGCAGCCGCGGCACCGAGCAACCTTGACGCAGCCACTACAATGCGATCTGCAGAGACTGAGTTGCAAAACACAATAGAACTACGCGCAACGGTGTCGCAAATTGCAGCTCCAAAACCGGATGGATCTCGACGCCAAAGCAGAAAAACGACAATTTTGAACATTTTTTAAAAGGATTTTTAAAAGGAAAATCACTAGCGCCAAAGTTGAGAAAATCTGCTGACAAATCACTATCGCAGCGTGGATGCAGCCATTCCAATACGATTTACGATGCTCAGCTGCAAAAGACAATAGTATTATGCATGCAGCCGCGGCCCGAGCTTGACGCAGCCATTACAATGCGTTTCGCAGCATCCCGTAGCAAACCTGCACCTATCTACGGACGTGGCAACACCAAATGACAACAATCATGCAGCCATTCCAATGCGATCTGCCACCACAGCTTCAAGAAACGCATAGAACTACGCACACAGGAACAACCACTCGTTGCAAAACACATAGGAGGAACAATTCGCGACAAAAACGACCCCAGCCGCAACCGCCGCACAGACGAGGTACCTTTCATCGCCGGCTGCAGCCACTTTACACGGAAAAACACAAGGTTTCGTGCTCCGGCTTCCTCCCCAAAACATAGCCCATGCAACATTCATGCAGCCATTACATTGCGTTTTGCAGCATCCCGTAGCAAACCTGCACCTATCTACGCACGTGGCAACACCAAATGACAACAATCATGCAGCCATTCCAATGCGATCTGCCACCACAGCTTCAAGAAACGCATAGAACTACGCACACAGGAACAACCACCCGTTGCAAAACACATAGGAGGAACAATTCGCGACAGAAACGACCGCAGCCGCAACCGCCGCACAGACGAGGTACCTTTCATCGCCGGCTGCAGCCACTTTACACGGAAAAACACAAGGTTTCGTGTTCCGGCTTCCTCCCCAACACAAAGCCCATGCAACATCATGCAGCCATTCCAATGCGATCTGCCACCACAGCTTCAAGAAACGCATAGAACTACGCACACAGGAACCAACCACTCGTTGCAAAACACATAGAAGGAACAATTTGCGACAGAAACGACCGCAGCCGCAACCGCCGCACAGACGAGGTACCTTTCATCGCCGGCTGCAGCCACTTTACACGGAAAAACACAAGGTTTCGTGCTCCGGCTTCCTCCCCAAAACATAGCCCATGCAACATTCATGCAGCCATTACATTGCGTTTTGCAGCATCCCGTAGCAAACCTGCACCTATCTACGCACGTGGCAACACCAAATGACAACAAACATGCAGCCATTCTAATGCGATCTGCCACCACAGCTTCAAGAAACGCATAGAACTACGCACACAGGAACAACCACTCGTTGCAAAACACATAGGAGGAACAATTCGCGACAGAAACGACCCCAGCCGCAACCGCCGCACAGGCGAGGTACCTTTCATCGCTGGCTGCAGCCACTTTACACGGAAAAACACAAGGTTTCGTGCTCCGGCTTCCTCCCCAAAACATAGCCCATGCAACATTCATGCAGCCATTCCAATGTGCTCTGCAACCACAAATGCAAGAAACGCATAGAACTACGCACACAGCTTCTACGCACACAGCTTCAAGAACTACGTCACCACCTCCCTTTGTCACCTCTTCCCTTCCTCACCACTTCCCTTCGTCACCATTTCCCTTCCTCACCACTTCCCATGGTCCCCACCTCCCTTCCTCACCACTCCCCTTCATCACCGCTTCCCTTCCTCACCACTTCCCTTCCTCACCACTTCCCATCGTCCCCACCTCCCTTCCTCACCACTTCCCTTCGTCACCACTTCCCTTCGTCACCACTTCCCTTCGTCACCACTTCCCTTCGTCACCACTTCCCTTCGTCACCACCCCGTCATTGTCAGCACCCTTCACCAAGATCAATTCCACCGCTTCTTATTCTTTTGTTCTGTATTGTTATGTTTTGTTGTTATGTGATCTACCACCCGTGATCTACCACCCTTCATCAAAGTCAATTCCACCGCTTCTTATTCTTTTGTTATATATTGTTATGTTATATTATACGATCTACCGCCCTTCATCATTTCAAGTCTCAGAATTCTATTTGTCCGTAACACGGAAGTATTGCTTCCCAACTTCCTTTGATTATCATTATTTTCCTTTTTATAGTGTTATCATTATTTTTCTTATCAGTTTTGTTATGATCGTTAATCACAATCACGACTATGATTACTATGTTCATTCTTCTAATGTTATAAATATATACCACTGTAATCATCTGAATCAATGTAATATTGTATGTACCAATATTCTTTTCCATTAGTATCAGACCATACAATAAACATATTGACACATATTCAAACCATTTTCATGATATTTATAGTGTAATCAAACATGGCAAGGGAAACTCCTCCATTTATACATTAGTTTTCCCATTAAAATGTCCATTTCTAGGGGATTTCCCTTTGCCACATGTGATTTTAATCGTTATAAGTTATAATCGTATTAACCCCAAAGATCCCAAAGATAATGGAAGCTTCCTAGAATATGGATACCCCAAATCATATTATGATAATAACTGATTTTTGGATGATTTTGGGGTACCACCATTGCATTTGTCTGAAAGTAAGGTGTACCCCCAAATTTGATGGTTGAGCACCACTCTTACTACGAACATGCCATTGTATGGGGCCCCACATTTTCAGACACACCCATTCTAAGAAACCCATTACCCTCCAGCAATCAAACATATCAAACATATCAAACATGGCGATTGACAATCCACCATTTATAGATGACTTTCCCATTTCTACCTCCATTTTTCGGGAATTTTCCATTGGATCCCCCGGGGCCCGTCCGGGTTTGGGCCCCGTCCTCCGCTTGATCCGACAGCAGCAGTGCCCGGTGGTCGCTGTGCGCCTTCAGCTGATCCCGGTCCAGGTGGCTGGACTCCAGTTCCTGCGGGAAAATCCCACCAGTTATGTCATGGGGCTTGTGGAAGCCTGGTAACATGGATAACAATGCCATGGAATCTATGGATCATGGACAATAACATAGATTTACCAACCAAAATGAACAAAAAACTGGGAACAATCACACATCCATGTTTCCAGTTCACATGGATTTACCATCCAAATGGTGAAATGGTGACTTCACTGGGGAATTGGGTGGAATTGGGATATCATTTGGATATAACTATAACATGATATAAAGGGGATGGAGCATGGTAGTTCTTGACCCCAAAACTGGTGATTTGGAAAACATTGGGATATCATGTGATAAAAACCAACAATATCCAATTGGGCGTGTCTGAAAATGGGGTTTGAACTCATCAGTTCTTATGCCATCAGAACTCTGGGGGTGTCTATTTCCAGGCCCATGTAATTGGTGTTTCTTGGTGAAATTTGCGGTTCAACATCCACCATACACCAACCCACATTCAGTCCTCTTGCAAGATCCTCACCTCCTGCGGGCACCGCATCTGACGATACCCTCTGGTTATTTAATGTAGCTATACTATGCTATATTAATGTAAATCACATTTTTTAAGAGCTAAAGCTAAATCATCATTACTAAAATCCTTACTTTTATCACCTATAAATGGGCCATGTTCCATAGCTATGTTAAATAGCCGGAGGGTATCTGATAGCTGGCAGTGTTGCAACATGAGGCACTGTCCTGGGCCTGTTGAGCATTGCTGCTTTGCAGCGCCCCCAGCTCCTGGCGATGCCACCAGATTTGTGACTTGGCAACACGGCAGTCATGCCATGGCTTCATAGGCCTTTCGCAAACTTCACCCGAAATCGGAAATCATCCAAAGTTATGGTTATATAATTTTATATAAATTAATATAAATGCTGTTAAATGGATACGAGTACCACTTGGGTTCATTTGTTGGCCTTTGACAACCTTTCCGATCTGTGAGAATCGACGCGAGCCCGGAAGCCCAGCAACCTCAGCAACCTCAGCCATTTTGCGACGAGTGTTCTGCAGCTCCTGATGCAAACTGGACCAAAACTATCTGCACACACACAAACACAGATAGTAGTTACATAATGTTACATATTCATATACAGTTATTAACAATGTTATATATTGTTGTATCATATTAAAAACACATGCATCGAGATATTTGGTTTAGACCTTGTGAATGCAGCTGAAATATGCCATGCATCAAACAAACATCAAGCATTGACGTCAGAACATGTCAGAACTATCCAGCATGCATGGACTGTATAATATCGTATCCATTCTGTGCCGGCTGCCAAGTGTGCCTCTTGAAGATCGTTTGCTTTTGCAGTCAGGCTTTCACAATCCTGCACGTGTCAAGGTATTCAAGGCCCATTAGGGACACAATGCCAAAGTATGCCAACATCTATAATCTATAGAAAGAGACCCATGATGGCGACCTTCTTGCTAGCTCGAAGTTCTTCTTTGGTACTCCCAAGCTCCTGATCAGGCTCTGCGATTTTGGCCCAAACCCTCAATCTGCAAAAATGCCAAAAACAACTGCACCAACAACTACCAACAACTGCAGGAGTCGAACGAAAGGTCCTCTTTCAAGACATGCTTTTCCTGACAAAACGTGATTCTGGGGGTGTGTTGAAGGGTGATCAACTTGAGCTGCAAATCAGTCAAAGTGCCAGTGGAAACTATCCATGTGCTTGGCAGTAAACCCAAAAACAAACGTCCATGTGAGAGGAATCTCATTCCAGAAAATTAAACACCCCCGGTGTTCAACACCGGTTCAAGGTGGATCGACTCATTTTGCGGTCCCTCATTGAGAATATAGTTATATATTAAGGGGACGGGATTCATGATGAAGTTCAAGAAACATGCCTCCGGTAATCAAACATGGTTTGCTGAAAAAATCCTGGCTTAGAGCTGAGAAAATTCTGGTTTGCTGGAACCTATACCTAAATTCATTTTTTACTTCCAGGATTTTCCCAGCTCTAAACCTCCATCAAAGGGGGGAATTCCCAGCCGAAGCAGCAACTTCCAACTCCCGACCTCCTCCATGGTGACTCGTTTTTGCTCAGCCTCCTCCCGTGACTTCTGCAGGTCCTGCCAGCTTCAAGGAGGGGGTAAGGGATTGAGTCCTTATTGGTGACACTATATTGAATATCATAATATAATATCATCTGGCTGGTGGTATACCTACCCCTCTGAAAAATATGAAAGTCAGTTGGGAATAATCATGGAAAACTAAATAATGTTCCAAACCACCAACCAGTAATATAATATAATATAACTTATCCACTGGGGCACCCCTCAATCCACTGGGTGATAAATCCCCCCTTTTCTGTTCTCAGACCAGATGGATATCTTTGGTTCTACAGTACATGCTTCTACCCCCCAAAATATTCCCAATTTTTCCTATAGTCAAGTCATGTCAAATCTACATTTTTCATGGTATGAGTGAATCATAGTGAATCAGTGTAAATCGACCCAAATTCCACCGCCCCAAATTCTCCTTCGCATGTTGAGCTCCCAGTGCCAGCTGTTCCCGGCATTCGTTTCGCAACTGCTGTGCCTCCTGGCGCAGAAGTTGTAGCTCCTGGCAGGTGGCAGTGGCTGATCGCAGGCCGCTTGGATAGGTTCCCAATGGTTCACATCGATTTTTGTGTTTTAGTTCTCTGTTTGGCGATGTGATGATGATGATGATGATGAAGAAGAAGAAGAAGAAAATGGGTTCGGTGATGTTGATGATGTTCAATGATGTTGGATGATGTTCTGTGTTGTTTGACCATGCTTGATGCTTCCTGAATATGTATTTTCGTTTTCCAGGTTTGGTAAACGCAAGATCTATCTTGATTCTCTTGATACATTCAGAACTACAGTAGCACAATTTTCTCCTTTCAAATGAGAAAAGGTCGATACATCTCCGCGTGAGGTCCGCGGATTGAAGACAAATCAGGGGGAGGGCCATTTGGGTTTGGGCTGCGGCTTTTCATGTTGCCCCGGTGCAGTCCCTTCAAGGATTATGTCCAAACTGGAAGGGCACCCAACCCAGGGAAAAAAAAATCCACAACACACATAATTTGGATTTCGATGGGCATTTGAATGGAATTGGATGGGTTGGATGGGTTGGAGTTGAGCGGATTGCCCTCTGAACTTGGATTTGAAGGGATTTGTGTGGATTTATATATATATATATAATCATATATTTATATGGATTTGAAATGATTTGAATCGGTTTGATGGAACATTTGATGTGACTTCTGAGGCAAATGGCATGATTTGGGTCCAAGTCTTGTGGCCACTGTGGAAGAACATGGAAGAACCAGTTCCCGGCCTCGGATTGGCGTGTGGCCAATGTCAGTTGCTGCGCGTTCTCCTCGCGCAATCGATCCGCTTCCTGTTGTGCTCGGCGCAAATCCTCAGGCTGATGACCAAGTCGTGACACCCAGTTGGAAGTGACACCCATTTTCGTAATCCATCCTAGATAATTGAGCACTTCCACTGAGCTTGATAACGTCGTAGCGGGGCCGCCAACACAAGATAAGGTTGATGAATATTCACATTTGGGGGATGGAAAAACATGTGAAAAAAAAAGGAGAGAGTTGAAGCCACCAACCGGCCACTTGCAAGGGGTCGATCGATATCATTCCTTTTCTTCAAAGTTTCAGCTTGACATTATTGGGCCGAATGGGGTTGTCTCCAAGCTTGGAACCCCCAATCATCATTTTTCCTATGATAATTTCCATAAATTGGCAATACATCTTGATTTTTAGCACGAACCCAGTGACCGGGTCGCCCAACCTCCGCATTCCTCAGTGAAGTCATCAGCTTTTCAGAGCTTTCTGTTCTCAGCCGATCAGCTTCTGCCCGAGCCTTTTGTGCATCCTCCAATGAACGGAAGCCATCGGAAGCCCCTATAATTGGGAACCAGAACACCATTTCCTGTCAACAATCCTAAACAAAGCGATAAAATACACTGATTTAGACGTCTTTGGCCAAGGCACTTTTGAGGGTACAACCACCAAGAATTAGTGAATATATGGGTACTGTATCATTAGTGTTCTGTTGGCCCGTGGTGAACTTCCCTCCGACCAATCAGATTTTGCTGAATTTTGCTGGTCATACCCCATACCTGCCTTGAAATCATCGTACTAATCTTTTCTTATACCATACCATATACCTAGTCCAATGGGTGATTGATACAACAAATTCCTGGGGGTAGGGTAGGTTATGATGTACTAGTATTGTCAAGTATATTATAGATAGTATAGCCGTATATAAACTGAAATACATTGAAATACCACAATACCCCACTAAACCCCATTCATTTGTATTGATTTGTTGCAACATGTCCCCCTTGAAAAATGATGAAACATGTACGTACGCCCTCAGAGTCATCCTCTTGGCAAATCGCTCTTTGTCGATCTGTTTCCTCCTGGAGTCTCTGCAAGTCCTGCCAGCAAATGACAGGTGCTAGTAGCCGGCGCAAATATAATATGGGTTTGGTAGTTTGGTACCTGAAAATGTTGGGAAACCCTTAAGTCCATTGGTTAATCATTAATATCATTATATATCTCTATCAAATATATTTAAATATGGCAATGTGAGGGTATAGCACATCTTCAGACGGACCCATATACAACGTGGCAATGGAAAGTCTCCGTTTTCATATCAAAGTGATTCGATTCATGAATGATTTCCATTGACGGCCATGATGACATGAGGGCAATCTGAATCTGAAACCTCCAGTGTCATTGGAGATGTCAATGCTGCGCTCCAACGTCTCGAAATTCCTTCTTGGGGTTGACACCAAAAGACCTTATACTAAAAAACGTTGGGAATGGCTTGGTGACCGAAGTTCGAGACCCAAATAGAAATTGGATTCAGCATCCTGGCAAATCGCACTTTGTCGATCTGCTTCCTCCTTGTGGCTTTGGAGTTCCTGGATCAAAGGTGATCAATGGTACATCATGGTACATCTACACCGCGACGAAGTGAATTCCATTCGAGTCTGCCTGAATCTGCCTGATATGACAGTAATACATTCACAATACACCCCAGCACGTAGATTTCTGGTTTTGTTGTGTGGGCACCTGAGAGTGTCGATGTCTCTCTTGTTGCCATTGACGTGCTTCTTCTCGCAACTTGAATAGCTCCTTTCGGTGTCAACAATGACCGACTACCAATTGGGGGCTCCTGACACCAATACTCAGTGAAATATGTGAAATGGATAGTGCACAAATGTGCCATGGTCAAAACATGGTAACTTATATGAGGTATGGTCATCCCACCATCATGTAAGGGGTAATTGTATTAAGCTCATTTAAGCTCTCAAGAAATGGGGGTCATCCCCTCACAGGTACCAGCACCTTCTCAGCAACCGTGCAGTGTGCCTCCTCTGCTCCTTCCAACAACGAACTCTGTCGCTGGCCTACTTCTCGAAGCTTCTGCAGCTCCTACAAGCTTCTAACTGCATTCACTTGGGGTTGTATTTGAACGATTTACCTTGATATGGCCGAAATGGAGGTAATTATCATCATTTTCCCATATTTTCATATATTTTCCCTATACTAGTAGATAGCAATTTGGGGCTGCACCCCATTTTCACCAAATGCTGCGTCCTCTTCTTGCTGTCCGCACAGCTTTTCGCCGGCTTCCAGCTCCTCTCTGTAAGTATTCCTCAAGGCATGGGAAGCTCATGCCTAGTGTCTGAACATGGGATATACAGTAAATTACAGTCATGTGGGTGAAACAATCACGAACCATCCCGCAAATCACCATTAAGTGGTATAAACATGTATAAACCATTCCCAAATGGCTGGTCTATTATTATTTGACCCACAGTACTCCAATTTATGGCTGTTTAATAAGGAAAATCACGATTCACCGATTACCGATGGAGTCAGGATGATTTAGGGGTACCAGGACCTAAATTCAGACAAGCCCACATTTCACCCCTGCTCAGAGGCCCAAACAGAGCGAAATGGGCGTCCAGCCCATTTCGCTTCATTCAACAAATGTCAAATAACTATCAACCAACAGCAGCCTTACGATCCATACTTAGATTGCATGGGCTACCCAAAATCTCTGTCACACCAAGTTGCTCTTGCGCCGCTAACAAAGCCTGGATGCAGCCGAAGTGTTTACACGATTTTACAGTACCCTTTTTGGAATGCTGCGTAGCTGTTTTCGGCATGCTTCGATCATTTTTGATACTGCAAGTATGTCAGAACACACAAATGACATAAATTGCCAGGTTCGTGCACTATCCAGAGGACTTACCAGAATGACATCTCCGAGTACCCAGTCGATGTTGCGTCAAGACTGATATGCTGTCGTTTCTTGCCTCAAGCTCTTCTATCCGCTGCGATGGCGAGGCAACGGCCTGAGGTTTGCTCTTTTTTATGCTCGCAGGAAGCGACTTTCAGTCACAGAGTCACAGCCCCAAAAATTCCAGCACCAGTTGCAGTAGCCAGCTCCAACCTATTGGTGAATCGTGCAGTAGCCAGTCGTTGGAAGGAGAATTGGTACATTTTATTCAATTGACCGTACGAAAAACCAGTCTTTACCTCATCTACCCATACTGTGGATGGAAGAAATCCTGCACCACCTTGGAAACTCTATAAATAATGGATAATAATGGGATAACCACCTATGAACTGGGATTTCTTCCATCTTCCATCCACTGCATGTTCCCAATATCTTTCCGGAGCCCTGTGCAGCGCCTCCACAACCTGCAACTGGAGCTCTCGACATTGCTCGCGGGAAAAAGACAGCTCCACCTGCGAAATCTCCAAGTCATGGCAGTCATGGTGACTGCAACATATTTTGGAGGTTACGACATGGGCTTGAAATTGGATGCAAAAAAAATACCAGTTTATGACTGAACCAAAAACAGATGGTTTAATCATTTAATCACTGAAATACTGTAGATAAGCCCAAATAGGTAGTTCTGTGATGTTCTGTGGGTACTTTTTTATAACATGTATTGTCTTGGCCTGAATCTTAAAAAAAAACGATTGATCTTGTGGCCATGCCATGCAGTTGGGTCCATTGTGATATTTCCTTACATCTCATGACATGACTCATGACATTTCAAACATGGACAATGAGTGGATGTCTATTAGAACCCGATATTCCTGGACATATTGACTGTCAAAGGGACTCTTCTAAAACTTGTTGATGGATGTCTATAATATTAAATGAAAGGAGGAACACATCCTTTGGCATTCACTCATCCTTCTCCTACACTTCAACTTTTGAGGTTTGACAAATCACACAGCAAAGCCATGCAGCCTCAAGTTCCTCTATATGTCGGAGCGATTTCTCCGGTGTGGTGGCAGCTGCCTGCACCAAGTCTGGCAACACTATCCAGGAAGCTCGAAGGAGCCAAGTGCTCAATGCAACAACTATAAGCCATGCCAGCTTACACCCAGAGCCTCTGCAACTTGCTGTCTTAAATTCTCGCATTCAAGTTGCAACGCCTGCGCCGTGTCAAAGGTTTAAAGATGTTTAAAGAGAAATCGTATATTGCATTAGTAACAGTATGTATTAGTATTAAATCATATTGTATTCATCCGTTTGGTTCGACTAGCACCACATCTCAATTCTTTTTCTATAAAACCACTCTTCCAGTTTGTGCGGTCCAAGGGTGAAAAGTGAATCCGAGCCGACTGCCACACTCCCACAAATCTTGGGTTTGAGATCCTGCAAAATCCTTCATAGGAAAACCCCTCCAACATCTCGAACGCGCTTCTCACGCTTGCTTCTACTTCTTCACATCTTTGATATCCGGGTAGAGTCTTATTATTTCTGACCACCACTAAAATCATTATGGCAACAGCTCAACACCTCACTTTGCTGCTCCAAACGATGGTACCCCATCCGCCTCAGCTACTTCCGGTCCATGCAGTTGAAGGACAGTCCTCAGGTACAGCCGAAGGCGCTTCGGGAATGCTGGGGGACCACCACTGGTTTCCTCAGTGAACAAAACCTGTATGAAACGTGGATGGTCAAGACATGGGAAAACATTCATCAATATTCATCATATTATTATGAGATGCGGTTTAAACGTTTGAAATCGTTTGAACATGTTTTAAGTACCCGAAATGACCAATCCGTCAGAACTGCCACCTAGCTGCTCAGCCAGCTCCGAATCCTTCTCAGCGCGAAGGCCTGAAACAATTGCAGGGACAGTGACATCAAACCACCATTTTGGTTTCAAACAGGGCCCCGTTTGAAGCCAACACAAAGCCACAAGCACCAAGCAAGAACCAAAAAAAAATGACAGTTGAAGGGACCAAACATGTGGCTTTGATTTTCAGATATTATATATAGGGATAGAATTGGCTTGAAACTCTGTAACTCCTGCTCTGAAGGGGAAAGGCAACGCACCAGCCAAATCCTCTAGTTGCGTGTTTTTTCGACTTCAGGAAACACATAACCATCATAGCCTGCATCGTACTCCAAACATCTCCAAACTGTGCCATCATTTTTTCTACCACAACCCTAAAACCGCCAAGATTCCTGGGAGAGATGAGGGCAAATGTGTTATCCCTGGATGTGCCCATGCCCATACATCCCTTGGTTTAAGGACCAGCAATTTACGTACGGAAAACCTTCGATCCAACGTTTCCAGTTTTCGAGTTCCAGTGATCCAGCAGCTTCCATTTCTTCCCCACCTGACATCTCTGATTCCAACGTCAGAAGCTTCTCTCTCAGTTCCTGAACGAAAAAGGAGGTGTCAAAAATGCGCTCACCCGGCTGACCCGGCTCGGTTGCCTGGGACACGCCTACAATGACGGGCTATACTTGCCAAATCAAATATATATATATATATATATTTAATAACATAATATACCTATATAATAAATAAATATGTATATATATTTTAACAGAATATATAAATGTGTAAACAAATTCACTAATTACCCATCTTGCTGGTTGCCCTTTTGCCGTTGAAGCCAAAGAAACAACCCCCACCTGGTTCTCGATGGAAAGGTCAAGCGTAGCAGCCTTACAATATGGCAGCTGTGCCAAGTATGTTCATCTAATCTATTCTGTTTGTGTGAATAAATCCATCCAAGAGAACCACTCTCACCAGCGTCTATATACATCTGTCAATCTCGTTTTCCCGCTTGTGAGGGGTCATCAAGAGATCAGCTTATCCATTTGCTTTTTGCGAGAGTCATCGAGAGTCTCTTTCACACTCTGACTCTCACTTACCCACATCATCCTGAAATCACCTATGACCACAGTTTGTTGAACATCCCATGACTCATAGGGTGAGGTATGAACAGAACCACCATTAAAACCAGCCATGTTCGCATGATTTCGGATCCACTTGGTTTCCTGGCATCCTCAGGCTCCTCAGGGCTTTCTGGACTTTGCAACAGCTGTAATCGCCGCTTCTGCACAGGTGGAACAGCCACCAAGTCCAAGACCAAGAAGTGGACAGGTGACCACATCTCTAGCCCGCACTTGAACCAGCTAAATAGTAGACTATCAATGACAAGGGGAGTTGAACAAGTTGAATATTCCTGTTTGAACCAATCAAGAGCACGAATCGCGTGTCCGAACCATAAGCATTGCCAGCTTCACATGAAACATTGTTGACTATTTTTTTTGCCTTCCAACTTAAATTGTGTTATGATCCTTCATATCCTCCTTAAACATGTGCCGGGCCTCAATCTCTGCATTGATGTTCAATGCAACAGCAGCCTCTTCACAGAGCTGTTGGCATCGCTCCTGCGCTTGTTCCACCTGCACAAAAAAAGGCTGCGCTTGCTCTCACCTGGAACTATACATCGTATCATGTTCATATATATATAATTATACATATAATATCATATAATAATATAATAATAATCATTATATAATCAATAAGTTACTACGAATTACTATTACACCCAGAGTAATACTAAGAATTACTAAGAGACTTATTTCACAGCAACATGCCAACCATCACAAAATCTAAGACATTTAACAACCCCCATCCCCCCATTCCCCAAGGGGCACCTCCTTAGGCTCCACGCTGAGCGCCTGCACCCGGCGCTTCAGCGTCTTCCGCGCCTTCGCCATGTGCCCCAGGCGCTCGCGCAAGCGACAGACCTCGCTGCGGGCCACGCTTAACCTGGGTTGGAGGTTGGAGGATGAAAACGAGATGTAGAAAATGTGGGGGTATAATATATATATATATATGTATGTATATGTATGAATATATATATATATGTATATATATTTCTACATATTTCTATAATCCATATATAGGGATGATGGAATATATGATGGACATATATATGGGTGTTTCCATAAATGGGGTACTCAAAATGGATGGTTTATAAGGGAAACGCCTATTAAAATGGATGATTTAGGGGTACCCCCATTTCAGGAAACCTCCATATGGAACTATAATGGAAATGATAACGACCGATGGAATGTATGATGGAACTATTATGTTATCCAGATATAATGACATATGGTTAGTTAAATGAAGTTCTACATTTATGGAAACTATATGGAAAAAATAGAAATTATGGACAAATATGAGGATATAATGTGATTATCAAAGATATTTTGATGATATATTATGATATTATATGATATCATATGATATTATGGAATTATAATGTCCCCCAAGTTTGGAATTCATTTGCAAATATGGGATATATAACTATGGAATGAATGGAAATTATATGGAATATATGGTTTTCAGAGATCTGGAAAATATGTTCAAACTATATTGAAACTATACAAATATACCTATGGAAAATAACTGTAGAACTCTATATTGTAATCATGTATCCCTATCGAAATTGTGCGTAGGAGATGTACCAAAGATCCGCACGATTACGATGATCATGAGATACAACTGAATAAAAAACTGAGTGTAAATATCTTAGAAATAGCGGTCAAATTAATATGGGAGTATGTGGGATTGTACAATAGATGATAATACATGTGGCTATATGTGAAATTGGATGAATTTTGTCCCCAGTTTTTTCTGAACATTCTGGCCAATCATTGCCAATATGCTGGGGGTCGCGGAGAAATCATTTCATCTGTTGGATAAGCTGAGTGTGCAACTCTTCCTCTGTGCAGGCTTGGAGTTCGGTACCTTTGCCGGTCAAAATTTAAGAGGCAAAATCCAGTAACAGGCTGCCTGGTGAAAATCCAGTGGCCTTGTGGTACACTGGTACATATTCCTCAACTCTGGGTCAAAATGAGGGCAACCTCAAAAACTGGTTGGTTTAAAAACCCAAAGCGACCCACGTCATACCCATCTGATTAAACATTCTGGAGCTGGATGATCCGTGAATTTAGGATCAAAATGGATCAAGGAATCAGTCCGAAACACAGCCGCATGCTGTTCTTGTTGATTATATCTCCGTACATCCCCCGTTCTCCTGCATCATCGCTGAACATGTTTGGTGCTTAACTTGGATGCTTCAGGCATCGTCGCTGAACATTGCTCTGGGCAAATGATCATACTTCACTAAATAGCCTTAATAATTACAATATAATTACAGTATAATAATATGATAATATGATGTATATATATATATATCTATACGGTAACTACATTTAAATATACGGATGTTTAAATATACGAACAGGTACGAGTATTTTAGACTACCTCCGGGAGGGTTTTCCTTGGCCCGCCCAGCCATTTAAACATACAGAATCCAATTCATTTAAACATACTGCAACTACATTTAAATATACGAACTGGTATTTCATACTATCTCTGGGGCCTTGCGGTCTGGCCCGCCCTCCACATATTTAAATGTCGTTACTGTATATATACGTACTTATAACAATCATCACTTGGGGATAGTTACCCCTACTTTGGGGATAGTTACCCTGCCAACCCCTACTAACCATCATTTCACTGGGCTCCCCAACACATCTCCGAATTTTCAGCCCACTGCGCCGCTTCACTCTTCAGCTGCGCGCACTCAGCACGCAGCTGCGCCTGGGCCGCCACAAAACATGCCTTTGGATGCCTATTTTTGACCCCTTTCTATAGAATCTATAGAATCTATCTAATCTATCTAGTCTATCTATCTATCTATCTACCTATCTATCTGTAAATTATATATATATAGTATACATATATCAATTATGATACCAACATGATAATGAATGATAATGACGCTATCCTGGCGCCAGCCTGCCTGCGCAAGGTCCGCAGAGGTTTTTGCAGCCAAACACTCAAAGTGCAAGAGGGCTTCCTGGTGGGGGACGTCGGGACGTCCGGCTCTCAGGCTCAAGCCGGGTACATGTGGCTGAAATAACCAGTCGACTACATTGGACCGCAAGAGATTTGGGGTGCCGAATGTAGTGGGAATACCTACAACTTGAAAGAAACAAATAAACACATCCCAAAATTCAGACACAACGGATCAATATGGACCAATCCGCATCTGATATGCTCCAATTTCTTCCCAGAACTCGCAAGAAAATCAATCAGTCAATGGATTGGTTAAAGGGAAAATCTACAGGAAACCATAGATTTTCTCGTGAAATATAGGGCTTTCCTGTAAATTTTCCCTTAAACCAATCCATTGAATCAGCTAAGTGTACCAGGTACCAGGTTTCTGCCAGAATTGGACACTGACCGGCCTCTTCTACCTGAGCGGAGCTGCCCACCTGATCACAAAATCATTGAACAAGGCATTTGAAGCCAATCTATCTCAATCTGCAATATACAGTATATATAATATTAAAATTATATAATATTATAATATATATATATACGTATATATATATATATATATATATATATACATATATATATATACATATATACATATATACATATATATATATATATACATATATATATATATGCTATATATTTATATTATATACACACGATAGTTGATGATGTAGGTAAACACTTGGGAACCCTGAGGAATATACAAACCATCCGTTTTGGTATACAAATCACTGCGATGGGCCGAGCCTCGCGTCCCAAGTTGCGTTGAGCTTTTTCTGCTGCTGCTGACCACTCCTAGACGCAGGAACATGTTTCCGGGTGATGCTCTCATACCATTAATCATACCATTACAATCGTGACTTTGATTCTTCATACCATTAGTACTAATACTGACTCCATTGGTAATACACCACTAGTAAAAATAACAATTAATATACCATTCGTACTAATATGGCGTAATATGGATGTATTAATGGAATAATCAATACAAGCACTTATGGTATGGGGATGGACTTAGTGACTGGATCACATCTCCTGTCTCAGTTGCGCTTCCCGCGCCAGGCAGCGCTGCAGCATGGCACCACCCTCTGCCGCGCTGCGCAACCTCAGATTGGAGGGAGCTGGGATCTTGTAGAGAAAACATGAGGAAACATAGGGGTGAAATGGTCAAACACGCTGACACTTTTCCATAAATAGCTTTAAGTATGTTTAACTAATTATCTACTAATTATCCGGAGTTGGTTTTTGTTTTAATGGAACATTTATAATAAACCCCAAATACAACCGTTGGACACCTGGAAAGTATGGGGAAAGCATCAGCTACAACATCCTGGCAAAAATCTGGAAACGCTCCTGTGATCTTCGTGGGGGTTCCACAGGAAACCCACGAATTTACCCTCCAGTAATTTATAGCAATAGATATAGAAAACCCAGCATCTTTATTAGATGATATTAGATGATGTTACTTGGGCAGCAAGGATTAGGTTTGTTGTAGAACATCCAAAGACGTCAGGATTTCCTATCATTTTCTGTTGAACCGTTTCCGCAAAACCTGTTGGTTTCATGGGTTGTAAATTCTGCCGCATTTGGTTTCATGGGACGTAAAACACAAAGATAGATAATATAGGAAGGAGGTGTCCTATTGTCCCTTAAATGATGGGAGCCCGGTGTACGACTAATTACCCCGAAATTGGAGATGAGTCTGCCGATGAAGGCCCACGTATATCGACACTTGAGGGGCGGATAACATGGCAGAACGTATCACATGTTCTTTTGCTGTAGCTGCAATGCATACAATGAATGGCATTGACAAGACTTGAGTTCATCTTTTATGTGCGATAAGTAGATATTCCAGAATCTTCAAGATACATGGGCTCATGAGTACATATTCTGAAATCATCAAGCTAAAATCTTCAAGCTGTGCATGCTGTGCAAGGGATTCTTGATGCCGGAATCGCATTCGAATTCTTTTCCGGAAGTGCCATCATCTGTGTACATAAATTACATAAACTGTTCAATCTCAGCGCGGCAGCAAAACTATGCAAAACAGGTGCACGCAATCTGGGACAACAAAAATACAGCAATTCTCAAAAATTGGATGTTCCAAGGCCCCAAGTACTTCATTGCCATTTCTGATCGTTTTTTGATATCTCTTTCGATATCTCAGAGTCCTCGCGTCTTCGGTTTTTTGACACATACACCACCCAACAGAATTAACATCGAACCCACAAAGTGGGGCTGTTCCAGATGTGGATGTGGCCATTTGTTCGTTCTGTCAATTACAGTTGTGGGTCCTGATCCATCCTGAAAATCTGCAGCCAGGGGGCAATTGCATGATCTGCTGTGGAGGCGGAGCTCGTGCGCGAAGCCGAACGCACTTGGCACGCCTGGGTCTTGCAGAGGTGCCGACTGTTCGATGGTTGAAGTTTCAGGTGACCCAGAATTCCGGGTAAATCATGGTAAATCTCCAGGTAAATCATTGTAAATCCATCATTCAAAAACACATGTCGTGTAGTCGAGCAATTTTGAGCATATTTGATCCAAGTCCCGGACAAGGATTCTGCACGAGCTTCTGAGTCCTGCATTGGGGCCCAGGTCAGTGGCCTTTCCAAAACATCAATGGATTGGTAGAGAAGAACTACAGTTTTTTTTGAAGACAAGAATCTGGCTTCAGGTAGTTCTAAGATTCTACGAGGTCCTAAGAGTGTCAATATTGAGAATGGAGGAGGCACGAAATCGCAGGATATCGCAGAGCTATGCTTTGGTTTAGGACTGGTAGTGATATGTTCCCACTCCGAGAGAGTAGTTGCAAGAAGTGAGTCCGTCATGAACATTCTCTCCGACATAGAAGATATAGAAGATGTATAGCAAACATTAATATTACATTCCAAGGCCAAACGGTGTTTTTGTGTCACTCCCCTCCTGCAATCTTTGTCGCAGGTCTTCAATGATGCTGTTCTTTGCCTACAGGTGACATGCAAGTCTCAACGCGTTTTACATCTCTGAACAAACATGAAAGAAAATTATATAATGATTATAATGCAAATCCCTTTTGCTTGGAATTTGCAGCAAAATTTACAAGTTCAAGACACATGTGGTCAAGAAGCGAACATTGGTAGGAATCAACATAATCAACACACACACACACCTTTGGATGGTGGTTGAACCATGGTGAAAACATGGTTTAACAGTTTAACAAACACCTCCGTTTATAAGTTTTTATACCCAACCATATACAGCCTCAAGCCTAGTCACTCACCCACTGTTTCCCGTTTACATCGCTTACACGAAGGTGATTAACGGTGATCCAGCCCCTACCCATGTTCTACCGCCTCCAACATTGCCCGTAGATCAATCTCCGCTCTTGAAGATATGGTCTAAGTGGTGCAACCGCTGGACAATTCAGCCGAGTCGGAACGGCTGGAAGATCACTGGTGATAGCCGGACGGACTGGAGGACTGGTGGAAGTAGTTGCACTATCCAGTTACGTCTTTCCGGTTTGGTTGGATGCGATGGAGCGGAAATGAGATGTTGAGTTTTTTTTCAGTTTTCATTGCAGCTGAAACAGCATGACTGCCACTGATTTGTATTGCTTATATAGATGATTGGATGATTGCATTCAGCACTTTCCAATGAATGGGAGGGTGGTCCGATCAACAAAGAAATTCCAGATTATTCCAGATTCTCCAAGGCAGTGATTATCCAATCATTGTCCAAATCATGATTAATTGGTGCCATGATTCCTTTAACAAAGGCTGCTATGTGCCCCTTCCTTGCGGCCGCCCTTTTTTGTGGCCCAAGTCGCCAGTGGCAACGGCGTGGTCGGGGGAGCCGAGTCGCAGGGCTCTGGAGTCAGCGGGGCCGTGGCCATGGATGGTAGGGAACCGGACATTTCCAGGAGATCTAGGAATCTAGTAGGTATCCCAGGGTATCCCCATTTGTATCCATTTGTAGTGATGTTGCAAACTGTTTAGTACCAAAGTAACCATGGCAATGGGTCACTTCATAGAGATCCACAATCTTTTCTCAATATCCCATGCATCTTTGGTGGGTCAAATCACCATGAAAAATGCTGAAATCTGGAGCCAAGAGGAGCTCGTTGATCCACCGTTGTGAAAAAATGCTGCCCTCTCAACATCTCAGCAAATGAATTGTCTACCATTGTCTACCAAACATATCGAAAACACATCAGAAATCCAACTCCCAAAACAACCCTGAAGCTGTCAGTTCAGCGCTCAGGGGGGTCTCACCAACTCTTTCTTTGGGCCGTTGATGAAACAGCCGCTGGAGTCGAATGAAACCTTGGTCTGCAGGACCATGCCAAAACAGTTTAAAGTTTACAGTAATAATTACCATCATACTAGATCATACTAGCTTACAATTGCTATTTCTTACCCCTAGTCATGGGGGATGATTCTTTTGATGTATAGGGGTCAGAGGAAGACCACATGAACGTGATAATTCACACTCCACACCGTACAAATATCGGTCGTAGGAGCCTAGATTCCACACCATACAAATATCGGTCGTAGGAGCCTAGATTCCTAGATCAAATGACCATCACAAACCTACATTTGTCGATGTAACAAAGCAAAACGTCTCCTTTTGCACAAGCTGCCCGTCTGAGGAACAATTGTAGGTCCCAAGTTCTGAGTTCTGACGATCCATCCTCAAGTGATGTCTTGAAAAGTTCACCCCAAAATTCCCATTGTCAATATTGATTGATCATATTTTTTCCCCTATGAAAACTGCCATTTTGGGGTATACCACATTTTCAGTCACACCCAATTGGATGTCCCCCGGTGTATACCCTATCTCTTTTTTCAGGCCCCATTATATCAACATTGCTACCAGTTAAATTACCCAGTCAAAATCTTCAGACAAACCCAACTGCTTCACACAATTCTTTGACCAAGTGGCACTCTCTGTCTCTTCGGGTCCCAGCAAAAGTCCCGACGAGCTGGTCGAGACGCCCTGAAAGAAAACATCGCGGCATAAAGCAACGTTCGACACACATCCAAAATGCACAAAGATATGCATGACAATTATGTAATATTATATTATATATACATGTTATGTATCATATATATATATATATTATACATACACATATTCTATATATATATATATATGCATGTACGTAGTATACGTGTTATATGTATGTATTATATATATATATACATTATGCATTATATCTATAAATGTATTATACGGATGTATTATATATATAATTATGTGTAAAGTATAATCATAGATTCAAATTAAATATGTACACCCTTCAGATATATTTTTGCGTTGGACTCCCAACAACACTTGAAGCAAAACTCCACCAGTCACTGATCAACTTGGCCCTCCCGGAGATGGTTCCGGTAGGGAGTCCCAACCCTAAACTATGACCTATGAGGTGGTTCAAACCCATACAGAATCCCTACCAGAAGATTTTTTGGAAATAGTATGCATGCGACATTCTTTGGGTAAAAGGGGCCCGGCAACGCTCAAACCATTGGAATGAAGACTCAATCAAGGTATTTGACAGTGATTTCGTGAAGCAATCGTAAGGAAATACAGTGGATGCTAGGCCTGTTGAAAATGGCAACTTCTAGAAGACCTCAACTTTCATCCTCACTCAAGTGCAATTTGTGGATTGCCCCATGGATATACTTCCCTTCATATCCATCATGTTGGAACAGCCCCAAAATATCCCAATTTCACAATGCTGAGACATGAATACCTGACATTACCTGACACATGACCTGACACATGACCTGAAATATCCAGGGAGACCGACTGTCGGCTCCATTACCACACTCCAGGGAGCCCAGGCCACTCGTACCAAGTGTTTTGGCTTTGGCCCTGGCGCACGACCTTGGGGTTCAGCCAGATTTTTCACCTGGCACAGGTGACAGCTGTAGGATGCACTGAAGCAGTTCGGATCAAATCCCATCTGGAATCTCAAAATAGCATAGGATAGCATTATATATAATTATAAGATAGCATAAGATAGCCATGTCGCACAAAGTTTTAGCGCATCTTCACTTTCAATCATCCATTTTTACCTGGACGCAGCTGCCTCTGCGATCATCACCTCGAAGAAATATCTCCCTGCCTGTCGAATCACAGCCGGCAGCTGAGTATGGGAAGCCACCCAAAAATAAATGGGATACAGTAAGGTACATGGCAAAATGAGGATGAAAACCCCTCCAAAAACAAACCACAAACAGCGATAAATCACTATAACATACTATAACCATGATATACTTTTTCAGGAGCTAACCAAACAAGCCATCACCCAACTAACTAAACAATACTAAACATATATGGCAGTGTGTCAAAACCTTGTACCCCTGGTGAACATCAAAATAGCTGGTAAATGGATGTTCATCCCCCTAAAAATGGTATTAATAGGTATTGATCCATACCCATATGAACATCACCCAATAGTTGGGACATCCACAACTACTACCCGCCGCTGGTTTCATGTTTTGCGCGTCGAAAACCAATCGATTCAAACAGCGGCACCTTGATGCCCACATTCGCACGAGCCCCTGCCAAGAGGTACTGAAAGCCTCCATCGCCCAAGGCCTGGCTGAGGCTTGAAGAGACACGTTTTGTCATTGATGATATTTGGATATATTTGGATGATTCAATGATATTTGATGATCATTTTTTTCATGATGGGGATGATAGTGATCACTATCGTCATATATATATATTAATATATATATATATATATTAATATATATATATATATTCACATATCATGTCAGGTCCTCCGGTTTTTGCCGGTGATAGCGATTGCGTTCAGATTCCACAGCGTTCAGCGCTCCAGGGCCGCGGCCATCAAGAGCTTTCCGTTGACCGTTGGTAGGACCTCAGCCATAACTTGGGGAGTAATCTGGTAAACCCAATCACCAAATATCACCAAATATCACCAAGCCTCACCAAGCCTCACCATTGTAGGTGGATGTAGGTGGTATAAATAAAATTATATAAACATCATCACCATTGTAGGTGGTATAAACATCATGTATAAACCATCCCCGGTGGTCATGGATGGTCATGGATCCCCTGGATGATCCCCTGGATCCCCCTGCGTTCATGGTGGTATCCTCGGTCAGGAAGCAGCATTGGCCAGCCTGGCGATGGCCCCGAAGGCACGGCACGTGTCAGGCACGTGTCTCCTTGGAACTTCACACGGTGTGATCACACTCTGGCGTGGTTTTATACGGGTTTTATAGGGATTTTAATGATGTTTTATGGAGTTCCGGAGTTCCCACAACAGGACCAATATCAATATCTCATCAACTTCCCCAAGCATCGGCTTTTTCAGCGCCTTGAGAAAGGGCTGGGCCTTTCCAGCATCGGTCTCCAGCTCCTGGTCATGGAAACAGGATGAAAGAGGGATACCTCAAATATCCTCAAATGCCCCAAATCTATGCAGATCCAGCATATGGATCCATATGGTACATCCATGATATTCCATGATCATCTTGGTGACTTAGGGAAAACACATGGTCACCCTCCCACCCCTTGTTCTTTGAACAGATTCGACTCGAGTTTCAAGTCCACACCACATTCTGCGTTTCTTTGCCGCAGCTTTCGAGATGCTCAATGAAAGATCTTCAAAGCATCTCTGATTGAGTGCCTTTGTCCACATCCAAGACTCAGTCTTGACAGTTGCATGCGATTTCAGCACGTCGCATCTTCCTTTGCCGGTGAAAAAGGACGAAAGGTTGACCAAATCGTGGACCAAATCGAACTTCACCGCGCTGTGCGTCTCCACTTTGTCCATCAAATGGTGGGCCCCAACCTGGCCAGTGCCAGCTCCAGGGCTATGCCTTGCTATCGCTCTTGCTGGCATACCTGGATGCTGGACATCTGAGGGCATCAAATGGCAGAATCACAGTGGCACTAGCCAGGAGAATTTGTCCAACAAAAGATACATGTCTGAATCGGTGGTAACGGTGGTAACTGGTAACCCGGTAAGCTCATCGGCAACACAAAGAACACTGACTGATTGGTTCATCTGCATCCAGGCTGCGCCCGGTGCGATTTTACTGAAAGGAAGTGACTGTTGTCCAAGCTCGTCAACGGCTTGTCCCAGTTCTTGGGCAACAGCAAGGCAGTGAGTTTGTCTCCATAAACGGCACCTATGTGTCAGCAAACTGGGGGCGGCCCAAAAATGTCTACAGTATACAAATACAGGCTAATAAAGCACATCACTAACAATCATTAAAATATCATATATATATAATTATACATATCTTTATATGTGCATATATATATATTTGATATATTCAATTAAATTCAACACATATTGCGCTCCTTTTAATGGGCGTATTGCCAGCCACAACTCACATCAACTCTCTGGGCTGGCGCCTGTGTCTAAGCCGATAGCGAAGGCTTCTTTCTGCAATCCTCTGCGAGCGTCGTGTCCAAAGATCACCTCACGTCACTGAAAACAAGCTTCGTTTAAACGTAACCTAAGCCTTCAATGAAAATAAAAGCTGAAAAAATGGATTGAAGGTCAAATCCTCTGAATCTGAAAAAACACGTATGAAATTCATATATTGTTGATCGATCTTGATGGCTTCATTCCATCCCAATGAAGATTGGTCACTCTACATGGGTCATCCTAGCTTGAGATCGAACAGCCAAACTAAAAACACGTTTACAAAAAAGTCAACCAGCCACATCTTCAGTATTGCTGGATACACCAAACTCTGAGGCCCATCGAGGCCCACAAGCCGACACTAGGTACAAAAAATCCGAGAATCTGTAAGAAGGTATACCCGGTACCCGATTCAGACAAACCAATGTATCAAATAACAAGTTACACCGTGTTGTAGCACCGTTTTTGTTGCTCCAACATGCCAAACCACCCATTGGCCCATTCGAAACCAACGCTTTGCCGCGGCCTGCGTGGGTCCTTGCCAATTCTTGGCCCAAGCACCAGCTCCAGCGTCGAAGAGCTTCGAGCCGTGGCCTGCAGTTTTACCCCTGGTAATGTAACAAAATGGTAAACTGGTTGGTGGTTTTAACATGTTTTAACCATCTTGAAAAATATTAGTCAATGGGAAGGATCATCCCATATATTATGGAAAATAAAACATGTTCCAAACCACCAACCAGTAAACATCCCAGTATAATCCCATTATAATCCCAGTGTCGAATTATGTTCCCGATAGTTACTTAATAGTTACCAACTGGATCCAACTGGTGCAGGATTTTGCAGCCATCCACAGGAGCTATGGAAAATGATCTATTTATTATAGATGATTTACCATGATTTACCGTTTTTAAACATATGATATTTTTGGCTGGTTTTCCATGGCAGCTTTCCAGAGGGCTACCCCCCCAAAAGTATGTGGATTCTGGGAGTTGATCAATCTGGCTGCCACAGGAACTGTGGGCAACCACCCCCCTATTTCGTGAGGGGTCTGTGTTTGTTGGGATGGCCATAATAAAAAACCAACCTGAAATAACTCAACATAGAGTCACTCTAGGATAGTTTCATATACTAACCATCACATCGTGACGCCGCGAGGTGAGGTCGTTGTTGGTTCAGCCAGACCTCTGTTGAACTTTGATCAAATGGATCCAGCTGACTGGCACTTTCCCTTTCAGTGGATCAAGGGATCAAGGTTCATTTCCAGGAAGTTCGTAAATGAATTTTCTGAAATTCCCTGTGAAATGAAAATACCTAATACCTAGTATATTTTTTTCCGGAGATTAGTATATGGGCAAATCAATGAGTTTACTAAAATTATCTTGAACAAATTATCAAAACTATGGGTTTTGACGGTCCAATCTTCAGCCCATAAAGGCCACCACCATCCACCAGCGCCATGCCATGCCAATCCCTTTCGACCTTCGGCGTCAATACTGCGCAAGTGGACCAAGTCGTATGGTTTTTGCTGATCCATAGGAACACCTGGAATGATGGCGCAAAGTGATGGCGCAAATGGAGGGAACTGCTTCAGTGATCCAAAAACGGATCTCATGCTAGGCTAGGGCGGCTAGGTCTAGATTCCTGATTGAATACTGAAATGCAATGTAAATGTAATACAGAATACATGACAAACATGGCGAAATTTTGACATGCTTTGACTTTCTTTCGACTAACAAACAACTCAACGTGTAGTGTGACTCCTCCATCTTGCTGCTTCCAAACTTTCAGCATCTGCAACCCTTCTCCCGGGCCTGGTACAAGGCCAGCATGCACAACCACCACTGGCAATGGAGATTTTGGAAGATCCAAATGCAACATCAGTGGGAGCGCCTCCAACCACTGCCAGTCATCCTCCTGGCCACGTTGCAACGGCGCAACTGCTGTTTGGATTCATTCAATGAATATTCAAGTGCAACATGTAGATGTACAAGATCACCACTGAAGTCGGTGCCCCTGTATGTTTCCTATCTTATTCACCACCTTGTTTGGTCGCCCCTCCATTTTGCCATCCAAATCCATCTATCTTGTCCTCGAGGTCTTTCACGGTTGCAGCATAGCTCTCTTTGATTTTCTTCTCTGGGTCTGGAAGCGGTGCACCACGCCGTCGCCAACGCAGGAGATTGTATTCATGATTTCCTTGGACCTGGGCTATAAAAAAAGCACAGTGGAGTGCCCAACAATAGGTATGGGACAAGAGAACCAGTGGTGTGTCTTGTGTCTAAGGGACCATTGGTCGGGATTGTAGGTTTCTGGGCTGCAAAGTCTTAAACATGCCTGTATTGATAGAGATATCCGAGCTGGAATATTTAATCGTTATTGATTGATTATGAATGATTATGATCGGTTCATGCCGCTGGCTGAAAGTGAGTTCACTGGGCAAATGGACACTTCCAGCCACGCACGGAATGGGTTGTTGGTATGTTTGCTTGTAACTAGCTCCCTTTGGGCAACTAGCATCGAGATGAGATTTCCAGATACTCCATAGGAAGACTGGAACCCTGTAAAAATGCCAATAAATGTTTCACTTCCAGCCTTGTTTCCTAGAGGGCAACTGAAGTCTTCCATCGCAAGTCGCGGTGATTTTTGGGTTGCCACGATCAGGACTAGCGATAAACCAAACTGGAAATCACACCTCCAACTTCTTTTCATCGATGTTCAATTAGACATGCTCCTGGTAGTGATAAGGCAGTATCAACTGTTCGTGTTTTTGAAGGGATTTTCGTGCCATACCAATACTGCTGAATAAGTTCTTTGCTAAATAGTTCATTTACCTCCGGTAATCAGAATCCACTATTTATATGATTTTAGCATGATTTTAGCATGATATACACCATCAATTTATGGGGAATTTCTCGGTGCCATCATAAAAAAAAAAAATCCGCTAAGACCAAAGACTTTCCCTAACATTAACATAGATCCAAACGTCCTGTTCTGATTCATCTCTATTGAATGTATGATGCTAATCTTAGACAGCCTATATACATCCTTTTATCTACCTGGTTAGGACATATTCCCAGCTATGACAAACAATTTAGGTATATACAATAAAGATTATTAAAGAAAGTATTAATGATTATAAAAGTAGATAAGAGATGATAAAAGCATGAAACTCCCCAAGTTTATTGATCGCAGCCACAGCTTTGGCTGAGAATTCCCTGGCAATGCGCACCACTTCTCGCGGGGAAGGGCCTCTGGCTGTTTTTTCTGGTTGAATGGAGCTGATTCAGAAAGCTCTCTTAATGGGATGTGACTGAGATGTAAATGGGATTTTGATCCCCAAAGGAGCGATAGAAACATATAGAAACTATGATTCAAGGTGAACCTGCATGATGCAAACCTCCTACTCACCTCCTACTATTAGTATGGAATATCCAGTGCTGCTTCGAACATGACAGTTATGGACATTCCCTTTTACCTGCTCGACAGATCGGCAACACGGATTTGCAATAAATGGCCGCCTGTGGCTAGCAAACACAGACTGCCAAATCCATCCACTACGAGTATCTCCATTATACCCACTAATTAGTGACTACCATTACCATAGTGGTACCAATTGATATCCATTAGTACTGCTATTTGATGGTAAAACTTAGTAAAACTTATTAAATACCAATACCATCAAATCCATCCAAATTGACATCATTATAACATCCTAAAATCCATCTAAAACTCATCAAAAACCCACTGAAATCCACCTAAAATTCTTCCCAGAGCCCATCCCAGTGCCTTTGCCGATCAAATCACCCACGAAGATGAGTTCGTCCGATCTTTTGTGAAAATCTGCAGCCTCACAATGGATACAAACAGGGGACATAACCTTTAGAAAAAAACAAAACAACCTCCATTTCTGCCATCAGGGTCAATAGCTATGACATCATTCTTAGGGCGATGAGCATCAAAATTTGCCAATTCTTATGATGGTTCACCCGCACACAGTTTGACGCATACACATTTGTGTTCTTTTGCTCCAGCATGGGATGCCAAATGGACCCCCAGGTTGAACCATTCTGAAAGTACAGACATCAATGATTTCGAGTCAAGCATCAAACCCAATCCAAACCGAATCACAATTCGGCTATTCGGCTATTCACTCTCTGACCAACCAGATGACAGAAGGCCCGGAGCACAGTTCGCACACATCCGCTGCATACAAGTGACAAGTGACAAGCACCATCATGGTATTTCATGATGTGTATAATTACTGGGATCATCAAAATTCATGAGATCATCAATGGGCACACGAGGATATGTTTTAACAATATATATTCATCCATATTCAACAGATCAAAAAATTGATGATCCCATTTTTTAATGGGTACCCTCTGGTAAACTAACATAGCAATGGAAAATCACCATTTTTAATGGGAAAATCCACTATAAATAGCCATTTTCAATAGCTATGTTAAATTACCAGAGAGTATTTCTTGTTGGGTACACCCAACGATCATCCAAAAAAATGGATCATCGCAACCTTTTGTCGCCTCCAGCAGGTCCTCCAACTCAGCACTACAGCCATGGACGTCACCCACAATCACCAAACGACCTGGCGTTTGACTTCAGGTGAGCACTTTGCTACATTATATATATAGATATTATTTATCATATGTTATATATATATGCGTATTATTTCTCTATTATATGTTATTATATGTTATTATCACTTCTGAGTGGTTCTAAATGGTTCTACTGAATTCGAATCTGCTTTATGATGCCCATGGTGATGAGACTTCCATACTTGCGGATTGCGGATATAACATGATATAACTGATATAACATGATATAACCTCCAGACTACAGCCATGATGATCAGGGGTTCTGGCCATCAAAAGAGTTACCAAAACTGCCGCCCCATGAGGTCTCCTTCGGGATTCGGCCCAATCGCCCCAATCGCCATGTGCGAAACTGCGCCTGCAGTTCTCCCACTGGTCAAGGAGCTCCCTGCAGGGCCTGACCAGATTTCAGAACGCGGGACCAACTTCCTTGTTTCAATGACACAAACAGGCATTGCCAAACATCTATGAGACGATATGAAATGTAGATTCCCAAAGCTGATTTTATGTTATATAATCAAAATCTCATCAAAATATAATCATATATAATCATCATATATAATCCTCCTAAATCCCCGCACCCCCCAAGATACCCAGCGGAGACGAGATGTGTTTCCTCGCCTGCGAAGTGCCGAAGTCCGCAGCAGGTCAGCAAGGTCACGGAGGAGGCCTTGGAGCCATCCAAAGCCAAATTGGGGAGGTTTCATGAAGATCTATTGATATACAGACATAGTATGTCATAGTATGTCATAGTATCATAGTAAAGTATCATGTATAGATTCATGTCGTATAGTCATGTGGTATAGTATAGATTAGTATAGTATATAGTCATGTATCGTCCACTAAAATCATACTAGTATATAACTGGAAACACATATAAAATATAACTTTCGTCAACCAGAATTAGGAGCGTCGCCAAGAAAAACAGCTATTCTCACCGGTCGAGTACGTATTTCCGTCATGGAAATTTCAGGGATCCCAGAAGAAATGACGTACCCATATCAAAACCATGATGATATGATGGACATACACGAGTTACACGACAGCCACAGCTCAAACTTGCCAGCCATTATTATCATCTTCTCAAAAACAGCTCTACCATATACCCCCAACCAATTGACTTGAACACTAGGAAATTCAGCCTTTCTGATCTCCGAAACGAAGACTTTGGGAAGGGTCAAGCGACTCATGGCCTTCATCGTCCTTATCCGGTCAGGTTTGGCCGTCAATGACTGCTATGCTTCCCCCCCTGCTGCCCCAGGGTCCAGCAGCACTTTCTTGGATGGTAGGTTTCGATCCACATGGCGTCGACATGAGTGCAGCCAGATCCATGGCCGCATCATGGCGCATCTTGGAACAGGACGAACTGGGAATGTCCAACAAAAATCTTGAAGGAGTTCGCCAGTCCATCTTTTCATGACAATGTATGACTGCCCAAAAACGCTGTTGATCCAAATTCTTGTACTTCCGCAATCACAACGCTGCTGGACACTTCGCTTGCACTGAAGAAGCGCTGCGAAATCGTTCAAGCGCTGCGACAGTCTGTGTGTGTGGACCGCTGTGTGGCTCTGCGTCAAACTCTAGAGTAGGAAGTATGCAAAACTCTCAACCAAATAAGCAGGCTCGGAACCATAAATGGTGGTCATTCTTGTTCATAGTAAAAAAATGTCAAACAATACAGTTCAATAGCATTAAAAAATAGTCAATCCCTAAATGTGGTGATGAACCATCCCCATTTCCAGATACAGCAAAACTGTGAATAGTTGTCAGATTATATGCATGTGTGTATTAGTATGTATATGTATATGTATGTATGTATGTATATATATATATGATATATAATAATTAGTCATCATCATCGTCGTCGTCGTCATCATCATCATCAGCAGCAGCAACAGCAGCAGCAGCATCAACAACATCAACATTAACATTAATGTCAACATACGTCAACATCATCATGGTCGTTTTCCCATGATTACATCAACATGAAACATGTTCGAAAACATGTCTAGGTGGTAAATGTTAGTAAATGCCACAAGGTTCATCATCATATTTCCTTCAATCAGATAATACCGATACCGTGATACCTTTTAATACCTTTTAATAACAATGGCAAAACACATGGGTTTTTAATGGCTTAGTGAAGGCTTTGTAAGGTTTTTTTCCAATCCCCCACGTGATCGCTCCTTGGGTGGCTCAGGTTCCTTCGCTTCCTTGGTTTCCTCAGGCTCCATGGCTTGGTCCTGTGCGAACTCATTTCCAGGGGGATCACGCACTGCCCCCAAGTCCCACCAAGTCCCACCAAGTCCCACCACTTGCCATTGGAACCATTGGATAACCCGCTCATCCACCACCAAATCGTGCACCTCCTCTTGTTTCTCCTAATGTTGTGAAGCTCACGATTGGAAGTGAAAGAATCGGCAACATCCATAAGCAGCAAATGAAAATACTGTTGAAGATGACCCTCATTCAACTTTTCTTTGGGCAAAAGAAGGGACGCACTCGTGTCTCATGACTCAAGTTTGAAAGATCAACAAATCAAGTGTGGCACAAATTGCAAGAGTATTGCAAGTGTGGAACATCTGCATCAAACAATATCAAACATCATCCAACCAGAAGTTCGCCCTTTCAAAAAGTTCTAATTTGTAGAAATCACTGAGATCGACGCTTCCGTGGCCATCGCTCCGACCTCAAACTAAACTCGTGACAGCTGAGATCAGGGGTCAAACTTGGATACTATGGAATCTATTGAAATCTATGGATACCAACAAAAACCGATCAATGCCAAGAAACATGCCCTAAATCTCTGAGCCCCAGGGCCCCCCTGGGCCCCAAGGGGGGGCCCAGGGCCAAAATTTCTGATTCAAATTCTGCCAAGGCACACCACGGGTTTCACCGGTGTCCACGGTGAATCTTCACTGGAGCCAAAATCCACAGGGGCAAGACGCTTCGCAAGATGGGTATAGCTCAACGGAGGTAGCCATGGGCTCAAAACTCTGTAACTGTCCAACTCTGGGGGTGAACAAGTACCCAAGTTCTGACTAGGCCATATTGTGTCATCAACTTTCAGAAGTTTCACATTGTCAAGTGCAATGGATAAATGATAAAAGACATCCAACCTAGTTATAATTACTTTCCCACTCACCAGACTCAGCAGGTTGATCAAACAGCGAGAAAACCTATCTTCTAAAGCTCGTCTTATGTCGACTTTCTCCCAGCAACCACAGAACACTTTCCGGGCAACGCAGAGCCGGAAGATCTGACTCTTGCGCCTGTGCTTTGACTGGTTCAAAATCGGTACACTGGCAACGCTCACACCCTTCATGTACTGCAAAATACTACGGGCAGCAATGATGCTTTTTCTTGGCCTCCCCAAACAGTGCCTCCTGCTCATCTTCAAGGTCGACGACACGTCACGACGCTTGCCTTTCACTTGCAAACAGCGCCTTCCTCGCATGCACGTATGTCTGGACGGCTTCTGCAAGCTCAGTCACTGCGGTTGCGCAAGCAGAGCCCGAAGCAGGAAACTTTGACCGGGCAGCGCCAGAGGAAGGATCAAAGGACCTGGCAGGCACCGCAAAATACTTATCTTGGGCATCACAGCTCTTGACCACTCATCAACCGGGCTCATCAGCGGGGAGAGGACCTGGCCTCTGGGGGTGCAGTTCTTCAAGGACCTTGAAGGAACGCTTCCCCGAAGATTGACTGGCCTTCAGCACGGCTTGGGTTGCATGCGCGTTCTTCATCACAAGCCTCATGCCATAGGCATCCACAGGCAAGGTCACCGGCTCATAGGAACTTGATTGCTCGAAGGATGTTGGTGTTGCAACCTCATCATTCCCCTTGCTGCTTGCGCTTAAGGTTTGCAGAGAAAAGAGACGAAGGGACAAAACTCAAAACTCATTATCGAGCTCTGCTTTGAGCACGGGCGCCGCTTGTCAAATTCGAGTGCCAGGAAACGAGGGGGGTCTGCCTCGTCGAACTGAAATTGAGACCATCATGCATGAGACCATCAACAGCAAGGGGCAGCTCAGTGCACGGGGTCCCATGTGGAACTGGCAACGACTGCAGAGCTAGAGGCAAGGCCCGGCTTGGCTCAGGCACATGTTGCTGGACTCCAGCTTGATTTGTCCGTTGGCTTGCAACTCCCATGTTGAAATCTTCTGCAACAGCATATCCCATCGCAGCCAGGCATGTTTCAAAAGCGAGACTAGTCAAGGAGCCGCTGCCTGTTGAGGCTTCAAAACTCACATCCATCTAATTCTGCGACTGCAGCCGCGTACTCGTCCAACAAAGCACCCACTCGACGAAGCTGGAAGGTGCCTACATTATGACATTATCTTCTCAGCAGCAGCGAATGCAAAACAGCCACAAAAACCACCAGCCCAGGCAACATGCTTCCAAGCACCAGCACGAACAGGACAACTTGATTGCTTTGAAACTTCAGCCAAAATGAGCACAGGAAATTTTAATCACCAAGTCGCTGAAGGTAACCTGGTGTGTGATGATACATTGATTGATACATGAATGATGATAAACCAAACTGCATGCCACTCTCAGGATGGTTCTCACCTCATACATTCACACTCAGAAACATTCAGCGAAATAACGAATCATGTGATTTTGGAGTACCTGTTGCAATTGAGTTTAACTTCGACTAGAAGTCTGAAGTTTTCAACTGGGAACTGGTCAGATTCACCCACCATTTTTGGAGTACCTGTTGCAATCATGTGATTTGGGAGTACCCTCTGGTAAATTAACGTAACTATGGAAAATCACCGTTTTTAATGGGAAAATCCACTATCAATGGCCATTTTCAATAGCTATGTTAAATTACCACAGGGTACCATTGGGTATGAATCAAACTTGCTCCTTGAAATGCTGGGTTCATCTAACCAGTTCCCAGTCGAAACCCTCAGATCACCCGTGCTGCACGTGCGACCTCTGCAGCTCTTCAGGCGAACATGGGATGTGACCAGTGGCCTTCCTGGGACAAGAAAATCCCATGGAAATGCCATGGAAATCCCATGGAAATGCCATGGAAATGCCATGGAATCCTAGCTGTCGGGTCCACTTTTGGCCCATGACCTCTACTGGAGGGTGATGTGTAAAACACCATAAACAATGTGTCCAAAATGGTTAAAAGATGTTAAAAGTTTAATACTGAAATCAAATCAAATCAGGGGATATTCCATCTATTTCCATCTACTCAGATCTTTGCGGTGTTACGTCAAGAAGTATCTATTGACGTATTACGACACAAAAACCACACATTAATCATGAATCCATTTGAAATGATTCCCATGCTGTCCATCAACTTCTTTCCCTAGAGAACACAAGTGACTGGCTGGTGCTATTCAAACCAGAATATATCATCGTCAAAAAAAGGCCTTAGACTCATCCTCTCCAAACAGGGATGGAAATGAACATGTGTTTGAAACTATCAACAGCTGAAGCTTGAGATGACTAACCAACAACTTAAGCGGGAATCGGGCCACAAACATGGAAAACTTGTGCTTTTTTACAATTGGTTCCAAATTTAAACAACACGCAATTTTCTTGGCAGGGCTTTTTGGCGCAAAGAAGATGGTCCATGCACTTGCACATGCACCTGCTTGTCATGTCCGAGGCATTTTCAAACATGGCAGGGCGACATCTCCTCTTTCAAATCAATCCTTGAACGCGGGACTCTGGAAAGCATGTAATGGGTTAGAGTCGATCAAAATCGATCAAGAGTATGAGGATTAACTACAAAGGGGCAAAAAACCATCTGACCCCACATGACTGCCACAGGACCCTACTAATCGCAAGTACTGCCTGGCTCCTTCCCAGCAATTCTCACTGAGTGTGGCGCCACATCCATGGAGAGCAGTCTATGGCGCACTGTTGGACCTGAAGCTCCATTCCAACCCTCGACCGTTTGTCATGTTTGAAGGGATCAAGGGATGACGCTTCGGTAGATCTGATCAATTCTCTGATCATCCCTGGAATTGACATAGTTATATTAATTTCAATTCCATTTGAGCTACACCTAACCCCCAAAATTACCGAAATGTATGCCAATATACCTTACAGGGTTGTATTAAAGCATATTAAAGCCATAAATTATGATCCATCTTGTGGATCTAGCACAGCATCATTCCTGAGGCGAGACCTTTTCGATTCACCCAGTCGGACAGGAATCGAGCTGGTCTGAGCAATCCACGTGGATCGCATAGAGGTGCTGCTTCAAAGGGCAGCGTTGGCTGTACGGGTGTGGAGGGACTTCAGTTCCCTCCCAGATTGAATTAGAGGCCAGTGAAACAGGCCGAAACAGGTCTTTTCATGCCAACATGTGCCACCCATTTTTATATTCATCAAAGTATAGCACCATGCTATTTTTAAGAACAAACATGAACACACTATTCCTAAATGACCATCCCTGGTTTTGACCCACTGGTAACGGTCAAATACAGTAGGCCGTCTTAGGGCCATAGCAAGGCAGGTGGCCTCCCTCCGTGGCTGTGCACTCGGCAACCGTCCAGGGAAGTCGGCCCTGCAGCTATACACGTAGACTATACAATGAGGATTGAGGGGAGCAATGGGAGCACCTCATCCAATGATTAGCACGGAGCGCATCGAAACCTGAGGCAAGCGTATGTAGTATAGAAGCCCATTGGCCGAGCGTCCGCGCAAAGCTTTCCACATCTGCCTTGTGAGAAGTCGAGGTACACAGATGTACACAGCAAGTGGAATTGAAATGATCATCAGCTTTCTTTTGCTTTCCAAGTCTTTGATTGCTGCACATGTACATCAATCTTACTACGTGTCAGCATAGAGGAAAACTCTCTACTAATGCACGCTGTACCCCAAACTTCATGAACAACTCATACAAGTACCAGTGTGATACAACATGTTTGACTTCCAAATTTGGTTAAACCTGGATCCATGATTCAGTACTGTACTGCACAAATCACAAGCCAAACACAAACAAAAGTGGGTCCTTTAGTAATACGCACCTCTTCAGCCATGCCCCCTTGAACGTCTTCAAGCTGAGGTGCAGTAGAGCAAGTTCGTCCCATTCATGTTTGCACTATCCCAACTTCCACTTGGCAACAGGATCTTGGAGCCGGCTAGGCTGGTCATGTCTACCCCGTTGTGTGAAGTCTCACCTGTGCCCCGAAGGCTTTTGGAGCACACGGTACAAGCACAGCTTTGGGCAAGTTGAAAGATGCCCGAAGATCCCAGCTGCTGGGCACAAGTGAAGCCACAGTCGCAGCTCACAAAGTTGTCCAAGGAGCTCTGATTCAACGTCATGGGGGCCCCAAATGGGGCCTTATATGCTTGGTCCGGTACCTCATGAGCCCAGCCAAGCACCAGAAAGCTCAACAAACTTGGAATGAGAGCCATGGCGACGTGAGATTGTGAAGACTTGGACTGATCAAAAACTGCAGTTGAGACTCTGAATATCTCTGAATTAGACAAGGTTGGGCATGTTGCTCAATCTCCAGCGGAACAAAACTCTATTGGACACCATTCAATAACTATTCTGGCGGCTCCAAGGAAGAAGTAGGACTTTGAAAACCTTCAGAGGTGTCAGTCTAGTATCATTTTTGGAAAAGCAAAAATCAAATTCAGACTGTGAGACACATAACATGAACCCGTTCGCAGAACACTCTGCAGGCTGCCAGGCTGGCGTATTTGGATATCGCCGACCACTGCGAGCCCTCCAAAGAACTGATTTGTTGAACTGACCTGGCAAAGACAGGCCAGGCGGCACCCCGTCTCCTTTGTAATACATATAATTAATCAATATGATATATTATTATTATTATGATTATTATTTTTATTGTTATTGTTATTGTTGTTATTATTATTATTCATTATTATTATTATTATTGCTATTATTATTATATATGTCTTAATAAAATCCAATAATCATTACCAGCTCCAGTAGTCAGTGCAACATTTATCAACATGGTGTTTCCATGTCCGATGCTCATGGATTGGTTCGAATTCAGCGTTTCGCACCAGCGAAACTCTCTCCAGGTCTGCAGGAATGGTACCAATTGCCTCAGAGATTCCCCTGGAAATGACCGTCAATTGGGTATCGCTCAAGAAGAATCTTAGTAAATCAATAGTAGATCATCCCCATCACCATAAATGAACGGTATACCATCAAAAATCATCAAAATATGGATGGTTGATTATTGCTTTATCAACAGTCAAGAATGGAGTACCAATCAATGAACTAAAACTGTGAGCTTTTGTTATTTATCTTTCTGAAATGCCGATCAATATATTTCAGCCACACCCAAATGGTGGATTCAGGCTGTGCCCAGTTCTGGGAACGGCCAAGGGGAGCTTGAAGAACAACTTCAGAACACTCAAGGGCTCGCAACTTTTTGCGTCAAAGGCGCAACATATGTCAGTTCTTTGACTGCAGTCTTGAAATGGATGCCATTTCAAAATCTTGGCATCAAACGGTTGACATTTAGGACTTCATCAAAATCAGCTTCAACCCTGACCATCCATTGACTATCTGCTCATCCAATCCTCTCCTCGTCCTGCAGGGAGCTCTCAGCAAGTGGCCCCAATACATCCTGCAATGTAGTGGCTTCACTTTCACATTTTACGTATCATATATATATATATGATATATATGTATCATTGTTTGTGGATTCTGGTGCTTGTTCAGCAGCTATCAATTTCTGTCATTTTGGAAGTAGATCTACAAAATTCTAGAAATATCTGCAAGCCTGTCAGATCATGTCAGATCTGTCAGATCCGGAGCTGCTGGAGCTGCTAGAGCTGTCGAAGCATTCACCTGCAACGAGACACCCTCAACAGAAATCGTGATTTTCGGCCCGGGTCCCACGTTTTGACAATGCATCTATATACATATATATATACATATATATATATATCTATATATATCCACAATCTATATATATATATATCCAGTATCTCAGATCTGTTGTGGGGTTAAACGGTTAAACCCTCCATGCTTCATGACATCCCTCGAGCCTGCTTGGCCTGCTTGGACTGCTTGGCCTGCTTGGCCTGCTTGCTCTTCCGCACGCATTCTGGCCAGCTCCTGAACCATGGTCAAAACCCAGCCCTATGAATAAGAACGATGCTAAATTTCATTGCAATGGTCATCCCAAATTTGCGGTGCATATATACATGTGCAGACTTAATTCTGAACCATTTTCCCATTTGGCTTTGTGTTAAAATAGTAAATATCTAAGATACCCAATTGTCATAGAGATCTCATATGTTCATATAAATTGACCCGTATTATCTACATTCTTTGATGGCAATAAAATGGGGACTATATATCTCTCTTTCAGACACCAAGCCATGTAGCCATCAGTCCTCGTAATCTGCCCGAAGCCATTTCAGCTGCTCGGCCGAATGCTTCTGCCCCTGGCTGCGGGAGATGCTCCTGCGAGCTGCTCAAAATCTCTATTTGCCATAGCTATCATCTTTATATCTATATTGTATCACATAAGGAAATATCATATATATATATGTATATATATACATATATTCAATATTAATAATGATACTAATAATCTATTTATACAACAAGGATCTACTTATAGAAAAATAGCCCCAGGTCGCCTGGTCGATCAACTCCTGCATGCGATCAAGGCGCGCATGTAGGTCGTCTGGTGACCTGGTTCAAAAGCTGAGGAAAATCCATAGCAGAAGCACGACCCAAAAAGCATGGGCAAATATATGGGTGAGATTTTCAAAAATCATTTTTTAGAACTTGTTGAATAAATATGAATAAATCAACTGTAATAGTCATACTTCTAGTTGAAATAATCAACTGTAATAGATTGTAATAGTCATACCTCTAGTTTCCCTCAGGGGTAGACCCCCTGAAGATAAATATCATGTTGATTCACTTTATATCTGACAGCCAAGGTTCAAACCCTCCATGACACTTCAGGTCCAAGGTGCTACCGAAACATGTGACGTTTGTGTACAAAGAGGGCAGGAAGAATGCTTTAAAGACATGTACATCATTCAAATATCATGGACATTGCATTACATTGCTGTAATACAAGTTCATCATATTCATATATCATCTTCATATAGTGTATTTATATATATATATATCTTTATTTATTATAATTACAGTATTTTGATGGACTCCACCAAAAACCCGAACCCCAGGGTCTGCCTCTGATCATCAACCTGGGACACATGCATAAAATCTCACTGAGAGCACCAAACAATGAAATATCAATGAGTTGAAATCATAGCGAGAAATGTGTAAAGTCATAAGTTCCATGTTCATGTTTCAGCAATGCCCACTTCAAACCACTTCATCTTTTGCAGTTCCCTGGCGTTTCAGAAAAGAAGAGTCCACCTACAGAACCGCAGCAAATACGAAATGACCATGGTGACCATGAGAATCCGGATGATTTCACCTGTCATCCTGGGTCAACAGGATTGCTCGACAATTGGATGTTGTGAAAATTTGTGAAATTACTTCGTGATTGGTCCCTTCCCGCCACTTGTGTTCTTGTGGCTTATTGTAGTCATAGCATGTCATAGCGGTATGAAAACCATAGATTCTATTGCCCATGCTCTGCACAGCTCTTGAATACGTTCGGCGATGCCCGCCTGAGCAGCATTGACCCGCATCTGGCAGGTAGGCTACAAAACACACGGAGAAAATTCAAAATATAATACACACTTTATGTACATTTAATATGCCCATAATACCTGTAATATGCATATAACATACATAATATACATATGATACCCATGTAATATCAATATGATACTTTCAAATATATATATATATATATCATATATCTATCTTATATGGATCATATGGAAAATATAATATTATGTATGTAATATCATATGGATATATAACTAATTAATATATATATATATACCGTGCTATACTTATGGATATATAACTAACTAATATATATATAATATTATACACTGTGCTATACTTACAATTGATGCACATAATATAATATATATTTATACACACGTATCTCAGACTGACTCATCAGTACATTCCTAAGGCTTTGGCTTTCTCATCTTTCTCTACATGTCATCACCAATAGGTTCCTGGAGTTTGTCGCAGTGCCGTACTTCTGACATCCCGCAGCCTCCATTTGGACAGGGCTACTGCGCCTCAAGGTCAATCTGGACACTGCCAATTCACCATCCAAATGTACATCCTACAACTATCTACAACGGTCTTTTTGGGCTACTTCTTGATTGGGTTGGGAGTTTCCAAGTTTGAGGCACACATGCACAGAGGAACTAGGTCACTATGAATCAAGGCACAATATGAGCTTGTGATAGCTTGTTTCTACTAAGCCTGGCTAAACGTTGACCCAAATCCGTAGTCGCCAAAGGGCGAGAGCGTGTCAGGCATCAAATTGCTTCTGGGACCTGTGGGCGGCGCCGTGAAAAACATTAGGCAGCTTAGAACATACATGCAATGGCATGCCTGCAATCTGCAAAAGTATTATTTGTTTGAAGATGATACAAATTGAGCAAACATGTACGTATGCCCAACTGCTCAATATTCATTTGACAATTTGCAAGGTTGAGTGAGAATTGTTTGTGGAATTTTGGGAATTTCCAATATTTCCAACGACACGTTCTTTGAAAAACAACTGTACAAAAGCAAGTGGATTTTTCTACGGGAGGAAACCACAATTTCAGGCATAAATTGGCACAAAGAAGGTTGCTTCCTAGTCACAACATCTTTTCTTTGCAGCACAAACTCAGCGAACAAGAGCCACCAGCTCCAAGTTTTAAGGTTGTTTCTACCCCTTGGTAGTCAAACATCTTGCTGGAAAATCCTCCATTTTGCTCGATGATTTTCCCAGCTACAAACCTCCATTTCGTTCGCAGAATTCACAGCCTTGTTTTGATTACCAGAGGCTCATTCCAATAAATTCATCATCATGAATCATCATTCATCATCATTAATCACCATGGTCAACCACTAATTCTTGACTAGGAAATTCATGGAAATTCACAACTGTTGACCGGAGGCCCATCACGAAATGAAGCGTTTATCGATCCATGGATCGTGAAGCTGTCACAGTGACAACACTCTGAGCACCCTGCTCGACATCGCTGCAGACAGCGCTGTCTGCGCGCTGCGATTCAAATTGCCTCACTTCGACACCGCATGGCTCAGAGTCTGAAGCTGGTCCTAATTCCTTCTAAATTCGTCATTCATGTTTAATCAATCCATCAAAAATGCTGAGTAGCTAACTTATTTAAATCATACAACATATTGAACTATTATTATATATATATAACATATAATATTACTAATAACTAATAATCATTAATACATATCATATCATATCTGGTTTCCCATATGTTTTTTTCCATTTGTTTCCCCTATCTCCTGATATTTCTCGCCACATCCCATCCTTTTTGGGCGCCCAACATTCGCTATAGACTCGGGGGCCAAGAGCTTCGGTGACCTCCAGAAACCTGGAGGTTTCTGGGGGGCCACTGTGACAACCTATGGGATGTTTTTGAGGCATATACCAGCTGGTAAACTAACATCACTATGGAAAATCACCCTTTTTAATGGGTAAATCACCCTTTTTAATGGGTAAATCAACCATAAATGGCCAGTTTCATTAGCTATGTTAGTTTATCAGAGGGTAAATTTGTAGCAACCATAGTATTTCATGAGATGGGAAAACGGGGTATATTTTTGGCTAAAAAATTGAGACTGTCAACCTATGGTTGGGAGGGGGATAAAACAGCACAGCAGGACACAGAATTTCATCTATATGTGGGAACACGCATCTTTTTTTGAGGGAACATGTTCACCATTGTTCACCTCTGGCATCCTCCGATCAAACATGAACAAACATGAGGAAACATATGATTTGTTTCCAGGAGAACATGTGTTTTTGTTTTCTGAAGGAAAAAAATCTACGGGGAAACTCCTGGCATACTCCTGAGACATCGAATTTTATCGGGCATTTCAGAGACAAAAAACCAAGCCAATGCCACTGGGCCTACACCATGCTATTTTTTTACGCAAGTTGACATGGGTTTGTCTGAAAATAGTGTACCCCAGAAAACCCAATGGTTTTGGATCATTATCCCTACTAAATATCCCTACTAAATGGCTATTTCATTGGGGGTATACCCCATTTTCAGACATACCCATATGACATGGTGGGTAAAGATGCCCTCTTTTATGTGGCTAAATTACTAAAGAACGCCCCATTTTGAGGTCTTGACATTGTCATGGATGGTAATTGGGAATGGTAGTTGGATTCATGGTAGCTATTTCTGGATAATCATGGAACTTTGACATAGGCTCATTTTCTTCCCTGCATGTCCAACTGCCAGCTTCGGAACACACCTGGCAGATGCTTTGCCACCAGGCCTTACTTAGATTTGCCAGGTGCTGATTTAACTGCCCCGCTGTGTCATACAAAGGGATGCCCGAAGAAATGGGTTGATAGCCAGCATCCTGCTCTCTGATCTTCACTCAGAGGAACTAATTTATGATTCTACAGTTGTCTCGCCAACCTGAGATCTCTATCAAGTCTGACAAACTCGAGCAGCTTTAACCCAATGGAAGTTCAACACCCGAAGTTCCCCAGGAACCAATATTTCACGCGAATTCAGCACGCACTACCCCAATATCGTTTTAGGCTCTCCAAGATGCTGGAAAGGTTGAAAAAATGGAGTAATATGGAGTAATATGGAGTAATATGGTGCTCTTGATCAACTCTAATTCCCAATCTAATCAATTGCCATCCGCTAATCCCTTCCTCCTAATACTAAACCCCCCCTATTAATAAACACGGCAGGTAGTTTTTAGTATTATTAGGGGGGTATTTATTATTAGGGAACCAAAGTCCAATTCATGTTATTCATTATATAAAGATATCTATCTATCTATATATATTATATAAATTTGCTTGTATAAAGCAATTAAAATATTGCCAAAAATTGGATTTCGAAGTTTCCCCCTAATATAAAAACACCTAATAATAAAAACTATTATTTCCGATTTCAAAATCAATTAAATTTCCTTTACATAACGGTACGCAATTAAAATATTGCCAAAAATTGGATTTCGAAGCTTCCCCACTTCCCCCTAATACTAAATTAAAACCCTTAATAAAAACTAGTTCGTTCGATTTCAAAATCAATTAAATTTCCTTATATAACGCAATTAAAATATTGCCAAAAATTGCATTTCGAAGCTTCCCCTAATATTAAATTAAAATCCTTAATAATAAAAACTAGTTTGTTCGATTTCAAAATCAATTAAATTTCCTCATATAACGCAATTAAAATATTACCAAAAATTGGATTTCGAAGCTTCCCCCTAATATTAAATTAAAATCCTTAATAATAAAAACTAGTTTGTTCGATTTCAAAATCAATTAAATTTCCTTATATAACGCAATTAAAATATTACCAAAAATTGGATTTCGAAGCTTCCCCCTAATATTAAATTAAAACCCTAATAAAAACATATAAAAACTAGTTTGTTCGATGTCAAAATCAATTAAATTTCCTTATATAACGTAATTAAAATATTGCCAAAAAATGGATTTCGAAACTTCCCCCTAATTCTAAATTAAAAGCCCTAATATTTAAAAAAAAACGGACGGACCCTAATAATAAACACCCTGCGGTGAACTAGTTTTTAGTACAATATTAGGGGGCAAAACCCACAAATGGTAGCTTTATTTTTAACTTGTTTTCTAAAGGGGATCAATTAAAAGTCAAATTGGCCAATCTGAAATTTTCCAAAATTAGAGATGGACGCCTGTTTTTAGTATTTGGGGGACGATTAGTAATAGGAGGAAAGGATTAATCAAACATGGCAATGGAACATCATATAACATCACCGATTCCATTCAGTTCCGTTTCTTTGTTTTTTCCACCTGTAAGTGTCTGTAGGGAATTTCCCCAGCCATGTTTGACCAGGGGTTAAGCCGAAGAGAAAAAACGAAGTGCTCCTTGGACTCCGGGCCCACTGTACACTTTGTGCACACCTCAGATGTTGGGTTTGAAAATGGGGGATTCACCATGATTCGGCGATTCACCGCAGTTATAAATGTTATCTGGGTAAATTATCCGCCGACCCCAGCAAACGGCAGGGGGAGCGCGCCCGAGAAAAAGTTGTAGCCTGCCCTCAAAGGCTCCGCAGCGCCTTTGCCGGCGCTTTTTGCCATCTGCCGGGCCTTTGCCCAGTACTGCGGGCCTTTGCCCAAAACTTTTCTAGTGGCTTCAGAAAGCAACGTTAGGCACTAGCCTGCCCTCAAACCCTCCGCAGCGCCTTGGCCGGCGCTTTGTGGCCATCTGCCGGGCCTTTGCCCAAACTTTTGTAATGGCTTCAGAAAGCAACGTTAGGCACTCGCCTGCCTTCAAACCCTCCGCAGCGCCTTGGCCGGCGCTTTGTGGCCATCTGCCGGGCCTTTGACCAGACTTTTCTAGTGGCTTCAGAAAGCAACGTTAGGCACGAGCCTGGCTTCAAACCCTCCGCAGCGCCTTGGCGGGCGCTTCGTGGCCAGCTGCCGGGCCTGTGCTCGAGCTTTTCCAGTCTTTTCTCGTGGCTTCAGAAAGCAACGTTAGGCACTAGCCTGGCTTCAACAAACCCTCCGCAGCGCCTTGGCGGCTGCCGGGCCTGTGCTCCAGCTTTTCCAAACTTTTCTAGTGGCTTCAGAAAGCAACGTTAAGCACTAGGCTGGCTTCAAACCCTCCGCAGCGCCTGGTCGGAAGCTTTGTGGCCAGCTGCCGGGCCTGTGCTCGAGCTTTTCCAGTCTTTTCTAGTCGCTTCAGAAAGCAACGTTAGGCACTAGCCTGGCTTCAAACCCTCCGCAGCGCCTTGGCGGGCGCTTCGTGGCCAGCTGCCGGGCCTGTGCTCCAGCTTTTCCAGCTTTTCTAGTGGCTTCAGAAAGCAACGTTAGGCACTAGCCTGGCTTCAAACCCTCCGCAGCGCCTTGGCGGGCGCTTCGTGGCCAGCTGCCGGGCCTGTGCTCCAGCTTTTCCAGTCTTTTCTAGTGGCTTCAGAAAGCAACGTTAGGCACTAGCCTGGCTTCAAAAACCCTCCGCAGCGCCTTGGCGGGCGCTGCGTGGCCAGCTGCCGGGCCTGTGCTCGAGCTTTTCCAGTCTTTTCTAGTGGCTTCAGAAAGCAACGTTAGGCACTAGCCTGGCTTCTCAAACCCTCCGCAGCGCCTGGGCGGGCGCTTTGTGGCCAGCTGCCGGGCATGTGCTCGAGCTTTTCCAGTCTTTTCTAGTGGCTTCAGAAAGCAACGTTAGGCACTAGCCTGGCTTCAAACCCTCCGCAGCGCCTTGGCGGGCGCTTCGTGGCCAGCTGCCGGGCCTGTGCTCGAGCTTTTCCAATCTTTTCTCGTGGCTTCAGAAAGCAACGTTAGGCACTAGCCTGGCTTCAAACCATCCGCAGCGCCTGGGCGGGCGCTTCGTGGCCAGCTGCCGGGCCTGTGCTCCAACTTTTCCAGACTTTTCTAGTGGCTTCAGAAAGCAACGTTAGGCACTAGCCTGGCTTCAAACCATCCGCAGCGCCTGGGCGGGCGCTTTGTGGCCAGCTGCCGGGCCTGTGCTCGAGCTTTTCCAATCTTTTCTAGTGGCTTCAGAAAGCAACGTTAGGCACTAGCCTGGCTTCAAACCCTCCGCAGCGCCTTGGCGGGCGCTTCGCGGCCAGCTGCCGGGCCTGTGCTCGAGCTTTTCCAATCTTTTCTAGTGGCTTCAGAAACGAACGTTAGGCACTAGCCTGGCTTCAAACCATCCGCAGCGCCTTGGCGGGCGCTTCGTGGCCAGCTGCCGGGCCTGTGCTCCAGCTTTTCCAGTCTTTTCTAGTGGCTTCAGAAAGCAACGTTAGGCACTAGCCTGGCTTCAAACCCTCCGCAGCGCCTGGGCGGGCGCTTTGTGGCCAGCTGCCAGGCCTGTGCTCCAGCTTTTCCAGTCTTTTCTAATGGCTTCAGAAAGCATTGTTAGGCACTAGCCTGGCTTCAAACCCTCCGCAGCGCCTGGGCGGGCGCTTTGTGGCCAGCTGCCGGGCCTGTGCTCGAGCTTTTCCAATCTTTTCTAATCGCTTGAGAAAGCAACGTTGGGCACTAGCCTGGCTTCAAACCCTCCGCAGCGCCTTGGCGGGCGCTTCGTGGCCAGCTGCCGGGCCTGTGCTCGAGCTTTTCCAGTCTTTTCTAGTGGCTTCAGAAAGCAACGGTAACGTTAGGCACTAGCCTAGCTTCAAACCCTCCGCAGCGCCTTGGCGGGCGCTTCGTGGCCAGCTGCCGGGCCTGTGCTCGAGCTTTTCCAGTCTTTTCTAGTCGCTTCAGAAAGCAACGTTAGGCACTAGCCTGGCTTCAAACCCTCCGCAGCGCCTTGGCGGGCGCTTCGTGGCCAGCTGCCGGGCCTGTGCTCGAGCTTTTCCAGTCTTTTCTCGTCGCTTCAGAAAGCAGCGTTAGGCACTAGCCTGGCTTCAAACCCTCCGCAGCGCCTTGGCCGGCGCTTTGTGGCCATCTGCCGGGCCTTTGCCCAAACTTTTGTAATGGCTTCAGAAAGCAACGTTAGGCACTCGCCTGCCTTCAAACCCTCCGCAGCGCCTTGGCCCGCGCTTTGTGGCCATCTGCCGGGCCTTTGACCAGACTTTTCTAGTGGCTTCAGAAAGCAACGTTAGGCACTAGCCTGGCTTCAAACCCTCCGCAGCGCCTTGGCGGGCGCTTTGTGGCCAGCTGCCGGGCCTGTGCTCCAGCTTTTCCAGTCTTTTCTAGTCGCTTCAGAAAGCAACGTTAGGCACTAGCCTGGCTTCAAACCCTCCGCAGCGCCTTGGCCTGTGCTCGAGCTTTTCCAGTTTTCTAGTGGCTTCAGAAAGCAACGTTAGGCACTAGCCTGGCTTCAAACCCTCCGCAGCGCCTTGGCGGGCGCTTTGTGGCCAGCTGCCAGGCCTGTGCTCCAGCTTTTCCAGTCTTTTCTAGTGGCTTCAGAAAGCAACGTTAGGCACTAGCCTGGCTTCAAACCCTCCGCAGCGCCTGGGCGGGCGCTTTGTGGCCAGCTGCCGGGCCTGTGCTCCAACTTTTCCAGTCTTTTCTAGTCGCTTCAGAAAGCAACGTTAGGCACTAGCCTGGCTTCAAACCCTCCGCAGCGTCTGGGCGGGCGCTTCGTGGCCAGCTGCCGGGCCTGTGCTCGAGCTTTTCCAGTCTTTTCTAGTGGCTTCAGAAAGCAACGTTAGGCACTAGCCTGGCTTCAAACCCTCCGCAGCGCCTTGGCGGGCGCTTCGTGGCCAGCTGCCGGGCCTGTGCTCGAGTTACATATTATATTATCTATTATATTATATTATACTAAATTATATTAGATTATATTGATTATATTGTATTATACTATATTACATTATATTCTTTTATATTCTATTCCATTATCTTATATTAAATTATATTATATTATATATTATATTATATTATATTATACTATATAAATTATTTTGCTTGCAATTTTTCCGGGGTCGGCGGCAGGGGCGGCAGCCCTTAAATATAATATTTCACCAACCTGAATTAAGGCCATTTGGGGATGATTTCCCTTATTAACCATGATTTCCAGTGAGGTCGCAGTGAGATCGTTATAATTTACCCAGATGTTATAAGAGGGAAAATGATGTTCTAGAATAAACCAAAGGATTTAGGGGTGCTTCAATTTCAGACAAACCCAGATGGTCGCACTTGCTATGGACGAAATCTTCCACTTTAAGCATGGCTTTCATATCTTTCATCATGTCCTTTTTCATGAACCATCACACAATATCGCAATCAATCGGATAGCACCCGCCATGGTATTATCCTCTGAGAGCAAGGCCGGCTCTTCCCCACGAGTGTCCTTGCTAGCCACATGACCCCCAGTCGCGCTTGCTTTGCAGGCTATGGGTCAAAATTGGGCTAGACCGAGAATCAGTAACCTACATGATTGGCTTGCAAACCTTCCATATCCTTCCATGGGATCCAATTCACATGTTTTCACCGCCCATCTTCGTTACACTCCCTTTCATCAATGGAAGTCCGTACCCAGAAGTCCGTGCGATGGGTTGATACCCCATGACTGTCGACCATTGTTCGTCGTTGATACCCCTTGGGCCCACACGGGTAGGCACGCCATCTGAAGGTGCCCCCTCGGTTTGTCATCTCTAGGAGAGAACCAAAATTATGTTGGAAAATGCATAGAATCACCTAGAAGTTCATATAGAGTAATTTTACACTTCTTTAGAATATCTCTAGTAGCAGTTGGACCACTTCTCCCTCAGTCCTTTGGTTCTCTTTAAGAAATCCGGTCAGCTCCAGTTCCAACAGTCGCAGCAGCTGGGCCTTGATGCCGCCCTTCGGGACTGATGCACGCGCCACGGCTGAAGAACCTTTGCCTTGCGGCGTCGGGCTGAGGTCAGGGATTGTGAGTGGAGGGAGCAGCTCAACAGTGTCTCCTCTATGGTGATTCCTATTAAATCTACTAAGATCAAAAGCATCGCAAAAGTCAAATTATATGCTGGGGTGGTTTTTGTTTGCTGAAACAATTCAATCACTGTTGTAGATCTCAAACCTCCGATTTGAAGCCATCTGACGATTTCGGAAAAAAGGATTGTCTAATTAATTGTCTATCATTATTCATTACTATTCCGTATTCATTAGTTATTCCATGTTCCGTGTGTCCGTGTGTTTCAGTTGTTCCATTTATTCCCACCATTTTGAGATCCCTTGGTCCCTTGGCACTGAAAAATCGTGCTGGGTTGCCATCCCCACGTCACCTCCATAAAGTGCACTTGTCGCGGCAGTGGTTTGCCTGCATGGATATCCAATGATTGATTAGTTTAGATACTGAGTTTACTAACCCCATGTTTGGTTATTTTTGGGGTTTACTAACCCCAATGCTTGGGTTTTGGGCCCAACATGGCCCCAACTGGCAGATGGCCTGGCAACAATCGTTCATATCTTGTATCTGCCCATCCCACAATGGGGCAGGGATTTGTCTGAAAAAGGGTCCCTTAAAACTCAACATCGCAATCTTCACAGGGAAAAATATGGCAGTGTGTCAAAACCTTGTACCCCTGGTGAACATCAAAATAGCTGGTAAATGGATGTTCATCCCCCTAAAAATGGTATGTATAGGTATTGATCCATAGCCATATGATTCACCATGATTGACCATGTTTTTTTAGCACGCAAAAAAAAACATGATTCTCCAGCGACCTTGGAGGTACCCCATCGACTCAGAAATGCTGGACAAAGAGGCACCTGGGCGAGACGAAGTTTTCTGACCGCGCCGAGTTTTCGAGGACATCCTCAAAGGCCCTGATGTGTGGATGGGTGAATGGTGGATGATGGTGTTTTGTTTTTTTTTTTGGATCCCCACAAAGCTATTTGGATGATGGTTTTGGTGGATGATATTTTTGGATGGTAATTCGTGAGGTGCTGTTCCTGTTTCTGTTCTTGGTTTGTACTTGTTCCTTTGTTCTCTTGCTACGTGTTTTTACTTCGTCTGAATCATGTCCACCCCTCCCCTCCCGTCTACTACTACCACTCCTCCTCCTCTACATTCCTCTACTCCTACTCCTACTCCCACTCCTACCTTCTTCCCCAAGCACTCAGTGTGCCGGGCCAGTAGTGCCGATAGCTAGTAAAACGGTCTACGGATGTCTACGGTATTACAGTCGTCTACAGTCTACCGGTAGTAGTCACAGGACGCACGCGGTACTAAACTGATCATCATGGCATGGCACACCCCCCCTCCCTTACCCCGCCCTCCCTCCTGAATTATATTTAAGGCCTTATTAGGTATCTATTAAGGCCCTAATAAGGTACTATTTTGTAAACAGAAAAATAATACCCAAATAAGAAGGGAATAAGATAAAATGCTTATTCCAGTGTTATTCCACCTTTATTTTTCCAACAGGATGGCAAGTGGAGAAACAAGTGAGTGAGACCTTATTCCACCCTTATTTTTTTTTCAAGCAAAAGACACCTCGCCGGCCGCTTCAAGTCCGTAATAGACAAGGATGATTTTTCATATTTTGCTCGTGTTGCTTTGCCTGCGAGTAGCCACCGCTTGGGTTGCCCAAACCTGGTTTATATGGCTTATCTTCCTGCCTTATCTCTGCCTTTTTTTGATTTTGGCTTTCTGCGACAGATTCTGCTTGTTCCTGCCTTGTTCCTTGCTTATTACTGCCTTATTTTTGGACTTTGGCTTTCTGCAGCATATTCTGCTTATTCCTGCCTTATTCCTGATTTATTCCTGCCTATATTATTCCTGCCTTATTTCTGCCTTATTTTTGGATTTTGGCTTTCTGCAGCATATTCTGCTTATTCCTGCCTTATTCCTGGCTTATTCCTGCCTTATTCCTTGCTTATTCCTGCCTTATTTTTGGATTTTGGCTTTCTGCAGCATATTCTGCTTATTCCTGCCTTATTCCTGGCTTATTCCTGCCTTATTCCTCTGCCTTATTTCTGCCTTATTTTTGGATTTCGGCTTTCTGCAGCATATTCTGCTTATTCCTGCCTTATTCCTGGCTTATTCCTGCCTTATTTCTGCCTTATTTTTGGATTTTGGCTTTCTGCAGCATATTCTGCTTATTCCTGCCTTATTCCTGGCTTATTCCTGCCTTATTCCTGCTTATTCCTGCCTTATTTTTGGATTTGGCTTTCTGCAGCATATTCTGCTTATTCCTGCCTTATTCCTGGCTTATTCCTGCCTTATTCCTTGCTTATTCCTGCCTTATTTCTGCCTTATTTTTTATTTTGGCTTTCTGCAGCATATTCTGCTTATTCCTGCCTTATTCCTGCATTTCTGCCTTATTTTTGGATTTCGGCTTTCTGCAGCATATTCTGCTTATTCCTGCCTTATTCCTGGCTTATTCCTGCCTTATTCCTGCCTTATTTCTGCCTTATTTTTGGATTTGAGCTTTCTGCAGCATATTCTGCTTATTCCTGCCTTATTCCTGGCTTATTCCTGCCTTATTCCTTGCTTATTCCTGCCTTGTTTCTGCTCTTTTTTTTATTTTGGCTCTCTGCAGCATATTCTGCTTATTCCTGCCTTATTCCTGATATTTAAATGGTGGAATCTGAGATGATTTTGGGGCAGCCCCATATTAAGGGAAGATTTCACACGATGGTATTAATATATTCAGGTGTTCAACCTCTTCTGGTGAAATTTGGGATTTGTGTTTGAAACAAAATACCATGTCGCAATCATTCAGTTTCAGTGTGGGGCCCAAAGCAATGGTATATTGTCAATTTGTGGGTTCTTGTTTTGTCTTCTGAACAACAGCTATTTTGATCGGTTTTCTTTTTGGTCTCCCTTGTTGTTTACACTGGAAAATCATAGGCTATTCAATCATTATTTTTCCGAAATCCACCTGTCCTAAAGAAGGAAGTGGCAGTGAGGTATCATAGCTTATTCCATCTTTATTTCCACCTTATTTTGTTCAAAGGCTTTATTCCCAAAATAAGCAAGGAATAAGTAACTCTCCAGGGGGGGGGAGTAAGGGAGGGGGGGGTGTGCCATGCCATGAGATCAGCCGGGTAATTTGGTATACGGCGGTCAGTAGGTTGTTGTGGTAAGTAAGCACTTGCTACTCAAGCTGCTTCCGCTCTACGGTTCTGTCTTCGTCTCCTCTTCTTCTCTCTACGGCTTCCACCTAGCCACATCAAACTCCCTTGGGGCGACCTCTCTATGGCTGGCAGGCTTGCTGCAGGCAATTCAATAGAGCAAATAGGATGGACCAATGGTCATCACTTCACTTTTTGATCTAAGGGGAACCTATTTGGTGAAATACCACCGGATACGACCGGCATTGCATGAAATCCGATCATTGGATCTCGGGGATCATGGATGGCGCCTCCGTGGACATACATTTTCTGTATCCAACATTATCCAACCAGATCAAAAGTTCAGGTTCCCACAGTCAGCAGATGTCAGCAGTAATAAGCGCCGTTTTAAAGAGCGTTTGGAGATGTTGGAGTGTGCACTGATATCCCTCGACTTGGTAAGCTGATGAAGCAAGTTCCGTTGGGCCCGCCCACTGGTCGAGAGACGTCTTATAACTCCTCATTTCTGTTCCTTGGCTTTTGAATCTCTGGCCTAAGACATCAAGATACACATCACGTAGTAGTTTATTTATTTTAGTAGGAGTTCACCTTCCTACCGGTTTGGGGGTGCTGTATAATTAATACACAGTAGACAATATAAATTAATATAGCACCATATAGCAATTTAGCACCCAAAAAAAACACATGCAGAAAAGTTGGACACAGGGAAGTTAGGAGGTAAACATCATCCGGAAATACTTGTCTACCTTTTTTGGGGTTACGATATACACACACACACCCTCTGGCAATCAAACATGGCAATGAGTCTCCGAATGTCTCCTATTTCTACAGATGATATTCCAGTTGAAACCTCCGGGGATTTCCAATTACATCCACTTGCTATGTTTGATTATCGGAGGGTATGTTTTTGTATGTTTTTGTAATCATGGGATGTCATGGGCCATTCCTGGCCTCTCCAATTTCGCCAAGGCGTGTATCACTGCTACACTCTCCGGCCTGGCGGAAGTTCGGCACGCTGGAGACGCTATGGGATTCACATGGATTCACCCAGGGGACCATAGGGGACCGTTTTGGTTCAAAAAACGAACACAACTCATGGAAAATGATGAACAAATGATGAAAACTCATGGACATTGAATGGGAAAAAAATGGATCGAAAGAAATTGATGGAGATTGGTAGCGCAAATCTGCGGACTTCTGGCGTTTTTCCTCTTGCCCTGAGAAGGATGGCTTGGCGCTTCCGTCAGTAGATTCAGAAAATCTGACGAATTACAAGGCTTCAAACTTGAGAGTGGCTCAATGTGGCCAAGGGGCTATGAGCAGCCACAATCTGTCACTGTTCCATGCAATACCAATATATTATGTACCACGCATGGAGTGTTTTCGCCGAAGTCGATTGCCCTCCACTGTCCAGGGGGCAAGCTTCAAACGATACTTCATAGGTGGGCTTACAAGATTTACAAGACTCAATTTCATTGATGTATGGCATATGCATATGCATGAAGACTCAGGCACACCGCAGAGAAATCCCGCCAAATGCTAGGCTCTTCAGATTGCGCGGCCACCCAGTCTGACTCAGTGTAGCAAGATTGCCATGCCGTCCAAGAACCAACATCTCCAGAGTGCCGGGGAAGTTGACCCCTTCAAATCCCGGCAACCTCCCAGCAAGCTGCAAAGTTTGGAGATTGCTGGGCAAGTTCAAGTGTTGGAAACTTGGCCGGAGACGTGAACCAAATGTCAAACTTTGAAGACCTTGTGGCAAGCTCATATCCTGCAAATCCTGGTCGAAAAACGTGCCAAATTGCATACTTTGAAGGCTGTCTGGCAAGTTCACATTCTGCAAACTCTGGTTGAACTGCGCGCCAAACATCAAATGCTGAAGACCAGATGGGAAGGACACATGTTGAAGGTCCTGGTTGAACTTTTCACCAAAAGTTAAGCTCTCAAGACTATCCGGCAAGTTCACATGTTCCAAGCTCTGGTTGAACTCTGCACCAAACGTCAGACTGCGAAGGGTGCTCGGGAAAGACACACTTTCCAGCACCTGATTGAACTTTTCACCAAAAGTTAAGCTCTCAAGACTATCCGGCAAGTTCACACGTTCCAAGCTCTGGTTGAACTCTGCGCCAAGAGTCAAACTGCGAAGGGTGCTCGGAAAAGATACACTGTCCAGTCCCTGATTGAACATTCGACCAAGAGTCAAACTTTCAAGTTTCTTCGGCAGGGTCACCCGTTCTAAGCTCTGGTTGAACTCTGCACCAAAAGTCAAAGTGCAAAGGCTGCTGGGGAGATCGACATAATCCAAACGTCGGTTGAAGTGCTCGCCAAAAGTCAACGTGCGAAGACTTTGTGGCCAGCATACCCCTTCAAGGTTTTGATTGAACTGAGCACCAAGAGTTAATTCTTCAAGCGTGTTTGGCAAGGCCACATGCTCCAGGCTCTCTCTCCAGCGTTCATCAAAAGCGAAAAATTGAATACTGCGAGAAAAAGTGATACGCTGTAAGCTCTGGTTGAATTGGGCACCAAAGGTCAAGTTTTGCAAACTCTGAGGCCAGCTCATTTCTACCAGGTTCTGGGTAAATCCGTCACCAAGAGTCAAACTTTGAAGGCTGTCTGGCAAGTTCACATTCTGCAAACTCTGATTGAACTGCGCACCAAACATCAAATGCTGAAGACCAGATGGAAAGGACACATGTTGAAGGTCCTGGTTGAACTTTTCACCAAAAGTTAAGCTCTCAAGACTATCCGGCAAGTTCACATGTTCCAAGCTCTGGTTGAACTCTGCGCCAAGAGTCAAACTGCGAAGGGTGCTCGGAAAAGATACACTGTCCAGTCCCTGATTGAACATTCGACCAAGAGTCAAACTTTCAAGTTTCTTCGGCAGGGTCACCCGTTCTAAGCTCTGGTTGAACTCTGCACCAAGGATCAAGCTTTGAAGATCGCTGGGCAAAGTTACATTTTCCAAGCTCGTGTTAAAATTTGCACCAAAAGTCAAGGTTTGAAGCTTGCTTGGCAAGGATACATGCATGAGGCTCTGGTTGAACGGGGCACCGAAAGTCAAATTTTGCAAATTCGATGGAAAGGTAATGCTGTTTACTCTCTGATCGAACCCGCGAAGAGTCAAGTCCTGAAGGCTTCTGGGAAGATGGTATAGATACCCACCAGGTCTTGTGCATCTCAGTTGTGTCACACCATCCAGTGCAAAGTCTTCTTGAGATGTTTGTAGGCCTTCGACGCAACGCAACGCTGCGTGCAAATCGGTTGCCACATACACGCATGAGAAGATTGCAGCTTTGCCCACAATGCCTTGCTCTTGTAGGGTTTGGTCGAGTCGCAAATAGGCATCTCCGTAAAGTAAAACGTGCTTTGCACCTGGTTTGGGCTCAATCTGCTCAGAGACCATTTGTCGCAGGCTGCGGCCAAGTGTGGACCGAGGAATGCTAAATCGCAATCCTTCACCAGTCAAGCATAGTACTTCAACATCAATCACATCCAGTTCCTCACCAGAAGATGTTGCGACATTGCTGGTGGGAGTGATTGACATCTCCTTAACATCAGCAGATTTGGTGCCTTAGGCCTTGCTGATCCGAAAAAATGGGTCAAAGACTTGAACCAATGTGGAATCGCCAAGTACGTCAGCAGGAAACTGTCTCAAGGGCTGGCATTCTTCAGATCTGTTTTATGCTAGAACGATCTAGAATGGATGGATATTGGTATTGGTGATACCATGGTCATACCAAGGTTATTGCCGCAACTGCTCCTTTCCAAAACCTCCTCGTGCCCTCTCAGTCTCTCTGATCCCGACCAAGGGAGGGGGAAAACTCCAAACCATTCTGATGAAAACCTCCTTTTGTTGTCTACGATTGGTGGGGTTATGTGGGGTTCGCAACCATGGGAAAAACGTTGCGATGTTTCCACTCAAGCTCGGTCCAACATTGCACCTCGTCTCATTGCCTCGTGCCCCTCGCGGCACAGCCTTGGGTTTCGCCTGCAGTGAGCAAAGAAAATTGTAGTTTTACCATGATTAAGGGAAGGTTTAACATTGTCAAAATTTCAATACTTACTATTTCATGTTTATGCCAGAAATTCCATCAAAATCATCCAGTTGCAATACTTCGCAATTTGATGCAATTTGCACGACATTTGCCAGTTTTCTCCATTTAACTGGTCCATTTGTTGATACGTTCTTTGAGACATCGTCACTCCATGTCACTCCATTGTGATCCATATCGACGCCGTTGTCTGCTCGCCGTTTTCCACTTCGCCAGGCCGCTCACCACTGTACTCGGGCAAATTTCAATGGAAAATTCCCGCGTGAGCCAACTCTATTATAGACTGGCTATGACTGGTTGTGGAAGTCATGTCCAGTATGCGAGTCATGTGACTCGAGTGACTCATGCGCATCAAATTTAAAGCCACGAAGTTAGTGAAACCAACGTCAACGATTGTTGTTGATGCTGCGCTCAATCAACCAGTAAACTCTGGGTCTTATAACATCTTATCGAAGGAAATTTAGAAGTCAAACTTCCGACATTGTGGACAGATGAAGCAGCAGAGGTGGGAAGAGGCAAAGAAGAGAAAGTGACAGAAGAGAAAAAGTCAGAGAAGAGAAAAGAAGAAGAACATCAAGGTGTGCGAAAAGGTAGAAAAATTGTAAAACACGGCGTTTTCCCAATGTTTTGTGGCTCCGGAGGGTTGAAAAGTAGGCTCCCTAAGGCAGCGGGTGGGGAGCCATCTGCACGCCGTTGTCATGGCGCCAAGCAGATTTCGAAGTCAAAAAGTGAAAAACACCCCACGTCCGGAACTATTTTGCCAGTTGAGATGTTAAAAAAACCGCCGCGTTTCGAAGTCAAAATGATAAAAGCACCACATGCGCCGGGCCACTTTTGGAAGTTGAGATGTTGAAAAAGTGCACGGCGTTGTGGCGCGAAGCACAGTTCGAAGTCAAAATGCACAAAACACCACATGTTCGCGCCACTTTTGGAGGTTCGGATGTTGAAAAAGTGTACGCCGTTGTGGCACGAAGCACATGTCGAAGTGAAAGCGCACAAAACGCCTCAGGACCACTTTTGCATGTTCAAGCGTTGTTTCGTGTGGCAGGCACAATGAAATTTGCTCCGTTACAAAATTTAGCTAAACGTGTGGGTTTTGTAGCAGTTTCAAGCAGAATCTGCAAAGATGCATTTTCCGTGGCAGGCGCAGTACAAGAGACATCTTCATCAAAGAAGTTGGGAGATCAGGGCGCTGATTTCCTGAGAGGTTGCATTTTGGAGCGTCTTCAGGTTTGCTAAGATGATTCTGCGCGACAGTTACAGCACTTCGTATGACCTGGTTTCACTTTTTTCGTGGCAGGCGCAATACTTTAGACAGATGGAGTGGAAAAATCCCACAACGCGTATTGTTACGAGGCCGTCAGCTCTGCACTTAACTTTCCGTTTTTGAAGGAAGTCGTGCAGAATTGCTTCGTTTTTGATGTTGTCAACTTCGGACATTTCAAGAACAAGTCTCGCAGAAAAGCTTCGTTTTCAAACTTGCGGAAAGAAAGAAAGATAGATAGATAATGGATAGTCAGATAGGTAGAAAGACAGACAGACAAACAGATAGATATACAGATAGAAAACAATAGACAGATCAGACAGATAGATAGACAAATTTAAAAAAAACAGACAGACAGATAGACGGATAGAAAGAAAGACAGATACAGTAGATACAGTAGATAGGGTAGATAGAGTAGATAGATTAGATAGAGTAGATAGAGTAGATAGAGTAGGTAGAGTAGGTAGAGTAGCTAGAGTAGCTAGAGTAGCTAGAGTAGCTAGAGTAGCTAGAGTAGCTAGAGTAGATAGAGTAGATAGAGTAGATAGAGCAGATAGAGCAGATAGAGCAGATAGAGCAGATAGAGCAGATAGAGAAGATAGAGCAGATAGAGCAGATAGAGCAGATAGAGCAGATAGAGTAGATAGAGTAGATAGAGTAGATAGAGTAGATAGAGTAGATAGAGTAGATAGAGTAGATAGAGTAGATAGAGTAGATAGTGTAGATAGATTAGATAGAGTAGATAGTGTAGATAGATTAGATAGAGTAGATAGATACGATAGATAAGATGGAAAAGATGGGTAAGATAGATAAGGTAGATAAGATAGATAAGATAGATAAGATAGATAAGATAGATAAGATAAGATAAGATAAGATAAGATAGATAGATAGATGGATAGATAGATAGAAAGATAGATAGACAGATACATAGATAGATAGATAGATCGATCGATAGATCGATCGATCGAAAGATCGATCGAAAGATCGATCGAAAGATCGATCGATAGATAGATCGATAGATCGATAGATCGATAGACCGATAGATCGATAGATCGATAGACCGATAGATCGATAGATCGCTAGATCGATAGATCGATAGATCGATAGAGAGATAGATAGATAGATAGGTAGATAGACAGATAGGTAGATTAAAAAGAAAAGAAAAGATAAGATAAGATAGATAGATAGGCAGATAGGTAGATAGATAGATAGATAGCTAGATAAATAGATAGATAGATAGATAGACAGGGAGACAGACAAGAAAGAAAGAAAGAAAGAAAGATAGATAGATAGATAGATAAGACTAGATAAGATTAGACAAGATTAGATTAGATTAGATAAGATTAGATGAGATTAGATAAGAATAGATAAGATTAGATAAGATTTGATAAGATTAGATACGATTAGATACGATTAGATAAGATTAGCCAAGATTAGAAAAGATTAGATAAGATTAGATAAGATTAGATAAGATTAGAAAAGGTTGGATAAGATAAGATTAGATTAGATGAGATGAGATTAGATAGATAGACAGATAGATAGATAGATAGATAGGTAGATAGATAGATAGGTAGATAGATAGATAGGTAGATAGATAGGTAGATAGATAGATAGATAGATGGATAAGACAAGACAAGATTAGATTAGATAAGATGGATAGATAGATCGACCGATAGATCGATAGATAGATAGATAGGTATAGGTAGATAGACCGATGGATAGATAGATAGATAGATAGGTAGGTAGGTAGGTAGGTAGGTAGATGGATAGAGAGATAGAGAGATAGATAGATAGAGAAGATAGATGGATAGAGTAGATAGATGGATAGAGTAGATAGAGTAGATAGAGTAGATAGAGTAGATAGATAGGGTAGGTAGGTAGGTAGGTAGACAGACAGACGGACGGACGGACGGACAGATAGATAGATAGATGGATAGATAGATAGATAGATAGACAGATAGATAGATAGATAGATAGATACATAGATAGGTAGATAGATAGATAACTAGCTAGATAGATAGGTAGATAGGTAGATAGGTAGATAGGTAGATAGATAGGATTAGATTGGATTAGAAAGAATTAGAGAGGATTAGATATGATTAGAGCGGATTAGATCGGAATAGATCGGATTAGATCGGATTAGATCGGATTAGGTCGGATTAGATCGGATTAGATCGGATTAGATCGGATTAGATCGGATTAGATCGGATTAGACAGGATTAGATTTGATTAGATTCGATTAGATTTAGATAGGTAGATAGATAGATAGGTAGGTAGATAGATAGGTAGATAGATAGCCCGACCCTCCAACCACCTTTCGATCCATCAGTGGGTTCGCTCTGCCATCCATGATACACAACAGCAAAACTCTCCTATAGGTTTCCTATCTTTAAAACTTCCGCCACCGCAGTACTACTGGTAATGTTCAAACCACCGCTAATATGTTCCAGCAATTGTCCGATTTAAACTACCTGTACCCATCACTGACTGTCTGAACTTTCTTGATAGGCCTTGGTGGGTGTCAGATGTGTCAGTAGCCTTCAGTAGCCGTAAGCAATCTTTCATGCTGCGAATGCAAATCAAGCACAGCTGACGGAAATTCCGCCAAACACGAGACTCTTGAGGTTTCGTGGAAAGCCAACACTGCGCAGCATAAGAGGACTGCTACGCCGCAGAGCTAACTTCTCCAGACCGCTGGGCAGGTTGACCCCCTCAAAGGTCTCCGTAAAACTGGCACCTAATTTCAAAGTTCGAAGGCTGTCTGGCAAGTTCACATTCTGCAAACTCTGATTGAACTGCGCACCAAACATCAAATGCTGAAGACCAGATGGAAAGGACACATGTTGAAGGTCCTGGTTGAACTTTTCACCAAAAGTTAAGCTCTCAAGACTATCCGGCAAGTTCACATGTTCCAAGCTCTGGTTGAACTCTGCGCCAAGAGTCAAACTGCGAAGGCTGCTGGGGAAAGAGATGCCTTTCAGCCTCTGATTGAACATTCGGCCAAGAGTCAAGCTTTCTAGACTGCTGGGAAAAACCACTCTGTCCAGGGTGTGGTTAAACATCCGACCCAGTCTCAAGCTGCAAAGTTTGCTTGGAAAAACTATGCCTTCCAGACTTTGGTTGAACATTCGGCCCAGTCTCAAGCTGCGGAGATTGCTTGGGAAAGTGACTCTTTCCAGGCTTTGGTTGAACATTTGACCCAGCGTCAACCTCTCGAGATTGCTTGGTAGAGTAACGTTCTCCAAACTGTTGTCGAAATCTGCACCCACAGTCAAAATTTGAAGACTGCTTGGTAAAGACACAGAGTCCAGCTTTTGATTGAAGTGTTGCCCAAAAATCAAAGTGCCAAGACTTTGAGGCCAGCAAACCCCTTCAACTTTCTGATTAAACTGAGCACCAAAGGTCAAGTTCTTAAGACCGCTTGGTAACGCCACACACTCCAGGTCTTGTTTCACGCCATCACAAGCCAGAGAAGATGTGATACGCTGTAAGCTCTGGTTGAATTGGGCACCAAAGGTCAAGTTTTGCAAACTCTGAGGCCAGCTCATTTCTACCAGGTTCTGGGTAAATCCGTCACCAAGAGTCAAACTTTGAAGGCTGTCTGGCAAGTTCACATTCTGCAAACTCTGATTGAACTGCGCACCAAACATCAAATGCTGAAGACCAGATGGAAAGGACACATGTTGAAGGTCCTGGTTGAACTTTTCACCAAAAGTTAAGCTCTCAAGACTATCCGGCAAGTTCACATGTTCCAAGCTCTGGTTGAACTCTGCGCCAAGAGTCAAACTGCGAAGGGTGCTCGGGAAAGACACACTTTCCAATCCCTGATTGAACTTCTCACCAAAAGCTAAGCTCTCAAGACTATCCGGCAAGTTCACATGTTCCAAGCTCTGGTTGAACTCTGCACCAAGAGTCAAACTGCGAAGACTGCTGGGGAAAGACACACGTTCCAGTCCCTGATTGAACATTCGACCCAGAGTTAAAGTTTGAAGATTGCTTGGAAGAACCACAATTTCCAGACTACGGTCAAACCGTGCTCCCAGAGTTAAATTTTGCAGGCTAGTTGGCAGAGTCACATTCTCTAAGCCTTGAGTGAACTGTGGAGCAGAAGTGGAGTTGGACCCGAGGTCCAACAAGGCAAAAGGAGTATCGAAGTGTGCACCAAAACATAGGCTTTCAAGGCTTCTTGGAAGATGGTAGAGATACTCACCAGGTCTTGTGCATCTCAGTTGTGTCACACCATCCAGTGCGAAGTCTTCGTGAGACGTTTGTGGGCCTTCGACATAACGCAACGCTGCGTGCAAATCGGTTGCCACATACACGCATGAGAAGGTTGCAGCTTTGCCCACAATGCCTTGCTCTTGTAGGGTTTGGTCGAGTCGCAAATAGGCATCTCCGTAAAGTAAAACGTGCTTTGCACCTGGTTTGGGCTCAATCTGCTCAGAGACCATTTGTCGCAGGCTGCGGCCAAGTGTGGACCGAGGAATGCTAAATCGCAATCCTTCACCAGTCAAGCATAGTACTTCAACATCAACCACATCCAGTTCCTCACCAGAACATTGATGAGAAGTCATTGATAGAGCCCCAAACAGCGTGAAACTGGTTGCAGCAGTTGACATCTGAAATGCAGCTCTTGGGCGCCAAAACGGTGTTGCTGGGCAAAGGAATGGGATCGACTCGAGCCAATGCAAATACCGTCAACCAGTTTGAACCACCCCAAGCCATCTCAATCCCATAATATGATATGTATATTATATAATATTATATATATATATGATATATGGTCACTTAAAAAAAATGTGAATATGTGAATCTAGATGAATGCTGCATGTCATTCGTATCACTCAGCAACAGCAATGGGACTTCATGGGCACAATGGGTCCTGTCGAGCACTTCGGGCTGAAAGTACCTTGGCTGGCGATAGCGGCTATTGACTTTGGCCCGGGCATGGGACAGCAAGGAAAGCTTTAGGAAGCTGACGCTGGACATCTAGAAGTATAGTGCGAGTACCGAAGCATCCAATTTACAGAAGTTTCCAGGAACAATATTTAAAAGTGAGGTGACTGGACCAAGTAGGATTTGTCAGCTATTTGACCATGAGAAAGTGCTCCTTGCTTTCATACCCATTGGTAAGAATGACAGAAGACATACCTGTCAATCATGATTGTGACATCCTGTATCGGATTCAAAGCATGCCCTTCCAGTGGCTAGTTGGGCTTCCCATATATCGCAGACTACGGCAATCAATTATCTCCAGAGATCGTACACAATCCTATGCAAGAACTAGGGATTCATACGTAATCTGGAACATCAGCAGAAATGTCAACCCCGGAAAAATAAACTTTGTTGATTCATGAGCGGGTTGCCCCAATATGTGATGTCATAATTATTAATGATAATTAATGCATATATTATGCTACACTTCAAATGTTACCCCATTAGTAAACTGCGGGGTTACCCTCTGGTAATTTAACATAGCTATTAAACATGGCCATTTATAGTGAGTTTTCCTATTAAAAATGGTGATTTTCCATAGTTATGTTAGTTTACCAGAGGGTATCAATTTAATCTTGGGGTGACATGTTGACACCAGCCAAATACAACCAAGAACTCAACCAGTGTAGATCACCTGAGTCCCCCAGCATTCCGCGCAGAAGACGGAGGAGAGGCCTAGATTCGTTTTGAAAAAGCGTGAGATGCCCAATCTTACCAATCGGGGGCGACATGACATGATTTTTTTTTTCAATACACTCATATATAATCATATATTATATATATATATCATATACTGTATATATATATATATCATATATATATATATACATATATCATCATATACATATATAATCATATATTATATATATAAATATAATAAATATATCATAAATATATATATATATAAATACACGTATATGATGCACCAAGAACGAGACTGTGGGCATGGCATGAGCTTTGAGGAAAAAAAACCTGTGTCCAAAGTTATATCGTTAGCAGTTTTGGCAGTGCATGCGTTTGACCCACTTCTATCCTGCCCCATGATGCAACTCGACATCCATGGCTTTTCGGATATGGTTCCAAAGCAACATGAAGGGATTGCTGCTGCCTATCAAAGGATCAAATTTTAGAGGTTAGTGCTGTAACTTCAACGTGTGCACATTATGGAATCCACAAAGGTCTCCCCAAATGAACCAATTTACCATGGACTGATTTTTTTCAGGGTCCCCAATTCTAATTTCCTGATTCTTGATCAGAGTTTCTGGGTCTAAAAATTGGGCACCGCCAAGATCCAATGATTCACCATGATTCATCATGTTCCTCATAAAACAGACTTGGATCTATGTGGGGTGTTGTCATTCATTCATTCAACAATATGTTCAAAGAAAGCGCTGGTCATATCCTTCACATCGCTGGGGCCAACAGCATCCAACTTCTCGCACATCCTTTCAGCCCAGCATATGACCTCACAGGATCGATCATCATTCATCATCCATTCATCCATCGTCAATGATCAATACATTAACAATTGTAACAATTGTAATGGATGATCAATGATAATCAATGATCCAGGGATGAAACTTTTTGAAAGAAAAAAAATCACACTCCTCCTGATCGAACTCATGATAGAGATGAAAACACATGTCATCTACAAGTATGCACAAACTTACACAGGCAAATGACCTCAAACCAATATAGACATACACGTAAACAAACAAATTAGATGGATGGATGGATGGATAGATTAGATTGGATTCGATTAGAGAAGATTAGAGTAGATTAGATTAGATTTAGATCTAGATTTAGATGTAGATTAGATTTAGATTTAGATTAGATTAGATAGCTAGATAGATAGGTAGATCGGTAGATCGGTAGATAGATTAGATGGATTAGATAGATTAGATAGATTAGATAGATTAGATAGGTTAGATAGATTAGATAGATTAGATAGATTAGATAGATTAGATAGACTAGATAGAACGACTCATTGATTGACCAAGTGATTGATCAAGTGATAGATTGACAGATTGATAGATCGGCAAGCCGTCTGCTTAGATAGATGGATAGTTTATGATCATTTACTTAGTTCATCATTTAGAGAACAAATATATGCGCAATAGATAGATGGGTGGATTCAGGAACAGCTTGGTTGATACATAACACGTAAATATGCACATACAAGTAGATCGTATATAGATCATATATATCATATATAGATCATATATAGATATATTTTTTTTCCAACAGCATGTGAGTCTCGCTCGTGCTATCATGCAAATGGCGCTGACTAACCCAATGGCTGATAGTCAGGGAAAATCTCACCGCACTCAATGCTGGCGGATTTCCTCGCCAATTCTTGGCCAAAGCTCTCGGCCTCTGCCGCGCCCGGCGCCACTGACCATCGTGTCATGGCCGCAAAAATGGCCTGTGCAAAAGCTCTGTTGAGCTGTGCCGGGTATTCCTTGGCTTTGGCAGTTCTATAAGAACCATCTGTATTGCGCCCGATGAGGTGGGCAGTCGGTCGCTTAGCCGTCTGGTCCACACACATCTCAAGGGCTCGTGGCAAATTCGAATTTGAATAAAGAAATGTGGTAGGCTTGACTCCACAGCTACCAAAACGCCACTGCTCAGCACTCACTCGCTTGAAGGGGCCATGCGGCGGACGATGAAGGAGACAAAGGAGCCCTGATCGCCATATGCTCGAGATTTCATCTTGGAACGGCATTGATGGATGCTCGAGGAATGTGGCACCGCCGCTGATGGTCACCAGGCACGCAAGGAGTATCCCTTTTAAGAGCAGCACGTTACCAACATAGATCTGCTCAAGCTCTCGGCAAGAAAGGAGCGCAAGTCCCCACAGGTCCTGTGTTGACCGAAGAGGTCTGGGGCCACGTAGAGCTCGACCATCAGAGTCCAGCTGCTGGTGGTGCCTCGCCGCGGTCCAGGTTTCGCATGGTGGGCCCTGTAAAAGGCCTAAGATGCGCCCTGCACGGGCTGCGTCAACCAGGAAACCCCACAATTTTGTGTCGTGGACGTTGAACTCCGCATTGATCGCTGTGTCGATGGAGAGGACGCGGATCTCCAAATGCGCAAAGCTTGGGAGAAGCTCCTCAACAGCAGCGTGAAAATCCAGGGGCCTACGTCGCCCTGAATAGAGGTGCAATGTAGTAGGGACCTCGTTTGGCTGGAACTTGTGGTCGCGGAGCAGCAAATAGTTTCCATAGGCGCCTTTGCTGTTCATGTTGTCCCATCCAGTTGTAGGGTGCACATATCTCGTGGATTCGTGATCTTGGCTTCTGCGTCAAAGGAGCCTGCCTGGGTGGGATCTCCGGCTCATCAGGAGGGAGATGCATCCACAGGTTCGTGAGCTTCTTCATCTCACAGCGGCTCTGCCACGCTGGGATATCATCCAACATCTGCATGTAGGCGATCTCCAAAGTGTCGATGATCTCGGGGTCTAGGTCGTTGGGCCATTCGTCATAGAATCGAGTCTCAATCCAATGGACAAAGAGGCGCCCACCCAAAAGGTCAGGGATGCCTAGCTGAAAGATTTTGCCAAACATGATGTCTTGAAACTCAATGTTGGTTGGAGCTTCATGTTGGCACCATTGGTGCAGGCCAGCTGCAAAGTCTGCGCAAGCTCTCTCAGCCAGTGCTGGGTCACGCTCTGGATGCCACCAAGCATATTCTTCTTGTCCAGCTGCTCGAAGTGCTGTGATGCGCTGTCGGAGCTGGATTCGTTGTCTTTGGATGCTGGTGGGACGTATAGGTCCCAGGTGCCTTCTCACAGCGGGGAGCCTTTGCACGTGTTGTAGATGTTTGGGCAGGACAATGGTGCAGGGTTCACCAGGTAATCGAGCTCCATGTATCTTGTCCCAGCATCCATTTTGGCGGTACTTGAGGTGTTGTTGTACACGCCAAGTGGTATGGTGGTCTTTCAGGCAGCCTGGACAGACAGTGGACTGGACATAGGGCCGTTCTGCTGACATCATCCCATGCACTTGATAGGCATGGGAACCTCGCGCATGGGCTGAATCAAACACCATATCACATTGATCACATCGATACTGCGGCTTCTGCTGCTCTTCCGTCGTGTGGTCCCTTGTCCAGACATGGAATCCAGCTTGGGTCAGCTCATCCACAATAACGCTGTGGTAATGCTCAACATCCCTTGCAATCCGGTCTTGGAGGACATGCTTTTTGCAGGCACGTTTGACCAGGCTCTTCCAGTGCGAGAGCCCCTGTAGTATCGTCCAGGCTTCTTCCCACTCTCGCGGGGTCATTGGAGTGTTGAAAGGCACAGGGACCAATGTTGCAAGCCATTTGAGGTCAGTCGTTACTTCACAAAGCCAACCTCGTCCGTGTTGAAATTCAGCAAGCAAGAGGCGCTTGTGAAAGTCTGCTGCATGCTTCCCAATGTGTTGCAAATAAATGAGTCTGTGTCGTGCCCACGTGATGCGAAATGGCGGGATCTCAAGATGTTGCCTCAGTTCCGCATCAGTCATATGTGTGTCATTCCAGAAGCCAATGTTGGCCATCCTGCGGTGGTGCTCGATGATCATCGCTTCCAGTTGTTGGAGTTGGCTTTTGGATACATCCATCCAGATGGAGCATGCGTACATCAAACGCGACACAACGAGGCTGTCATAGAGCTGCATACGGCCTTTGAGCGGGATGTACTGATTGTGGAAGATGGCTCGCTTCAGCTCCTGATAGGATTGTCTAGCCATGGCGATCCTGGTAGATATTTCTGCCTCACCATCTGCATTCATGGTGTATCGAGCACCCAAGTGTCTGTATGTAGCCACAACCTTAACGGAAAGCACATGCGTGTCCGTAGTCGTAACTATACATGGTGCACTGTCTGTGTCAAAAAGGGCCGTCCTGCACTCATTTGCACCTTTTCCGCGGTACATAACCACCGCTTCTGATTTCCCGGAATCGAAATTCATGGTCATGCCGTGGGCTGTGAATGTAGCATGCAGAAGTGCAACTGCGTCTTGGATCAGCGGAATCATCTTGTGAGGGTCTTCTGTAGCAAGTGGGATCGCCAAGTCATCGACCCACGCCACTGGTGGCATCTGTGCTCCAAGCAGTTCGCCTCCTCTGACATAATCACTCAATTGTTGAAGACCATCTTCAAGTTGATGCATGATGCGAGACATGAGCAAATTGAAGCCCAAATCCGCCAGGGGAGATCCAGGTCTCGTCCCTCTGCCAGTGGTGACAATTTGATCCTTGTCGGAATCAAGTTGGAACCATGTCGATTTGTGAATGTCGTGGAGAAAGAGACGCAGGGCCGCTGGGATGTCCGTGGGCTGTTCCTCACACGCTTGTTGGAGATCTGCAGCAAGCTGTTCAATGTTGAACTCATTGGGGTCAAAGATATGCCGGAGCTCACGTTGCTGAAGGGGTTCATTCACCGAGAACACAAATTCCCTGAGCATATGATGAAACGCCGCCTTCAGGTCGACAAAGATGACTGCAGTAGTCATTCTGCGGTGGCGACCCTGACGCCCGTGCAGCTTCAGCAGCTGTATTGCTGTAGTGGTCTGCTGCGATGGGAGCCCACCGATTTGGCCTGGTGCTCGTCTATGAACCAGGGTCGGAAGAAGGCGTTGCCGCGCCCAAGAATGCAGGATCTTCCCAAACACCTCTGCTAACAAAATTCCTCTGTAGGAGCTGGCATTGGCACGGGAGTGTTTTTGCTTCCATATTGCGCATAGCTGTCCACCTTTGTACCTCAGTGGTTCAACTCCCCAGAGGAAGGATTTGAGGATCACGTTGTGGATATATGGAGCAATCTCCTTGGCAGCAAACCGACAGACTTCGGGTGGAATCATGTCGAGGCCAGGGGCCTTGTGCGGGCGCTGCTTGAGGCATAGGTCTTCAATTTCAGCCAATGTGGGTAATTCCTCAAGTGCAAGCTGCCGAACGTTCGGTCCAGTGTCTAGATCCTGATTGTTGCGGAGGATGCACTGTTGGTGGCTGTCATCACGGTTTGTGATTGTTCCCGCCTCAAGCTGTGCAAAGTGCTGCAGCAATGTGTCACCAAGCTCCTGTCTGGCATGTATTTGCTTGAGTTTGTTGCGAGGCAGCACTGCTTTGATCTGCTTCCAAACTGCTGTGAGCCCTTCATGGGTGTATGCATGTCCAGTTTGTTCCGCAAGGGCCAGGTAGTACTTGGTATCAGCTTTGCGAATGGCACTAGATGCTTGTTTGGCTGCTGCTTGCATCTTGGATGTGGTAGTGGCGATGGCATGATCGATCATCCTCAGCCAGACCTTGTGGTCTTGCTGATTGCACTGGGCGTTGTTGGGCATTTGTTGTTTCCATGCTTGAAGGATCACTTGTAGGACCGTCTTGGTCCGTGTCTTCCGCATGGCTTTGAACTGTCGGAAGAGCATTTTCTTCTCCTCAACAATGGCCCATGTAGCAGCATCAACATGATATTTGCGTCTCCATCTTTCGGACGTAGGTGTGATGTGCTGCAATGCGGCTTGTGTACAATTTGCCAGGTGGTCTGCAGATTGATGTGGGTCAACATTCCATGCAGGGTTGCTCAAGGTTTGGTAAAGGAAAGCCTGTACGGCAGGATCTCGTACTTGTGCAGCCATTTCATGGCGGGTTGGTTTTCGGCTTCCTTGGGCTGGCAAATGCAGTCGATTCATGCTGGACTTCTCAAAGCAGCAACGACAAAACGCCGCAATGTGGTCAGTGCGCGCACCTCCAAGATCAATGTCAGTATCTACCCAGCTGGTGACGTTGTCATAGTCAATACCAGATGGTATTGCCACATAGTCAATTCGGGTTTCATGTTGCCCGTCAGGGGAGAGGAAGGTCGAGTTGTCATCTCCAATCTGATGCGCCTGAAATGTACTGGGAAGCCAAAGCTGATGTTCAAGTAACCAATCATGGAAAGTCGCACCAGGGATGTTCTCAATGGATGCAAAGTGAGGCCCAACAGCACTACTAGGATGTGCACCAAGGTGCCCATTGGTGTCACCAAGGTAGAATATTGGCATCACATGGGCAAATTGCCGAATGCATTTGGAGATGTGTTCCCAGTATTTCTGACTTTCTTCCGCCGGGCGGCCAGCATGTGGAGCACGTCCTGTGATGAAGATGGATCGCCAATTTGGCATGTCTAATTTGACGATCAGGAGCGTTGGGGCATCATGTACAATCTTCAAGTGCTTCATCAGGATGTAAGGGCCATCTGCGTAGAGGGGCTTGCGCTTTGCAAACCACATTTGAACTCCGTCAAGGCCTTGTGCATCACTTGGGTGGCCAACAATATGATAGTGCTCATTGCTGGGGTTGATGATGCGCTTGTGTCGTGTTTCTTGGAGACCAAGGACATGGCATCCAGCAGCACTAAATTGCTCCATCAGGAGTTGTTGCTTTGTCGGCGTGATCCTTCCAAATTGATCTTCAGTGGCCAGCGTGAGGATGTTGACGGTGGCCAGGATGAAGTCAAATGAGGCTACGGTGACATCATCTTGTGCAACTTTTGGTGAAGGTTGGTCAGTTTGGCGAGGATCTTCATGTGCCATGGGTGTGCGGCAGGCTGTCAACAAGGTGCCCTCGAGGCTTGGAGCATCATGAGGTTGGGTGTGCAGATACTCATAGTACCAAAGCCAAGGTAGGGTATGTTGATGGAGGCCTTCTGTGATCCATGGCATCCATGCATCGCAATTGCCAACATTGTCAGGATTTTTGGCAGCATATTTGGCTAGTTGATCGACTAGCTCATTCCTTGGGTGTTGTGTATGGGCTTTGATGTGGGTCCATTGCAGGCGGGTCTGCGTGTGGCGTCGTTCAAGAACTTGTGCCAAAGAACGCATGACAGTTTTCCACATACGGTGTTCAACTGTGCGCCACTGCCCAGCTGCTTGGAAGCCAGTATTCATCGCGTCAAAGTTGAAGCTGATGTCAATGTCATACGTGGCAAAGGTGTACATGCACCAGTCGCTGAGTTGAATCGCCCACAGTAGAGCCCATATCATAGCCGCATGTTCGCCATAAAAGGCATGTTGGGCAGGCTGGATCGATTTGCTCATACATCCAGCCAGGGCATCATAGTGGTTGTATTCGAAAAAGCACGCCACGCCAGCACCAACGTTGCCATCGCATTTGGAACCATCAACATAGAAGTGGATGGCTTTGGGTTTGCTTTGTGAGATCTCTCCCAGAGTGGCAAGATGGTCAATGGTGACAGTTTGCAGCTCAAGATCGTCAGGCCAGTTTTGCATGAGGTCAAGGTCAATGTTCGCCACTTGAATAGCTGTCCATTGCACCTCTGCAAAGTCAATGCACGTTTGAGGTGGGGCTGGGATCAGTTCCTGAAGACGCAGGGGTGTAGGCAGTGACCCAGGCCGCTGAGTATGAGCCACCTGCTCAGCTGTTTGGCGCCTGGTGGTTTGCCTCTGAAGAAGATCCAGTGCATCCTGATCTTCTTGAGGATGGACAGGGACTGTTTCCCATTCAAAGTCTGTTGTCCCTTGGTCGTAGAGCCTTTGTGCCTCTGCCATCTTGATCCCATCACGCAAACATCGTGCAATAGCCCTGGAAGGAAGAGATCGCTTTGGGTGTGGTGGCAAGTCAATACGAATGTAGTCAGCATGATGCATGTCAAATAGCACATGATTGGACAAAGGTATGATCTTCCCATTGACCTTGACAATACATTGTTGTTTGACCTGTTTGCAATATGCATGAAGTTGCAATTCTTCAAGCATGATTCGCCTTGTCATATCCTTTCGCATCAATGTTGCATACCGGTGCGTGGTGGTTTCAGCCGCATCATGCTCATGGAAAACTACGTCAACCAGGACAATGCGCCTGTGGTCACCAGGACGTAAATCATTGACTCTTTGTACCAGCGCCACATGAGTGCCAGCTGCATACAGGTCAGCAGGCCTGTAGGTGACCATGTGGATATACTGGATATCATGCCGATCAAGTCCAATGATGTGTCTGATCTGGCTGTATGCAAGTGGCCAGCTGTCTGTACGCACCCGTGCAGCAAACATAGGCGATTTCAATTGGAAAATGTTGAAGAAGCTTGAGGGTTCATTGCTATCATAGGTTGATGCTGATGCACTGGACTCTGTGTCCTCATCTGAATCCTCATTGATCATGTTGTCATCTTGCACAACATCCGGATTGTCAGTCAACGCAGGCACAGGTCGAGTTTGTAGCGGTTGATGGGCTAAAAGAGAGGCTTCATCATCGCTTTCTTGGTGTGGACGTCGTGGTGATCGACTTCTGGTGCGATGTGCAGTGTGTTGCGGCACATAGTCATCTTCTTGCCAGAGAAAGTCAAATGGATACCTCTCATATTGGCCAATCGTTTCAGGTGCTTGTCGCACATGCAGTACAACTGCCGCTCCATCTCTGAGCTCAGTGCGCGGCTGCGGAGGCATCAAAATGGGACGCCAGCCATAGAAAGCCTGAATAGGCCGTTGCCGTACTTGCCTAGGAACTTCTGCATTGTCGATGCATTCTTGTAGATGCACTTCTGATAGGCAGAATCTGGCAATGCGTTGAAAGGCAACTTGTTGATGTGCATGGAAGACCGAACTGAACAAGACGGCTCTTTCAAAATGCTGTGGGGCCTGCACAAGAATCAGCTGCGCATGGTGGTCTTCCCATTCAGCAATGGGGGGTTCAGGTTCTGCGACAAAGAAGGTAACAGCTTGCTGTGGTCGCAGGATTCCTCTCCATTCCTCGAGGATGGTTTGTGGCCATGTTGTGAAGTCCTCTGTGAGACGCACATTTCTTGCCATTCTGCATTCTCGTCTGTCTATCCCATGTATATACCATGTAAGGATCTTGATGTATCGCTCCTGCCTGCGTGGATCAAAGGTACCCTCATGGTGAAGGGTGACAGCTAATTCTTGCACAAAGTCTGGTTGATGTGCAAGCGCATGGGCATGTGCATCAGGTGGTCTTCGAGGCTGAAACTCATCTCGAAAGCGGTCTTGAGCTGGTCTCATGTGGTTGTCAGTGAGATGGCATTGTTGTGGATGCATCTCAACTTGATTCTCGGTGGCATAGCTGATGTAGTTTCCGATCTCATCCTCATAAGCATGGTAAACGCTGATTTCAGAGGAGAATGTCACTGTTTTTGGTGAGCACAGCTGGTCTTGGGGAGGTGTCCAAGCTGGCATAGGACCAAAGCAGGAGATCAAAGAAATTCCATCATCATGTTCTGTTCTCACATTGTTCCATGTGCCACATTGATTGGCGAGGTCATAGGCAATGTGCAACGCCATGAATGGATAAATACAATTGTCTTCATTGTGAGTTCGTGGATGTAGTGGCCAAGGCGTATAGCTGCAATCTCTGCTTGCTGCACAACCATCTTGCAAATGGTCATAGGCCTCAGCAAAGTTGCCGGCGTCCTTGACATAGATATAATATATATATATAATAATAATATAGATATATAATAATATATGCTGGACGACCAACCAGGTAACCATCGATAACTACTGAACGTTTTCGAGGCCAGAGCCCAGTTCTCGAGCATCACGATGGACTCCTGGATAACCATTTCATAGCCATTCCCCCAAAAAAAGGGGGATCATCATCTCAAAAAAAATGCAGTTGAAAATATCAAAACATATCAAAACAATGTATATATATATTAATATGTAATTATATGTGAAAGCACCAACCAGATCCTGTTTAGTACTGAGCCAGATTGGTTGAAGATGTTTTTTCATGAAACTAAAGCAAATGGTTTGCATGAAATCTAGCAATCTAACATCATCTAACATCATCTAACATCATCTAACATCATCTAACATCATCTAACATCATCTAACATCATCTAACATCATCTAACATCATCTAATTTCATCTAACATCATCTAACATCATCTAACATCATCTAAAATCATCTAACATCATCTAACATCATCTAACATCATCTAACATCATCTAACATCATCTAACATCATCTAACATCATCTAACATCATCTAACATCATCTAACATCATCTAACATCATCTAACATCATCTCATCCTAACATCATCTAACATCATCTTCATCCATCCCCCTGCGAATCGTTTCCAGCGAATCGTTTCCAGGGCATCTCCTCAGCGCTGATCTCGGTCACCGAGGTCACCGTCCTTGGAACTCAACGAGGATTTGATCATGGAACTCAATGGAACTAACTGGGAGATTTTCCAGTAAACCATAGTGAAACCATAGTGAAACCATAGTGAAACCATAGTAAACCACGTTTGATAAACCATAGTGAACCATAGTAAACCATAGTAAACCATACGGAAATTTTTTATAATGGTTGCAAAATGTTGCAAATATCAAAGATCTGACACTGAAAACTGAGGACTGTTCATGGTTCAGCGGTTGGAGAGGTTGGAAAGCCAGTAAAATCCTCTAGGATTGGTCAACCCGTAATGATGACTGTCCTGTAACCAGCTTGGACTCCTCGAGGGGTGATTGGTCGTTCCTGCAAGGGGGAAGGTTGGGGAACGGTTTTTGAATTGGCAATGTGGCAATCACGCAAATGGACATGACAGTCACTAAGTATATGGCATCATATGATATCATATGGTTTAGAGACCCTCAAGTGACTCAAGTGTCAACATCTGAAAACAGAAATCAGGTGCTGAAATATCTGAATTTCAAATTGAAGTCTGTCGAATGGTACCCTCAACCAAAGGAGGTTCAAGAGGATAGGGGCGTCCAAAAAGCATTGATGCCACACCTTGATCCCAACCCCGTTCCCGGCCCGCCTGTACCAGCACCGTGCCATCCTGCGTCACTGATGATGCGCACTTTATCAAAGTTACAACGGAAAGATGTTTGGAAGTGAAAACATCATGCTGATTATGATTATATATGATATATGCTGCCTGTGTGTAAAACATGTTCACCATTGTCTCGACACTGTTTCACAAACAATTCGCTAGCAAGTGCGGGATGAGAAGGGACTAGAAGGGACGCGTGAGTCATTTCCGAAGCAGTCCTTTTGGTGGTTTGGAAAGTATGTTTCGTCTTCAAGGCGTGGATATCCCTCCCATTGAGGGTTTACATTGAGGGTTTACAATTTTCGGTACCATGAGGTACCAATGGACCTCCAGAAATGGTCATTTGAGAATGATCTCGGGGGATTGACATAGTAGTTTTGACCCATCGCCAACTTGATATCCTTCAATATGATTTGGTCTGAACATGGAATGTACCCACATTAATCTCATTAATCCCATGCTTGCTCATTGTCCAAAGATTTCCCACAATTGCCATTCAACAAATACGTCATCCCCCATCATTTCCCTCAGTTTCTCATAGTTTCCTGTCATTTTCCCCATGATATTCCACAGTAAACTCTTCCATTGCCATCAACGCGCCTTGGGGCGAGGCCTGAGCTCGGACACGGGCCCGTTCTGCACAGGCCAAGTGATGGAAATGGGACGGCCTCGGCAAGTGCTGATTTTGGCGATGGTTCTATGGATGATTATTGGGTTTACCCTCTGGTAAACTAACATAACTATGGAAAATCACCATTTTCAATGGGTAAATCCACTATAAATCACCATGTTCAATAGCTATGCTAAATTACCAGAGGGTACCCCATGAATGAACCTTCAATTTGGGGATGGTTTACTGTACGGATCTGTACGGTGTATCGCTTGATATGTTCGGAGGAAAGACTGCACAGAAAATTTGCAACAGCCTCTTTTCCTGCATTGAATTTGCAACCAAATATGGGAAGATGTGGGAAGTCAGGCACTGGTCACTGTGATCATATGCTTATTGTATGCTGACACAAGCCTACATCGCCAGGGCATGAGAGAACCGCATGTAAACATCCAATCAGTGTAAATAATACCAGAAGCCGCTTCAAACGGTAAAGCAAACACCAATAACATCCAACAACTATCAGGCTGGATGACTCCAAAGAAAAGAAACTGCCGCGGATACTGCTTCGTAGTTTGTCAAACAAGTGATAATATATGTATACTGCCAGTATGTACCAGTACTATGCCAGTACCAAAACCCTGACTTAAAGAAACTTCAACTTTTAGAATGGTCTGTGCATCCATTTTCTGAGATTCAGACTCATGTGACCTCCACGTGATCCAGGGGGGCTTCAAGCCCGGCACTGTCCACGTGGGCTGTCCACGTCCAGGACGTCCACGTGGGCCGAGGATAAAAAAAAGTCTTATTCCAAGCTATGATGTCCTCAAATTGGGTCTTTCTGGATCTTTTTGGTATCATTTGCCGGGAATCGAAAAAAGGTGGTACAGCACAGGGTACCCCATGTTTAATCTCTTTTTGCTTCAAATAGGCCAACTTTGCCTTTCCCAGAAAGATTCCCTGTGCATGGGTAATTCTAAGCTGAGTTTCCCGGGGCTTAATGTTTGACCATGTTTGGCCCCTCCAATTCATTCCAATTCCACATACCCATGACATATCATGACATGCACTGGTTCCACTGATGCTTGTCTTGAACCCGCGGGCTTCGATGGCTTAGGGATCATTCGACAGGAGATCAGCCATGGAGGCTCCGGGGCCGTGGCAGAAAGCTGAACAAATCGCAAGCACCTCAGCATGGAGTGCACCGTTGAACCCATTGGTCAGACCTGTTTCAAGATACCCTCTGGTAAACTAACATGGCTATTGAAAATGACCATTTATAGTGGATTTTCCCATTAAAAATGGTGATTTTCCATAGTTATGTTAGTTTACCAGAGGGTATGTCAAGATTGTCAATCTACACTGAGTTCATGACAATTAGGTGATAGGAACTTCGCCATGGCTGGTCCACTACTCGCATTGGCAGCTAAATTTCTTGCAAATCTGTGCATTTTGAAACAACACTTCTCATGCTGGCGCAATATGTGTTTGCAAGTTTTCGTTCAAGGGATCATTGAAGATCATATATGAAGTGACATCCGTCCCACCAGCACTTTCCATCGCTTTTTGGAGGGCTATCAACTGTATAGAGTTGCTTGTAGAATGAATGTGAATCGCTGGGAATCGGAAACCTGGAGCAGGAACGAACTTCAAAAAGCCAAACGCCAAGAAGTGCAAGACTCCAATCATCCAATCCAGCAAGTGGAACAACAGGTTCTTGGGGCGATTGCAATGCGCAGGAAATTCGACATGTCGCTGCAAACAGCTGTCGACTTGCAACTCTTGTTGGCATGGCAGCAGCCCTTCATCCTCACGTTGTCCGGAGTTTCACACATAAGCCATGTGCCAAAATCAGTTTCGCGGTACCCTGCTGAAAATGTTCCTTTCCAGGATCTACTTGGAATTCTTATATATATATATATATATACTGTAATTATATATAATTATATATATTACATGGTATGTCATTTATATTTCAATCTGTCAGCAAAATCATGGATCTCAGCAGCTGGTTTTCATGGTTTGGTACACAATGGCGCCCGTCCCAGTTTTCGACCAGACGCCGCAGGGATGATTTACTGTCACTGTGACCAATTAGATACCAATTACCATCTGATTATGACTAACATAGCCATGGAAAATCCCGTAAATAAATGGAGGTTTATAGCTGGGAAAATCATCTATAAATGAACCATTTTCCATGGCTATGTTAATTAACCAGAGTGTATATTGTGGGATATAGGTGGTGTTGTTTGGTGTTTTGGAGCTTTGCCATGATAATCGTTTCATAGTATTTTCAGTCACCCCCAATAATCCCGATTGCGTACAGTATGGCTTACTAACTCAATCATGTCACTAAATGACTGCATGAGTCACAATTAAAACATAAAACATACGGAGTAATAACAAAACATAATGAAACACAACATAACAACCACAATGAAATACAGAAATACAATCTAACACAATGAACCAATATTTGGATCGGTTTAGGCCTCCTCACCCATTTCTGTCCATGTTTGCTTTTTCTTTTTCCCAAGTTCCTGACCTCGGCCCCCGGTCCCGGTTGTGTCCCACCCATCCTCGTTGGCATCGAAAAATTGCTTGGCGCCAGCTGCACCGAGAAGGTGCTTTCATGATATCAATCTGATGGGTGCAGATGTAGAGGATCCGAAACCTAGTCTTGTGTACAGCATTCACGATGAAGCTGCCCACCAGGGTTCCTCAACTGCACATGCAGCTGAGATAAGGGCTCCAAGGAAACTGCAGCAACGGGACCTCGTCCAACCAAGTGTGGAGGGAGGCCTGGGGCCCCCTCTTGCACATAGCAGGCAGTCACAAAAGGGGCACTTGAATTTGTTTCTTCCCATTGGGCTTCCAATTCTTTCTGGTTCTGGGCGTAGCCGTTTCTGACTGCATTGCGCGCAGCACTCCTCACAAACACCAGAAAAAACAGCACATCTGCTTCTCAAGGGAGCAGCCGGCAAGTAGAATTCTCCTCTACTTCCGTATCTTCCATGACCCAACTGCCATCTTCATCCATCTTCACAGACCCCAAAAATGGTTTGGGATCCGTTCTGGCTTCCACGTTCCAATCATTGGCCGTCTAAGGGCACAACCCCCAGGCGTACATGGTACACAAAAAATATCCAGTGGCCAAGGTAATATTTTCGGGCACAGGGTCAGGAAAAATATCCTGCCAGCACGAACCCGGTTCATGCTCTGGCATGTCTTCATGCTCTGGCATGTCTTCATGCTCTGGCATGTCTTGGGTTCCTTCATGAAAATGGTTCGATTGCTTTTGCGAGTTGCTTCTGCATTTTGTATTATTTTGTTATTGAAGGAGATCACCGGCTCATTTCAGAAACGATGTATGGCTCGTTTCGTCTTGCTTTTTCTCCTCCGTTCAAATCCTGGCAGCGAGGCTAGCACTGTCTGGAAGGGTCAAAGCCGAATCTGCTGCAAATGTGTCCACCAACCTGTGACACTTGTGCTTGGGCTTTGCTCATCACATCAACACTTCTTCGAATGCACACATTTATGTGTCCCTATCAAGCTTGCACTCTGCTCATCACATCAACGCTTTTCGAAATACTTTAGTTTGGGGCGTTGGAACAAGTCACGCACAATACCTCCGACAAGAAATCGCAAATTCTTATGTAAGTCTGAAACGGTCAGAAGTTCTTTGGCTCAGTCCCGATAAGTCTCACAATTTTCGAAAGTCTTGCCTCTTGCTGTCTGATCTTTCTGCACCTGGAGGCCAGATTCCGGTTGCTGTCCCGTATCTCTGTGCGCACTTCGGGCACTTGTGTTGTTGGGAGCGTGTGATTTGATGTGCCACTGAAGCACCTCTCCACCTGGCCACTTAGTCTGTGATGGCTTTTGCTCTGGCAGATCTTGAAGACCTGGCACACGAACCGGATTTCATGAAACGATCCGAGAGGACACGTGTGAAACAACTTCCATCCCAAAAAAACATACAAAGACATTGAGAAAAAATATCAAGAAATTGTGAGCTATCCTAGGCTATCCTCTCAAAACATCAATTCATGGAGACTAAACATACCAAGCAGTGGAATCGACTCTGTTGTTGCTCCAAGCCTGCGATGTCACGGTCCAAAATGAGTGCTGGGTCATCGGATAGAAACCAGGTGCTCACTATAGCCCTGGGCAGGGATGCACACAGCAGGATTCGAGAGAAAGAACTGCTCAGTAAACACTTATGAGCAGGTAACCGATGCAACGCCCCTTGCAAGTAAGAAGTTCAAGAAGCACTTACTCACCGGTCTCAGTATGGCTCAGTACTTTCCGGCACTTCTCTTCCACAGCCCACGAGCCTGGAGTAGGAGCCAAGATAATGTGGCGCATTGCGCACCAGTGGGGAACCATGGCGAAAACAAGCTGTAGACCACTTTCGCATCTCCCGAATGGCATTGGCCACCGATGCCGGCAGCAGCCCAGCCGCTAACTGCCCTCGCACTCAGCCAGCAGCTGCTGCGCCTGCGCACACGCTGTTGGTACTGGAACTTCTGGTCTCAAAGCAAACCAACGGTCCAGCAGCTCCTTTCGATGAAAGCAATGGCTATGGGCTATGGGTCAAAACAAAGAAGAAATCCCGTGGTGAAAATTAAAAAAAAGTAAGTTTTTTGTGGATGTGCGTCAGAATAAAGTATCGTGGGTTTTGAGCGTCCCCCACATTGGCTGACAATGCTTTGGTGAATGTCTGTGCTGGAAATTCCCATAACACAACGTGTCAATGCAAGATGGCTGTTGAAATTTGGCAGCTGGTTTTGGCCTAGATGACTACCACCAGAATCCACACATGGCCACTTTCTAACAGCCACAAGTCTAGAGTCTAGAATTTCAATGTACCATCCAGCCACCCGGTAAACAAATCTGGCAATGAGAACCCACATGCTTTGCAGAAGAATCATGCTGGTTTTGCCCCTACAAAATTTGCTGAATTAAATTACCAGGAGACCTATGGATACATGTGGATTGCAAAAAAACCCTCGTGTTTCTTATTTACCTTTACCACATATTATGGATTTGTCTGATCCCATGAATCATCATCATCATCATCATAATCATCATCATCATCATCATCAACATCATCATCATCATCATCATCATCATCATCATCATAATTCATTATATAGATTTGGACAAAACATGACAAAACTACATGAGCCACGACAAGTACACCCATCGCATCCCATTAGATTATAGTGGTTAACCTGTTTGGTATGGATATGTATGGATTATAATTATAATCATCTCCAACGATGACCTGATACAGTATATTTGCGCCACCTCATTTCTGCCAACATCAGTGCTGGGTTTCCACATGTTTCCAAGGTTTAGGGTTTAAGAATTAGGTTCTGGGGATTTCGAGGGTTTAGATGCGTAGATGTTGGTATTTTTCCATGAGTTTGAAATGTTTGAAGGTTTGGGGCTTGAGGATTACTGTAGGGTGTAAGGTTGCAGGGTTTTAGCATGTGCAGGTTCAGGATGACTTGTTCAATGCCCTACCTATTTCAGGAATGCCAGAATGGCCCACTATTTACAGTGTTTTGAGAGTGCCTTGGGCACCCATCAACAGGGGCCGGGGTTTTCATTTTTAATGGCTCGTACGTATGTGTCTGAAAATAGGGTACCCCTAGATCCGTTGGCTAATCATCATTCTTCCCAATGACAATGACCATGTTTGGGGATGTTTGGGGTGTATAACCCATGTTCAGACACACACCATATGGATATGATGTTATCCCCATGATATCTCCATGTTTCCTGGTGAAATCCCACCATTTTTCACGGTTTTTCTCGCCAGATTCGCCTGCAATGTCTGTTTCCTCCTGACTTCTTCCGCCAGCGCCTCACTCCCTCGTCTCTTCTCTGCAGCTGTCGCCCTCAAGACATCTGCCAGGCGCGTTCGCAGGGCTTCAGCACTAGTGGCGTGCCAATTCAGCTCCTCTGCACCCATCCATACTATCCATACCCATCCCATCCAAATGTCAAATGAACCATCAAACATACCCGGTAATCCCATCATTATACTAGTTGCCAAGAGGAAATGTATGAACATGCTGACATGTTGTAATGAGATGTACTGTACTGAGTACGACAATCGCAAGCAGCATGTTTCAGGGGTGCTTTGTTAACTCAATTCGTTTTTGACTCATCTGTGTGTCCTGAGAATTGAAGTCATCCAACAAACTCCTTTGCCATACTATGCCATACTATAAACTGTAATTTGTTGATTTTGTTTGGAATGTTCTTGAAATTTGAAGTGATTCAAACATCAACTAAATAATTAAATAATCGCTTGCTTTACCATAATATGATAAATAAAAAATATAAAACAAATAATTCAGCACCATCAAACTTTTTGGTTTTCCAAGTTCGCTTTGCCTTATGAACAACATATGTCCACCATTGTCCACCATGATATCATATGGATATCATGAGGTGTTTTCATATTTTGGACCTTTTTCAAAATGTTCCAAGTCCCAGTTCCATTTTCATCCAGCCATTCTCTCCTCATTAGCCGCGTCAAAGGAGCGCTTGGTGCTGTCCAGCTGCGCCGAGACGCGCTCGAGCTGCGCGGCGCGGAGGTCCAACGCGTCGCGCCAGGCGCAACGCAAGGCCCAGCTGGGCAACTGATGGGCGGAGGCGCGGGCATCCTGACACTGACCTCAGGAAGGATGGTTTTTTATTATTAATTTCGTACAAAATCAACAATAACCAATGCATTCATTAGTATTAATTATATATATATGGGTATGTGGGTATTATATGGGTATTAGAATTACTAATTTAGCATTCAAATGTATTAAAACGACAATAACATAATGTTAGTGGGGAAGATAATGATGGGCCAAACTTCTGGGTGTGCGACATTCAGGGTGGTTTTGCTTTTGAAGGTGGTTTGCAGTTGATGGTGGCGAAGTATGGCTAGTATAGGGACTGGATAGTGACAATCATCCTCAATGATTATGGGGATAGAAACAACAATACTCAAACATGTTTGAAACCAGTTGCGGATTTCGTCTTTCAAATCGCTATGACTCTCATCATTCTCGGAAGCGAAGTCTAAGCCAGCACATCGCAGTTCACATGTTTCAATAGCCTGCTCCAATTTGCACGCCTGCTCTTCTGCTCGTTGCAACTCTTCGCATAGACCAGAGTGTCGTTCGTTTAGTGCTTTGAATGCACGTTCAGCTGCTTTAAAGGCTGCCTGATTCACACCTCAGGTTCCAAGACTGACAATTCTATTATTGGTTCATGATATGTATGAAAACACTGGTTTACACAAGAATGCTACGCAATGTATATTTAATATAAATATGTTAATACATATATATATATAACATAAGTAAATAAACATATGAAATTAATCTGTAATCATCAAATATCACCATCTAATCAAAAACTTGGGTGAAATGGCAGTAATCCCTTGGGCTTTTGACAGTGGCTGTCAAATATATCATCAAAAGCCATCAAAAGCCGTAATCATTTACTAATCAACCCAGTAGGACCTCCACCAAACCCATCCACTTCCCCACGCCTTGAATCGGCGCCGAGGCCGTCCGTGCCAATGTCGGCGACTCTGCGGAAGTTTTCTCCACCTCCGAGTCCCCAGAGAAGCTGGCGGAGCGGCGTTTGTGGTACTCCGCCGAATTCACCGTGTATTCCTGCAGCTTCAGTGACAGGAAACGGATGCTGTCGTCGCGTTTCACGCACTGGGTGCGCCAATAGCTCCCTGCCAGAGTTCCATTGTCCTGAAGTGAATCCGAGATGTTTGGATATGTTTGGATGGCAAGCTCTGTGAAAACATCCGGCAATTTCCTATCACCAACTAAACTATATAGTATATAGGAACTAGTATCAGTATATGCCAATTAATAATATATATATATATATAGTACCATCACCACCACCACAACCCCATACAGTCCCATACAACCCCCATGCCCACTTTTCCCCTAGTTGTCCTCATGGAACAACAGCAAATCGCCCAGGCAATCTGCATGTCCCTGGGCCGTGCAGGTGGCTCGGGACCGATCCTCCAGTTGCGACGTCATATCGTTGATCCTGCGACCATAAAACTCACGGGTACCTTTGAGCTCCTCTAAGAGCTGCGCGTGGTCTGCATGGATTTGTTGCAACTGGACTTCGAGCGCCTCATTTTCAAAGCTCAGGGGATCCGAACGCAGCAGTTGCTCCAGTTCGGCACATTGCTTTAACAACTCCACCTCCTCGGCCTTCAGCTGATCCAAGCGATGCACCATCCCACCAGGGAAGGGCTCAAGATCTGTGTAGATCTGTGTATTGCTTTGAGTCACCATTGGGGAACCATAAATGGGAGGGTCTAGCATGGTTTAACTGTGGCCCAACATCTGCGATCACATGTGCTGGGGCCTTTAATCTTGACCCATTGCCATCACGACTGCAAATTGAGCATTGAATGCTTGAAGATTCTTGAAGCCCGACTACGCAAAGGAGCGATTGCACTGTAACAACATGTAAAAAGACATTGCACAGTAAAAAGACATGTAGCAGCTGATTTGCCAGCCCTCAACAAAAATTGACAAAGAAATCCAATCCAGCATTTTTATGCATTTTTTCTCTCGCTCAAAGCGCTGAAGTTGCAGCAAATGGTCTGGCCTAGGTTCAAGCTCCGGATGTTCTGTTCGCATTGAAAGCTGCTGGCAGCTATTCGCTGTTCAATGCGACAAGCCCTCCATGGTTGCTTCACCATGGTTCCGGGATTTATTCCATCATCCTCCACCAATACCCTCTGGTAATTTAACATAGCTATTGAAAATGGCCCATTTATAGTTGATTTACCTATTAATAATGCTGATTTTCCATATATCTATGTTAGTTTACCAGAGTGTGGTGACCACGCGAAAAAAAAACGCCATCGTTCCCGCCTCCAATCGCCATTCCAGGTTTCCCTTCAAAGGCGTCCAGCGTGCATCAAAGCTGTTGATCCACAGCCTCATGGCGCTGTTCACCTGGGGAGGGGCGGATGTTTCAGATCTGTGGATGTTCCAAATGGCTAGACATGGCTCGTGTGCCCTGTGGATTGTTGGACATGCACGCAAGCACACATGATTAGATGTTGTTGCAATTTGTTCAATGTGAGTACGAGCTTAAAATCTGATCATGATCCATCAACGAATGATCTGTGGAGTGCCTTGGGCATGGCTTCTCAATCCATGAATATATAATAATATATTATTAATATATTATACATTTGACATGTCATGACATGTCTAGTCAGGAAATGGATGGAAATGCTTGGGACATCTTGGGACATGCTTCCTGGCACCTCTTGGGGTCCTTTTGAAAGGCATTGCTGCAACTCCTGCTTTGGATTCCAGACTGGATGACCGGATGACCCCCATTCCTAACTGTTGCCCGAAAGCTTTGGTTGCAAGCTATGTTGCAAGAGCTTAAGTTTTCAAAAAATATGACCCATAATAAATACCCATACCGCACATACCCATGATCTGCCCATGTGTCTCTTGCCTAATTTAGTCATTGGGGTATGGGTCAAAATTAGGTACCCCAAAATTATGGATGGTTAATACTAAACTAGACATTTCAATCTGTGGTCCCCTTAACGGTCTTCCATTTTGACCCACATCCATTGCAGAACATGAATTAATTATACCATCTCTACAGCTTTGAAACACAAGAAATGGAACAACTTGGTCTGTTTCAGGAAGGGAAAACTGCTGGCTTTGTCAACTGCCCAAGGTTTTTACCATGGTTTTTACCATAGCCATATCATCCCAAATCATGCTCCCAGTCTCAGTCCTTCAGTTGGAACACGGACACGCCGTGGCATCGGACAGGGAGAACCTATGGCACTGTGGCGTGCTGGTGTTACTAATGGCGGGCGGTGATGATAGCACCAATCAGTGTGCTGCAGCTGAACTTGCTACTATTCCATCCTGCATCAATATGGATTGCGCTAACAAGTTTGTTAATTTTGATTTTCAGCTCTGTTTGCTCGTCGTTTTGTGTGATTTCGGGGTGTAAGACTGCGTGTGCATATTGTTTCTCATTCTCTTCTTGACATGTTGTTCATCTTTGATGACACCCCAGTACCCCAGCAGCAATTCATCCTATGGGAGTGCAGAACTGAAGCTAAGTCTCAAAGGTAGCATGGAAAGGACCTGGTAAATGATCAATGCATCCCATGTGGGTCTCACACACACCGTTCATATGTGTTCATGTGCAAACTGGCTGCCTCATCTGAAAAATCAACATATCCTACAACCCATCCGAAATGAAGCATGTTGAACCACGACATTAAGCCAAAGGATTTGAATGATGGATTCCTTCATGACTGGTTTCATTCATTTATTCACCCTTTTTTGGGGGTTCACTTCCCCTCTCAGTATGCCATTTGGACAGTCGAATCCCCCATTCTCAGCAGAACTGGATATTTCTGGTGATATGCCGAGAACCATTAAATGATATGTTTGCCACTTGAATCACCATGTCTGATCATTTTTGATGGTAAATCCGCGATAGTCATCAAGCACAATCATCATGTGGTCTCTCTCAACCCCCCCGAGGGCACTGCTCGTGCTCTGGAGCAAGAGGAACTGCTTTCCTGCTGCAGCCATGCAGAAAGGTCCATCGCAAAATGTGGGCAAATTCCCCATGACACACCCCCGCAAAAAAGGGGCACATGGAATGAGGTAAACACAAACTCCTGACATAGTATGATTCGTTTAAGAAGTTGGTCAGCGTCTGAATCTAAGTTTGCACATCTGTTTTACTGGTTCAAGAGATCAAGAACCGATCCACACAAGAAAAACATTATGCACTTACACAAACAACGCACACCTACACCTACACTGCATATGCATGGTATCTTGATGAATGTATCTGTCCCTGTGGCGTAGAACATACATTAACACTACATGATAGCGCCATTGAAGGCAGTGAGTTACCTGGCACCACAGTCCCCGAAGTCCCTGGTCGTCCTTATCTGCAAGGGCAATCCCGAAGAGGGCGTGGGTCCTGCTTCGAACATGTTCAATCCCAACAGCTTGCATTGAAACAAGTTACAGAGGCATCCAACCACGAGGCACTCCTTGCTTCGAAGAAGAAGTGGGCTTGACTCAAACCTGTCGTCAAGCTGTCGCAGGACCCGATTGACGCTCTTTCCATCATGGCCTGTAGCTGGATTTTTGGTTCCTTCTGTCATGGCCAATCTTAGATACCCTACACAAAATTAAATTCTTAGCCGGTTAGCAGATAATCCCATTGATACCAAAAGACTAAAGGATTAAAGTACCCATTAAAGTACCCATCCAGTCGGTTAACCTAGCTGTGACGTCTGATGCCATCAACGTGCAGATTCTCACCTGGAGAAGGTAGGCCACATTCCAAAGCAGGAGGTGCCTGTTAGCAGCTTCAGCCGCCATGGCCGGTTCTCCCAGCGACTCCCAACCCCTGACTTTGCCCTGGCAGGAGCCTGTAATGATGTAAAATGTAAAAGTTATCCATATGACCATGGCAGATCAGGAGCTGGTGAATCAATCAGCAAGGTTCTACAGTATGTTCTTTTAAGGAACATATAACCTGGCAAACCCAATGCATGGTTTTAACCCCCTCCAATTTTCATGGTTAAAAAATATACCCATCCATTTCTGGTGACAGTCCCAGACATAGCACATAATTTACTCGCAACAATCATCCCTGGCATGGGATGATTCTGGGATTATTGGCATGAACAGTTATGTGATACGCTAGAACTAATGGGATATCATTAGGGATTGTATAATATTGTATAACATCAATTAATATCATATATATTCTAGTTTATAATGTTTCTAGTAAACCAGAAACCATCCCTGAAAAAAATTGTGGGTGGAATCGAAGTGCAAGCAATGACCTGTGGTTGATGGCGTGCACCCAGCCAACACTGAAGCACGCCCTTGGCCATCTTTGGGCCTGGCTCAATCGAAATTCAATCGGTCCAAGCGTCGGAGAGCTTCAACGGTTTCCATGTGCTGAAAATTAAGGGAACTGAATGACAAATCTACGTGGGTATGGTTCAAATATGTTCAAATTTAAGGACATTCCATGACATTCCCATCTATTTCCAGAGAGTTCCCGGCTAAGTAAGGTGATTTACCTTTGCCAGCCTCAAAAAATCTAATTACTGGAGGATGGATGTACAGTACTGTATAGTATAAAATCTAGTCTTGAACGCTGTGCGACTACAAATCTTCCGCCCAGTTCACTTTCGCTGTTGGCTTTCTTTTACCTTTCAAGACTGAGAAATTCTGGTGGGCGGCCAACCCATCCAAAACACAGTCATTGGGGACCGTGTGGTATCAATCTTGGACGACAAGGACTTGGCACACAAATGCGCTGTCCACACTTGAGTTAACGACCCGTAAGGGGTTGCAGGTGCAAGCGCATCTAGTGCAATTGCCCCTTTCAATTCCCCTCACCAGTCGCCTGATAAAACACAGGCAAATCTATCGCACATATCAGCCACCCCTCCGCTAAGACATCTAGCCGGGTTGGTTCATGTTGGTTCATAACGACGGCGCTAGAACGGTGTCACCTTGCGGCTGGCAAAGTATTCCTTCAGCTGTGGCAAAGCATCCACTGCCTCCATGGCCGCCTTGACTTTGGGGCTCGACTGGAAGGAAGCCTTGGCTCCCTCGGTGTCGTCGAAGGCACCCCCAGGAGCCAGGAGCAAGGTGTAGAAGAGAATGTCTGCCAGGGATAACTTGCCACCCACCAAGAAGGGCCCAGGTCCTGCTGGAAGGGACTTCTCGGCCAAAGCCACCCAGTTCTTCAAGTCCTCGGCGAACCACTTCTCCATGGCTGTCTTCTTCTCCGCCTCGTCTTTGATTCCGCGCACCTTCTGATAGGCATCCTTGATGTCACGCACCGTTTCACCCAGCTGATCCACCTGTGCGCCCTCCGCCGGTGAGCTGCCCATCATGCCCAACTGGGAGGCCAGGAAACGCTCAATGGCCTTGGATTGACCAATCTGGACGCCGTCCACCTCGAGAAGAGGCACCTTGCCCAGAGAGACATCCAACAATCCCTTCGCCTTCATCTCATCGAATTCGGGACGTTGGATGGTGCTGAAGTCCCCCGGGGTGCCGAAGCTCAGGGACAACCGGACGTCCTCGTAGGGCTGCTTGGCTGCCGCGAAGAGGATGCGCGCGTTCTCGGCCAGGCCGCGGATGTCGAAGTAGGTCAACTTGTAGGAAGGCATGACGGTGGGAACTGCGCAGCAATCCAACATCAAGGAGGGACGGGACGTTTGAACCACTTGAGCCAAATGGCTACGGACCGTGTGGTATCTGCCAAGTAGGTGTGAAAATAATGGCAAAGAATGATGTGAATACACGAAGCTGTTAGATTGGCGACATCTCCAAATAGCTATTGCTGGTGATGATGAATCACCCATTTTGAAAGAACTCCAACTAATATGACCCATCATGACACATTGCTAAACCATGCTTTAAACCCTCAACCAGTCATCCTCACTCCTCCCTAGTGTCTTGTAGACCGACTGTAGACCCATTATTGTTGGTTCGCCTTCTAAATCCACGGCAACCAGATCTTGCCCTTCTTGAAGATCAACATCAACACCTAGACGAGGGTCAATCGGCAACTGATCTTTTGGCCACGGCGCTGACTCGGAGAAAAATCTGCAGGAAAAAAATACATTTTTGATGTGGCATCATGCGGTTTTAATGTGATGTTGAGATTTACCATCCAACATATCCAATATTATCCAATGATATGAGGAGAGGATGACCCTATAAAAGCATATTTTGGTGTTTTTTAAACTGCGGCAGGTCTGATGCCAAAGTTTTCCCCCGCCTGGCCATTGGATAGCTTCAGGGGCCTTCCAAGAAAATCACTGTGGCTATGACCCCTGTGCTCCATGTCTGGAATATTTCAACATTTACCCCAAATATCACCCGGATGTGGAGAAAAATGTACCATGGACCATGCATCATATTATCATATCATAAGAACATGGAACATCTGGGGTAGTGAAACATGTCTGGATTTCTCTGTGATTTGGGGAAAAACACGGAAAATATGCGGTAAGAACAACAGTGGAAAACTTTTGGTAACACCTGAACAGACCCTCCATCCGTGTTGGTTGACGCGTCAGATTTCTGGCCTTTTGCTTTGGCATGAAGTCAACTTCAGCGAGCACAAGGCCAAGCTGGGCACGACACACGGTCCAGGGTTGAGGCAGACCCACCAAAACTGGAAGATTTGAGCAACACAAATTGTAACATTGCTAACATACTCCAGCAAAAAGATCCATGCGAGGATTGACGAGCAAAAATGCGAACATGACCAGCAAACATGATTTTCCCAAAATTGCAGACAGCCTTTCTTTTCAGTAGAGAAATCCCTTGGTTATCTTGGTTTGGGGGTTCCCACAGGCAATTGCATCGTCAACAAGAACTTTCTCATGACAGCTATGTCGGACAGGTTTTTGTGCAAGTTTGGCTTTGGCCTGGATGCCCTGTTTTGACCAATTGTTTCTTGAAGTTCTTTACAAAATTGCTATTTGATCTACCCCTGGTTATCAAGCAAGCATGGCAATGGACAATCCCCATCAATCTCCTACAAATGATTCTAAAGCTCTTAATGAATGGGAACATCATCTATTTGTCAGTGCTATCGATGTCAAAAAAACAAAAGGTTCCCATCCCGAGGACCCTACACGCGATGGCACTGAGCCCCAAACACTTCGGATGGGCTGCAAGAGTTGTACTCTACAAGGCAAACTTTCCATCACATAGGCTCCATGCAAACGACCAGTGCTGACCCTGCACGCAACTCACACAGAGGAAAAAGAGACTTTCGGAGTTTTCTGGATTCAGCCTGCAACAATGCAAACCACTTTACATATATATATTATATATATTATATATATATATATATTATATATATTATATATATATTATATATATATATTATATATATCAGGGTTTGCACAGCGATTAACCATGGGGTCAGCTGCCAACAGCTATGACAATTCCATGGCGTCAAAACCACCTCGGCAAACTCGATGCGACTACCAGTATGTGGCGGTCGGAAATCAGCACGCAGCCAAATGCCTGGCTGCAAAATGCCGTGCCAACACGTCCACGTTTGATCCATAGCCAAAATGGTGGGGAAAAGAATACAGGCAATCAAGCATTGGATCCACGCAACCACACTTTTACGGCGTGTTAACTTGTTGCAGAAATAATTATCAATTTTGGAGATGTTTGGGAGTAGCTCGGGGCAACTTACTACGTATAAAATATTCTACCAATATCTACCAATTCATTCATGGATTCGTGTACTTAGACGGATGTAGACAGGTGTTGCATGATGTTGAATATCCCATTTCAAATTAATGAAAGCTCATTTTTCTGATTGGTTGGAGTGAAAATGCTCACAGTCTTGCTTTCAACCTCTAAATTGATTATAACTGGAGGTTTCAGTACCAAAGTTCATCCACCAAATCCCCAGTTAGTTACCCTCTGGTAAACAAACAGTTTGCTATTGAAAATGGCCCAGTCGAAATAGTGGTCATTTATGGTCATTTTCCCATTAATAGCATGGTGATTTTCCATGATTTTCCATAGTTATTGGGACAGTTTACCAGTGAGTTTCCCAGTTAGAGTCATCCCAGTTCTCCGCCTCAGCTCCTACCTCCAGTCGTGCAATTCCTGGAGGCCAAGGCACACCTGGCGGATCGGATCCGGCGATGAGAACAACCAATGATCAGAGAATTAGTAATGGACATAGACTATGTACATCTATGTGCACCTACGTACATCTATAGACTACAGACCTAATATGTTGACTTAGACACAAACACAGAATTTAGCTGTATTTGCATATATATATATAGTGTTTGTCTTCGCAGTTGTAGCAGCTCACTTCCACAATCCAAGGACATCCAAGGTATCTACCACTTCAAACCTTGATGGTCCTTGATAACCCAATCCAGCTGCCTGGTGCGAACTTGGCAGGCCGGGCACTCTCCTGGAAGCACAGAGCCACCAATGAAACCATTGGTCAAAGATGGTCAATGTTTCATTTGTCGCTTCTGATACGACTTAAAGACTTACCCTCTGGTTATTTAACATAGCCATGGAATTTCACCATTTTTAATAGGTAAACCATCTATAAATGGGCCATTTTCCATGGCTATGTTAAATAACCAGAGGGTAAAGATACTTAAAGTCGTAAAGTGTCTTTATCATTTTCGATGGTTTGAAATTCTTTGAGGTCACAAAAGGATACAAAAGGGGTGAAATGGAAATGACAGGACCAGCAAATGACCAGCAAATGACCAGCTCCACAAATCGCCGCACCTTCAGACTTCGAGGCAACACTTGTCCAGCGAAGCTGTTCAGAATCGTTGTCAGAATGCCTCGGTGCATCCCAAGGGCGTCACCGGCAGGGGGGATGAGCTGCTGGTGATCAGTGCCAAGATGCAATGTGACATTTTGTGACCTGTTGTGACAATCTGCTGTGGCTTTAACATGCTTTAAGCATCTTTAACCATTTGTCATTGTTTGTAGTCTGAATCCACCCCCTATGTCAATGTAACTACAGGATACTACAGGTAGCATGGCCATCCTCCCCGCCGCCGCCTCGCAAAGCGATGCCCGGACACAAAGTCCATCGACAGCCCCTTGTACTTCGCAAGGGCGCTGCCAGCAACGCGCAGGGCTGGCCGTCCTCCGGGGCGCCGGTGTCATCGGATGTTGGCTTAATAATGGTTAATATTGATAGTAGTGGATGGTTAACAATGGTTAACAATGGTTAATAATGGTTAATAATGGTTAATGATGGTTGATAATGGTTAATGAGCCAAAGTCAAAATGATCCAAAATGAGTGCTTTTCAATCATTCGGGAATAGGCACATGCCGCACATGCCCAGTCCTCTGTGATGGCAACTCCACCTTCGCAACCAGGCAACCATCTTCCATCCAACAACATGAGGTCAGACGCCTCCGCGTCGCACCAAATCAACAAGGGAATTTGCCTAGGGAGGATACTAGGAAGAATCCAAGCTACTTAGGATCAAAGGAAGCAATGCTGAACCTTCAGAATTTTACCTTCTCAGCCTCAGTAATAAAGCTGGAACGTGGAACAGCCGTGAAAAGCAACCACGTTCAGCTAGTCTGTCCAGTGGAAAACGGTGGTTTCCATTTCCATCGTGCAGCAACAAAGTACCAGCCTCATCTATTGCTGCCACTGTGCATTGGGTTTCTGCCCCCAGGAAGATTGAGGCCTAGAGAATGAGATGGACACTATAGGCACAACTTTCGATTGAACTGCTTGAAGTTCTTGGGGGTCTAGTTCCACTTCTACGTCGATATATGTCTAGGGCTTAAATGCCAACTTATGCTGGTTATTACATGTTATTACCAGGTTTACAATCTGGAAGCATTACAACAATAATCTCAACTGCACCCCCAAGTTCCCTGCAATACATATATCTGAGACAACAGGTGTGTGCAACGCTGGGCACTTCCATCAAGGACAATATTCACATGCAAAAGATCGCAAAGCCTCAAATGTCCCTTCACATATCTCCACATTATCAGGTTTGTATCAAGATGACTTCGCCCACATTGCCAAATGGTCTGTAGATACCCATTGACACGTTTCAAATCGTTCAAATCTTTCAGTCGGACAATGATGACAATTCCATCGTAATTTCCGGTGTATCATGGTGTATCCTACTGTGGATGGAAGAAATCCTGCATCACCTTGGATGGTTGAAACCCTATGAATAATGGGATAAACCACCTATCAACTGGTGCAGGATTTCTTCCATCCACCGTATGTTTCAGACGGCCGTCCGGCCTTCAAAAGGCCAAAGGCTGAGCTCAACAAACGAAGCCGTTGACCCACCTGGACAGGATCCTTGGCGAACAACTCAGATGGCAGTGTGTCAAAACCCATGGAATCCCCTGTAGTTCACATCAAAATAGCTGGGATTTATGGATGTTCATCCCATTAAAAATGGTATTTTCATAGGTATTGATCCATACCCAGATCTCAGATCAATCAGCTTAGCCAATTGTGACTTGTCGTGACTTGTCCAATGGTAGTGTTGCACAATTTTCCAGGGCCAGGGCCCCTGTTGGCCGCATCGGATTGCCACTGAGGCTATCTGGGATGGTCAGACCTCGCTGAAGCGCACCCAACAAATGTGGTCGCAGTCCACAAGTTGAATAGCCATGGGATCTATTTGTGGATCCATAATCCATTCGTTCACCATTCGTTCATAATCCATCATAATTCACTCATTCCATGACAATCCATCATTTGTTCCATCATTTTTTCCATTTGTTCATAATCCATAATCATAATCCATAATCATAATCCATCATTTGTGGTACCTGATGGTACCTGCATGAATCAGCCATTTCTTTGGAATGTTGGTCAACTCCTCCAGGATCGACGATGAAAATTTTGGGTCAACCGAGTCAACCGAGTCAACCGGCGGAGCAACGCACACCCAAGTTACCTGGCCACAGTTGCTCCTACGAATGCGGCATACTGCCATTATGGAATATATGTATATATATACACATAATATATATACACATGTTGTCATATACTATACATAAACATACTAACTATGGTGAATATCAGAGAGAAACATGATCTTCTTGTCTGATATACAACACATATACCATATAATATATATATATGTGTATACTATATAATATACATAATCAAGCATACATATTATACATATATATATAATTATATATATATATGATGTATTACTCTGATGCACGCTGCTGGCTTTTGGATCCCACCTACCACTGGTGGCCGCCACGTCATCTCCTCGGAAGGAGATGTATCCAACGCAGCCTGTCGTCGCTGATCCGAGAGTCTCGGTGGATGGTCACATCACGGTCTAGGAGCACACAGTGATCGGATCAACATACAATTGATATATTAAATTATTTGATGATGATGATGTTGATGATGTTGATGATGATGTTGATGATGATTTGATGATGATTTGATGATGATGATGATGATTTGATGATGATGATTTGATGATGATGATTTGATGATGATGATGATGATTTGATGATTTGATGATTTGATGATTTGATGATTTGATGATGATGATTTGATGATGATGATTTGATGATGATGATTTGATGATGATGATTTGATGATGATGATGATGATGATTTGATGATTTGATGATTTGATGATTTGATGATGATGATGATGATGATGATGATGATGATGATGATGATTGAGCCTGAAAAATGGATCATTGATGAATTGATGATGCTTCATGACATTCAATTTACAAAGAACATCACTGAACCAGGTCCAAACTCTGTGGATTGCCCAGCCTGCAGCAGCTGCAGTGATGGCTCCGCAGGAAGTGGCAAGCAAGCTGCCAGTGATGCCTGTCTCAGGAGCCAGGAAACCAGCAACATCCAGCAACTATAGTAACTATAGTACTGTAAGTTTTATGATTTTATGGGTTTGTCTGAAAATCATGTATCATGCTAAAAAACATAATTTATCTAGGAAATTGGATGGATTTATCCACTGATGGATGGATGAAACATGATGAAACCCTCTGGTAATTACAAACTGACTATGAAATATCACGGTTTTTAATGGGTCATTTATCTATAAATGGACCATGTTCATCCATTTCCCATAGCTACGTTAGTTAACTGGAGGGTAGACCCAAAGTTGGTGGTTTGTCAGTTGTTCAGGTTTTTCCCTATCAAAATCGCATTCTTGGGTGGTGGCATAGGTCACTTTCAATGAAACCCATAATTATTGTAACATATTGTAACTATAGCGCAAGGACTTATCCATCAATAGTGCCAGTCATTGGCAGTTCCACTAGTCAAGTACGCTCCAAGTCAAAAGGACCCTTTCCCTCTCTCTCTCTCTCTCCCTCTTTCTCTCTTTGTGTCTCATGCCAAACTGACATTTTGGATCAACTGACATAAGATACGTGTGGAGGATATGTGGTATGTACACTGTAGTATCCGCAATCAAAATGCAATTGATAACAAATCCGTTATGTAAGTAAGATTTGTTTGTGATATGCCATAATGTCTATATTAAGCTATTACCATGCAATCTCTACATGCATCGAATGCACCAGACTTCCCCAGCATAACTGTCACAGGAACACAGCCTCCGCCACCAATGGTTTCTCTCCAGGGAAGACGACAAACAGCCTTGATCTTGGCGCCAACTGCCACCAGTCATGTTGCTGAACTGAACCACTCCCCAAAACGCAAAAACATGTTACCGAAAAGATCCTAAAAAACAACCGGGATTCCAACATGGACCCACAATACTGATGTTGTGTGTTGGACCAATTTTGGCGATGATAATCTTTGACCCCATACCCATAATTTGGACACAAACATGTATCACTGTATCAAGGTATCAACTAGTATTAAGTGACTTAAGCTTAAGTAACATATGTATTCTATAGAAAAATACAAATATCATTACTAATTATATATATATATATATCAATTATTACTATTGTCATCTATTATCTATTATTTTATATGTTATAATATGTTATAATGTAAAAGAACATCTAAGGACCAACCTGGGCCCTCCCGCTCTGTGGTCGCCACCAGTCGTGGGTCCAGCACTCGGTCAGACACCAGCGAAGCCAGGCGCTTCCGTAGAAACGGCGCCAGCAAGGTCGCGGAGGTCATCACGGCCTGAAAAACGTGGCGAAATGGGAAGGTGTCCTACGGGGGAATGATATCATATATCCATGATATCTGATGATACTGTATCTGATGATATCAGATGATTTCCCAAGATATTCGAAAATGGCGGATGATTCTTGATTATGGATGGGGATATAATGAGGATATCGGATTTCAGTGGGAAAAATGTGGAAAAACATATGATTTAAGGAGGAAAATGGTTGGATTATGTTGGATTTCACTGGGGAAACTAGAATTGATCTTGATTCTAGGACTTTCGATCTCACTTTCTATGGATTTGTTTTAAAAAAAACATGGATGGATGGACCATTTGGATCCATTTAGAGCAATGTGTTACATTGGATCCATCATTTAACTATGGAAAAGTCACGTTTATCAAAAGGATTCAAAAGGTAAATTATCTATTATTGAGGATGGAGGATGAAAGAGGATGATATGTTCCCAAGTGGCAAGTTAGTTTGATGCTGTTTTCTTTTTGTTGATCCCTGACATGTGATATCATTTGGTGATGTTTTGGGTTTGAATATGGTTGCTGGTTGCTACAGGTTTGATGATTGCTTGGTGGTGTTTGATGAATGAGGATGTCTGGATCTGGAACCTTAGTGCAGCTCACAGGCTGAGACTGCGGCCGCTGGTCCCTCATTCTCCCACAGGCAGAATCCGGACCTGGATCAACAGGAAAGGGATGAATGAATACTGTATGACCCCTGATCATGGTTTCACATCAACAGTTCCATGCCAAATGCACAATCAAAGCATATCAAAGCACAACTGGGGGTCTGGGCGCGGCCAAATGCAGCTGTCCATCTTCCAGGAGAGGTCCAGCTTCAGCACACGGTTTCGCAGCACCAAGAGCTGACAAGCTTTCCGCCAAGTCCGCCTGAGAAGGCCCCCAAAAAGAGGAAGCCACAGAAATTTTGACCCTGAAAAGAGGAGTCACATTTCTGTTGGATACGTGGAGATGCGTGGAGATATTTTGAGCTGTAATGATCTGCAATCAACCAGATGATTTTTGTTCGGCCGCTGGGCACCTCTGGGCCACAGGCCACCACCATCACCGGACACCACCTGGGGATCCAGTCTGATCCACAGGGGGGTTGCCATAGATTCATCAGTCGATTCAATATGGAAATGAATTGTTGTGTTACCATAGTTATGTTGTCTTACGGTTTTGTGATGTTGTGTTGCGGTAGTTAACAGTGATCTTTATCAGATATATTACCAAGTAGTTCAAATAGATTTGAAACAACTGACATCGACTAAGTATGTTATGCTAATTGCTGGAAAATCTACTTTCCAGAGAATTGAGTCAAGTGTTGAAGAGAAAGTCTTCCCGTCCAGCAGCCTGACATCTGCCATGGCGGCGGGCCCGGCGGATGTGCAGTCACCCCATGTCGGTGCCAAAGTGCCGAGGTCGGTGCCCTTCATGCTGCAGTTGCAAATGGCCATCTGAGAAAAATAATACATGTTTGTCTTGTTTTACTTGTTTTGCTTGAGAAGAGCCAACTTGACCATCAGAATGTCAGATCGGCAAAACCATGATGGGTTCACTGAGTGGGAACCAGTGTTGGCAATTGAGTATCATCTCGTGTGTTTTCTTTCGCCCCCTACTTCTTATTCGGACTTTCCAGATCTGTCAGTCCAGAGCATGGAAACAGCTGACTGCGTATGCATCATACATACGGCATCATACGGCACATGGGGTCACTGTAGACAGACTTGATGGGATCCCAAATCCTTAAAAGGATTTAAAAGGTGCAAAGGCTACCAATCCAATCGTTACCTGATGCCTACCATCAGAATCATCAAATGAAGCTCACCATAGCTCACCTGTACATCCTCATTGGAGGTGACATGGGGATAGTACCAGCACCAAGGGAACTTCAAAAGTTGCAATGCTCAGAAGTAATTTCTACAGTGATTCTACAGCTTTCCCGTGGCCGTATCGCTTTTCAAACAGCAATCCCCCTCCATGAGGCCTCCAGTTTCTGCCTGGAAATGTCCAACGAACTGCTGTCTCAGTCTCAAAATCTTGGATGGCAGCCCTGACAACCCTTCAAGGAAGATGAGAAGAACACCTCTATCTGTGGATCACTTCATAGGAGGTTCAAATTGGAGCAGTGCAATGCATCCCTGATTTTGAGACATACCAAGTGTCGAACTACCATTGCAGCCTAGCTCTGAACGCAAAATATGTAAGATTGTGTAAGTTATACAACTTCGAACATGTTCCCAGCCTTTGACTCAAGCAGTCCGCAAGTAAGTTTTCAAGACTTTCAAGCAGCTAAACATCGGAAGGGTATCTCCATGCATCCAATATCATCCAATCATATGGGAATTCAATTCATGGATTTTCCACTGGAACAACCTGTCATGGGGCAGGGCACACACGTCCTGCTCGATCCATGACGATCCCGCGGCGTTTGCCGGGGATTCGCCAGGTCATCTGCGACGTCAACTTTGAGGCCACGTAACTTTGGGGGGATGTTCTGGTGATGTCTCTGCCCCAGCAAGTGGAAGATGGTGGAAATAGATGTTCCTCTCCAATGATCCACTGATTTGGGGACCACAATACAAATTTTAACCATCCAGTGGTCCCTCGGACCAGCTACAAGGTCGACGTCCAACTCATTAGCTCTTGAAGTTCACGGGGGAGGATCATCAGACTCTATATGACCTTGGCTGATTGCTTGGAGATTCCCTGCAAGTGGTTGCAACTGGGACATGGAGATACCCAGTTGGAAACTGTCTAAGTCAGGGAACATGCAGGTCGCTCAACACTAGGTATGCGGAGAAGTTTGCCCTCAACAGCCAGTGGTTTTAACTGGCAAGTGGCAAGCTTCATTTTGGTGTTACGCCAAAAAAACGATGGTCCCAAGCCTGAAATAGACCACAAATTGATAAACTGAGGGGGGGCGTCAGTTTTCAGAGGACACAAGTTGTCGGTCAAAACCAAGCTGCTCTCCCACTCGCCAGGCTTCAAGTTTGACAGCTGCTCCTGACCGCAACACACGCAGCTTCACCTCATGTGTGGGTGATTTGGGATGAAGCTACAATTAAGTTGCTGGATGCTTCACTAATTACCCTCTGGCAGACCTCTGGTAATCATGGGAATGGAAAATCCATGAAAATACCATGTAGATCATTATAGATTATTCATCCCTATATAAAAATAAAAATAAAAAAATCCAGGGGAATATGGTCATCGCCAGGTTTACTCAGAACAAGCCAGCCAGTTCATGCCCCAAGTCAGGCGCGCCTTTCGGCATCGCTTCGAGAATTCAACGGCTGACTGCGCCTGTAACGACAGCATACGACAGCAACGTTCGGTGCAATCCATTGATGTGCGCGATTGGCAGAGCTTGATGCTAGCAAATTTACCCAACGGAAATCCTGTCGAATCAATCGAATCTGACTTGAAGTGCCTCTTGCATGGGTACGAGCAAGCAAAAATGCGTACAAGTTCACAATTTCCAAAGGAAATCAGATGTCTCACTTTGCAAACCAAAAGAACAAAGTGTGGATGACATGTCCCGTGCCGTGGCTCCTGGTAAAATCTACATCGGTCACAGGAATCAGACCAGACTAAAGCTGCAAAAAAAATCGCCTGGGCCAGCGCATAACCTTGCTCAGTTCGCCGCTGATCGCTCGTCTCAGCGGCAGAACGTTCTTACGAACTTGTTGTTCCATCAAATGCTATATATGAGTGATTGTGAATGCTACACATGACCGGCTGGTAGTACCTTTCAACTATCCCAACTTGAAGATACTTAAAGTATGTAAACATATGTAAACATCAACCAATACAGTATGAATCTGATTGGAAGAGCAGAAAATGAAATCCAATACACACTTTGCCTTCTAACAGATCTCTCCACTGATATCCCCCGCTCTCCATCTGAGGTGACTGCTGTAAAACGCTCAGCATAGCTCAGGACGCTGTCCAGCATGCGTGGATTAGCCCCTTAGAGCTCTGGCCGTTTTTGCTAGTCAAAGGATGATACCCGTGGCCCCTTCGCAATGGTTCGGTGCCTCTGGAAGTTAGAGACTCGCTGATGAGAGAACATCTTTAGCAAACATCAAAGGAACATGGGGACTCCGTAGCGTGATTCTTGCCAAGCAGGAAACAACTATTGCCATTGAGTTGCTTCGGGCATGCACTCCATCAAGCGGTGGCAAAGAAGATCAAAGAAGTGTCACTCATGGCTGTTTTCAAACCGATTGGCAAACATCCCGAGAAGTTCTTAAAACAAATGTATTGATGGCTCACACCTGCGTCATCCATGGGCTACAGCCCCCACATAGACAGCAGCACGTTCTGTCCCTCTGTCCCCTATGAATGGCAAAATGCGTCCCCTGCAAACTGGACCATATTTACCAAGATGCTGATGATGATCAGAATGAAGAGGGGCAATGCCTCATCCGCGCCAAAAGCATTGTCCTGGATCAATGGATGATGGCTTCAGTCTCCAGAGGAAACTGAGACCAGCTGCGCCGGGCAAGGAGATGCGCCGGGCAATATTACCACCTCACTGGTCTTGTTCACTTGACTGCAATCCATCCAAAACTTCAGTCCTGGGAGGTCTTGCAAATGCCTGGTGAAAGCAGTTCAAAACATCCTCGAATTCAATGTGTTCATGAGAAACGCTAGAAGGAGAGCAGGGACAAACAGGACAAACATGTGAAAGTTGCAAAGTTTCAAAGTTGATGCTTCTTTCTTCCTGCAACTTTGCTTGGTATGACCTACTGTACTGTAGGAGGGTGCAGCTTACAGATTGCCCACGCTAAATGGAGACAAACTCATTTTGTGCAGTGCTCCCATCTCCATCAAAATGTCATGGTTCCAAGCCACAGAACATTCTCCCCTTGCAGCTATCCACTTGCTGACTCCAAGACATAATCTTCAATAGGATGGTTCAGTGCTACCAAAAATCACCAGCCAGCCCCAGCCTTCAGCCAGCTGTGATTTCAGGCACGCAGCCTCTCCCCGAAATCATGATGGATGACTTCTGGTATTCCAAAAACGCCACAAAAATGGTCCTTTTTCCAATCAGTTGGCCAAGAAAAGTTCCAATTTGACCAATCCCGGTGCCAATCCCAGGTATCCCCATAGGTTTTAAGTGCCGTTTTGGGGCCTTTTTGAACGTTGCTATCCCGTAGAAGTTGCCGTTTTCGCGCCTGCGTCGTTATTCGAAATGCTTGCGCCATCACTTCCAGCATTTCGTTGGGGCTGCGCCTTGGAGGGCTTTTTTTGATCCAGTGAGTCCATTGTAAAATGCTTGGTGATTTTTCATACCCACGATACAGCATTTACCCTCTGGTTATTTAACATAGCCATGGTATATATATGGTCCATTTATAGATGGATTTATAGATGATTTTCCCAGCTATAAACCTCCATTTATCAGGGATTTTCCATGGCTATGTTAAATAACCAGATGGTAATAATGTATGTTTGGTGAATATTGATGGTTGGTGAATGGTTGGTGAAATATTGATGAAATGAAATGGATGATGTTTTGGATGTGTTGAAGAACACAAAAACTCATGACTAATGTGGGTTTTTGTCTTGTGCTAAGCAAGGGGTCAAGTTGGCAGCAAATCGAAGATTGATGGATTCTATGCGTTGCAATACCAAAGTGACTGGTTCAATGGCTGCATGGCTGGCCCACTGCAACTGCTTGCTTGAATAATACTGTAAATCTATCCCCAGGGTCGCACACCCTCAACATCCAACCTCAAACCCCAAAACAGTGGCACCCTTCAACAAAAAAACATATGTTCCAAAATGCTTCAAATCCATATGTTTGGATATGTTTGGTGGTTTTACATGATGTTTCCATAGTTGATCATTGTGTTTTCCAGTTTACGCCCCCTTTGTGCCTTTCCCGCAGCTTCTAGTGCAGCTGAAGCTTCAAGCTATGCAGCCTCTGTAGGAGCTTTACAGCCTCGCTGGCCTGGTTTATCTGAAGACAGGTTAGCCCAGAAACATGGTGGTTTAATGCGTGTCTGAAAATGGGGTATACCACCAATTCATGGCTATCTATCTCACTAGGGAAATCATGGGTAAAATTATGATAACCAATAAACCATCTAATTTGGGGGAACATTATTTTCATACAAACCAAGTTCATCTGCTACTAACATGGCATCCCCCAATTAAACAACCCAGGAGAAAATTGATCCGGGATTAAACATTAAATGGTGTATGATATTATCATGACATGTCATAGAGTAACCAAGAATACAACAATATAAGTTGTTGATCAGAGATCATCTTGATTGGATGTGGAAAATCATCATGTAATATTAATGGTATATATATATATAGATCTATAGTATGTAAGCATATGATAGCTATATAGTATGTAAGACTCCATGAAGAATGGAAGCATGGAGAATCTAGAAATGAAGAGAATCGTGGCTGCTTGTGCTGGTGCTTGATCCCCACGTCTCGCCAGTTCCGCATGGCAACAAGTGTTACCAGGCCTGCTCCGTTTCTGCCAATGCCTTTTGCAAATCCAAATGCCGCGGCCGGAGCCACCACAATCTCTGAATCTGCAAGTGGATCCTACAGGTCACAGTCAGGGTTTCTTGGACTTGAGATCGGTTCCGTTCAACCAAAAGTGTCGCTCGAAATGATTTGAAATGTGTCACTCACTGTCGCATGCCCTAAAGGTTCAATCAACCAAAGCATGTCTTGGACAGCGAGAGTTTAGTCAGCTGGAGTCTCGAGTCTCCAGATCTATCCATTATGATCATGATGTCGGTCATGGCAACATCAAACAAGGACAAGGAATCAGAACCTGAAAAAAGTCTGGAAATATTCAGTCCTACATCTGTGCTGTAAATGATTGTCAATGCAACCTGGTTCTTGTATGAACGTCCCCAAATCCACATGGGTCATATCTCGCTTCGAAAACACTGAGAACCCTGGGTCCTGTTATCCTCCGCAGTGGGCTCTGTAGGAAACAACCGATGATGGAGCTGATGGAAGACGAAGCGCGAAACGCTTTGCGTCAAGTGCTGCTCCGAACCTCCGTGGAACATCATCGTGGAATTTTTGGCATAAATGGGGGATATGTGGACACTAATCCAAGTAATTATTACATTGTTTATACAAAATTATAAATACCCAATTTCATCAAATTGGCATCACCAAATATTTCGTCCCAACTATTCCCATCAAACCTCCACGAATTTAATATTATCTGACTGATACTGCATTTGCAGTTTTCACGTTCATTGGCGCCTTGAAGGAGGAGCTGCGGCCGCACCCATTCTTCATCTTCCGGATCCTGACGGGGGACTGCTGGAAAGAACGGCGCGACACATCGCGATGTTGTGTTGCGGATGTCCTGGACCGGGATAGCCTGGTGTTGCTTGGAGAGCCTGGACCACGGGATGTCACGGGTATCTCTAAAACATCTGACTCTGCTTTTCTTATCATCTACTCAGATCAAACGTATTTAAGATTGGGTTTATGTAAAAGTGTGGTACCCCAAAGTCCCATACTTCCGTTCATCATGTCCCCCCATGGCCATAAATTCAAGACAATTGGACCGAATTCCCCATTTCTGGCTCCCATGTCACTTCTCCGCTGGCGAGCCGCTTGCAATGATTGGAAATGATCTCAGACACCATTGTCACAAGCTCCTGGCCAAAAATACAACTGACAACTGGAGATTATCTCAGTAGTATAAGCTATAAACATCCCCTTTCGGGAAGCGGGGGGTACGTGGGAGACCCTGATTTTATAGTGCATAAAACGGTGGTACCCAGGCCCGCCCCCCCCGGCCACCTCTAAAAAATAAAAAAAACCACCCATACCACCATGATTAATGATCTATAAAATCAAAAAATATATAAACCCACAAAAAACAACCAAAAAACACGATTGTCTATAAAATCAGGGTCACCAACGTACCGTTGGACGGCCTTTCAAGGCAACATAACAGGTCTATAAAATCAAAAGTTCAATGACCCCCACTTTGAGGAGTCAATTTCTGGATCCGGAAGATGCAAATGTTGCACTGCAACCTTTTGATTTTATAGTGGTTATTGTTGTCCGTTTACTTTTTGATTTATAGATCCGTTCCCATATTATAGTCTTATTATGTCTTAGTATGTCTTAGTTCTATGATGTTCTATGATGTTCTATGTAGTTCAAGAGTCCCTCACCAAAGGTATCCCCCTGGAGCTCCTGATTTTATAGCTATAATTTGGTGGGGCGCCGCGGCGCAGCCCCCCGATAACCCTGCCATTTCTATAAAATCAAAGTGTCCAGCCCTACACAGGGATGTACAAAGCTATAAAATCTAACAAGTATAGATTGCCCCCCTATACTGCAAAATGCCTAAAAAATCAGGACACAGCCTTGAAAATTGTCCCTTTTAAAGAAAAAACATGAATCCCAAAGATCACTATAAAATTCAGGACTGGGTTACCTCATTTTGATGGCAACTCTCTCATAGATTGTGAGCCGTATTTTTTGGGGGGCTACCAACCATGATTTTATAGCAGAGAGATCCCCTTGTGAGTTTCAAGAGTCTCCCAGAGACCGCCATTTTATAGAGGTACCTGGTTTCCACTATAAGGGTACATTCTGGGAATCTTTCTAAAACCAGGATAAAAATCAGATTGCAAGAAATACGACTCTATAAAATCAAGAAACAAAAAAGTTGCCGCATGAATACACATGCCTGTTTGTAACCACCAAAGTTCCCTATAAAATCTAGATACCGGGTGCAGGTTTTTTCCTTGAAGGTCATCTACCTGGTCCAGTACAAAATCAGGATCTCCAAGATGATGGCTTTACAAAGTCTGTTGAAACATGTGCACCCTTACTATTGGGGTACCTGGTCTCTGATGTTGTAGTTATAGTGGAACTATTTGAAAGAGATGTCAATACAAGCTGGACCCGGGCCTTTCATTTTATAGAAAAGTTTCTTTTGGGATGGTTGTGGCTTGGGATACCATCAATTTCCATAGTTTGCTGAATCAGGTTCAATTGAATGAAAACAAACACCAGAACTTGGAAAACAATTGCCATTTTGGGACACTTTTTTGGCACCGGGATTGTTGAAGCAAAACTTCCAGATGAAATCGAAAAATTAGTCACTGGTCCCTATTCGGGGGTCCTTCAAACATGAGTTATCAGTTATCCATTTCGGAGTGCTGTTGTGCCTCACTATATGGAAAGCTTTATATAAAGATGTTGGAAGCGAGTAATGACCCAATTTTGGAATTTAGCGCGGCGGGAGGTTACACTTTTAATTTTAAAGAGAGAGAGAGAGAGAGAGATTTGGCCCATATTGACGCCGATCACACGCACTACGTACCCCCAATGATTTCTGAACTATCTGTGGAAAGGGAACGTGAACACGCGCAGTGCTCAAGCAAAAACTCTCTATAAAATCGACAAATTAGTCTCTACTTGGGTGTCCTTCAAACCTGAACTGTCCATTTTGGAGTCCTGCGGTCCGCGGCGCCTTGCGGTATAGAAAGTGGCAAGGATGTTTGGGGCATGTATTGACCAAATTTTGGAGTTTAGAGGGCCAGGAGGTGGGAAACATATGTAAAGAGTCCATTTTCTGGAACTTTTTGAATCTTTTTGATTTTATAGAGGCAATGAGGCCATATTGAAGCCGAGTACATGCACCAAGTACCCCTACTGATTTCCGAATGATCCCCAATCCGTCCCAATTTCAAGCTGCTGAAAGGCAACGTCAACACGCGCAGTTCTCAAGCACAACCTCTCTATAAAATCGACAAGTTAGTCGCTACCGGGGGTCCTTTCAAACCTGAACTGTCCATTTTGGAGTCCTGCTGTGCCTCACGATATGGAAAGGGGCAAGGATGTTTACTGACAAATTTTGGAGTTTAGAGTCTAGAGCTCAAGGAGGCGGGAAACACATGAATAGAGTCCAGTTTCTGGAACTTTTTGAATCTTTTTGATTTTATAAAGACAATGGGTCCACATTGAAGCCCAGTACATGCACGTACCCCCACTGATTTCCGAATCATCCCCAATCCGTCCCAATTTCAAGCTATGGGAATGGAAAAGCAACGTCAACACGCACAGTGCTCAAGCAAAACCTCTCTATAAAATCAAAAAAATCTTTGTTTGGGGGTCCTTCAAACCTGAACTGTGCATTTTGGAGTCCTGCTGTGCCTAACGATATGGACAGTGGCAAAGATGTTTGAGGCGTGTATTGACCACATTTTGGAGTTAGAGGGCAAGGAGGCGGGAAACATATGAACAGAGTCCAGTTTCTGGAACTTTTTGATTTTATAGCGGCCGCATTCAAAGGCACAACCTTAAAAAAAACAACAAAAAATAATGTGTTGTTTTTTTTTTGGGGAAGGGCTCCCAAGAGGTACCTGAAACCATCTAGAGCTAGTTGCCATCTAGAGCTAGTTTGAATCCATCTCTATCTATCCATCTGTCTGTTTCTCTTTCTCTCCCTCGCTCTCTCTATCATATCTATCTATCGATTATATTCTCACTATCTCTAAGATGTGGATCACCTCAATAACTATCGCATTAGTCAGCTGCTGTATTGGCAGCTTGTTAGACCCATTCCCCGTCGGTCTTGATAAAGATGTTAACGGGATGCGGAGATCGGTTACACAACAAATTTATCTCAAAAACCTTCCCTCTATTAAGTCAGGATCAGTGGGCCAACAAATCAGAACCATGCCAAAATAAAAAACATCTCTGTAAAGGTCAGGTGCCTGGGCCCCCCTGAATTGGTCATAAGCCACATGTTGGCTTACAAATGGTTTACGAAAGGCCTTCTATGAAATCAGGTTTTTATTATTGTATTCTTTTTGGACGCTTTGTGCACAGACCTCATCTGACTAAAATTTCCATTTCAAACAATACATGGGTACTACCATTAAACATATATACATTTATATATATATATATGTGATTATATATGTATATAGGAAATAGAGAGGGGTATACAGAGAGCATAAACACCATACGCCAAACAACAAAGAGGGTAAACATGTTGTTTTTTTTTAGATAGTGGGCCATGATTTGATGTAATTTGCATTGCTTGCCTTGCTAACCAAGGAATGCAAAGGCATAAGTTTTGATTTTATAGTGGATCTTTTTTTGAAGTAACAGATTGGAGGAGGCTGTGTGTTTTGATTTTATAGTGGGACTTTTTTTGGGGGCAACAGATTGGAGGAGGCTGTGCCTTATGATTTTATAGTGGGTTTATTTTGGACTAACAAATGGATGATTTTTTTGTTTTAATTTTATAGGTTTCCTCTGGTGTTGTTTGATAGTATTTGATAGTCTTCAAATCTTTTTGATATTATAGACACGGTGTTGGTTTGTTGGCTTAAACTAAAGCAATCAATCGTTCTATTCTATGAAATCAAAGTGTACAGCCCCCACGAAAAACATGAGATGTTGAATACTTGTTTTGTGACCACTTTGTGGACCAGGTGATTGCAATACTCTTATGATTATGGGGAACGCTTGCGCGCCTGATTTTATAGCTGAAATACCCGAGGGGATATCAAAACAATCAGGCAATTATTGTTCTGACGTGTTAGTGCCAGCCAGGATGTTACATGAACCCCCAGGATATTTATCTAATGTATTCTAACGTTGTGTGCATGATTCATTGAAGCATCATTGACCGTGATTTGATGGGATTTGCATAGATTTACATTGTTTGCCTTGCTAACCAGCACCCCCTGGTCAGCTTGCAGGCTTTAATTTGAGCCAACCAACCACCACAGTGTCACACTGAGTCTACAATATCAAAAACATTTGAACACGATCAAACAACACCAAAGACAACCTATAAAATCAAAAAACAACAACACAATCATCCATTGTTACTCCACAAAACAAAACACTATAAAATCAAAAACACAGCCTCCTCCAATCTGTTGCGTCAAGAATAGATCAACTATAAAATCAAAACTTCTTCCATTGCATTCCTTGTTCACAACCAATCACTTTATTCTATAATCAAAGTGTACAGCCAAAAAAAAAAACATGAAATTTTGGAATTTTGTTTTGTGACCACTTTTTGGACCAGGTGACCGCTATAATTTTCTGATTATGGGGGACGCTTGCGTGCCTGATTTTATAGCAGAAATATCCAAGGGGATCCAAAGGTACTGCGCACAATTGCACACCGGTGCCGCTGAGCTGATGGAACATTTTTTCCGCCTGATCTGCTGGTTCTCCATCATGTTTGTTTTTTTTTTTTGAAATCACAAGCATCATTGACATTAAAATTGTCGATAGGGACACGGCAGGGTGTTGAAGTCACCTGACCCTACCCCTGGGCCAAGCTAGTTTTTGAGCAAAATGGAAATGGTGTGCGATTGACAATTAGTCATATAAACTTATATAAATATAATTAAATATATATAAATCAGACAAACAATGACAAACATATATAGCAAACATATGCAAACATCAGCAAACCATCACAAACCAACCTGCTTGTCAAATACTATCACTATAAAATCAAAAAGCTCAAGCACAAATTTTAGATCTATAAAATCAAAAAGTCAACCTCCAGTGAAACGTGTCCACTTCAGTCCACTTCCAACATAGTAATCACTATAAAATCAAAAGGGAGGGGGGTACCCTGTACTTGCACCAGTCTATAAAATCAAAAAGTCAGGGACCCCAATGTTTTCTGACAACAAAATGTTTACATAAAAATATCAGTTTATACGGACCCTGGCGTCCCTGATTTTATAGAGGATTCCCGGAGGAGGATCTATAAACTAAGTAACTAATGCTTTCATTAATTGATAATTCATCAACTAGGAGACTAGTTCAATATCTTAAGCTATAAGGCGATAAAATGCTATCAGCATCTATGAGCGCCATCAATGAGTTACCAAGACTACCAAGTTGAAGCCACTAGTCAGTCTCATTGATCCGCAGCGTTCCGCTCCTGAATCACCTTGGCCAGTCCCAAGCGCTCTTGGTTGTCACGGTCACTGCGGAACAAGCGGAGGGCCTGGCGATGGAAAAGCCGAAAAATCCATCATTTCCTCTCCGCTGAAATGGAAGAGATTGTTCTGAAGGATAGATTCAGAAGGCTTAACATGAGTTAACCAAAGTCCAATCACTGGAACGTATGGGTCCAGTCTCACTGGTGCTTGATCTTTTCTGCACCATCCGAGGATTTGCTGCAAACTGCCAGCAGCACACCGATGATCTCTCGCAAGTTCCGCGTTGGGCAATGCGAGCGCGAGGCATCATTGGCCAAGCCTTCCAAGGATTGTGAGATGCGACATTTGCGATTTGGGAACATTTGTACATCCCAAAAAGTGATTGAATATAGCAATAGTAAAGATTTCAAATGGGAAAGTCATCTATTCAATATTACATCTATTCTATATTATTCCATAATGTCTACAATGGGAGACTCTTTCTCTTTCTAGTTTGATGGACATATCATGAACACATGCTATATGGGGGTTGTCCAAAATTCTGGTTCCCCAAGTATGCCCTTACACCGCGCTTTCGCAACCCTTTCGCGCCCCAGCAGAATGGAGACACGGAATTATGATATATTTGCGTGACACGAGTACTGGTAGGTGGGTGTAAACCCCGTGAAGGAATCTGGCCAATTCGGGCTCAGGATCTAAGAAAAGGAACATCAAACAAATATCTATTGAATTCTATTGATACCACTAAACCTTAGATTTCATCAGCATATCCATTATCCCCCGATGAAATTCTGGTGAAATTCTCAATTTTGCCCAATTCTTGGCTGGTCAACTCCGCATCCACCGGAATCCATTGCACCTTCAACGCCCATGCTGGCACCCACAGCTGCTATGCGGTGATAGGGGCCTCGATACCCCGAGAAGATAAAGTGTGGTCTCCTGGAACTTTCACATATACCATATACCCATCTCTATACCCTTCTGTATACCATCTGTATACCCATGTAATAATCCCATACAATATCTCAAGATATGATTCAATTCAACCACCAAAAAGTGCTGCTTTTTTCAAAGACACAATTTTTAGATGTGCAGATGGCACTTTTTACTCCTCTCCAAATGGAGGACATCCCCCAGAAGATCTGGCCGCCCGGCAAAAATTGGTTTTCACCATCCGCAGTGCTTGCGCAACTTCCAGCTCTGTGTCAGGATCCTGCGCAGCTCAACGATGCCCAAACAGGTCATGGAAAACGTGTCCCTTCCATAGGGACAGCTGTTGGTTTCCTATGGGCTTGAAACAGCTGTTGGAACCCTATGAAACCATCTGTTGGTGAGACTTGGTGGGAATTTTGGATGATCTTGGCGGATTCAGCATAGGAGGGGAGGACTATGGGCTATTCTGGCGACTATTGGATTCCACCAGAATCATAGGACGTGCGAAAGAATCTTTCATCATTTATCATACTAATCCCCAGAACCATAGAAAATTGCAATTTGATGCTATTTATCTCTATCTTATTGGGATTGTACAATTTTCATCAATTTTCTATGTTTTTGGATGACCGGATGACTATAAATGTGATTGAAATGTCATTGGTTTCCTCATTGGTTTCCTCCATCCACCATCATCCCACCTGGGAAAATATGCCAAAAAGTCCATCGCGTTTTCTGCGCCTGCGATGTCCGATGAAGCTCTGGAAAATGATCGTCAACATCGAATCCCCATCACTGACATCTGCGTCAAAAAAATGTTCATGAGCATCTCATATATCATATTATATCATATTTAATATCATACTATATCATATTATATCATATTATATCATATTATATCATATTATATCATGAACATCTGTGAAAATCCATGAAGATTTGTGAAAAATCCATGAAGAATCCTGACAAAAATCACCGTACTGTGCTTCCAGCGCTCTCCCGCACCTGGAGCCAGGTCTTGGGCTGCGCCTTGGCGAAGAAAATCCCTCAAAAATGGAGGAGGAAACATGAAAAACAACAATTATATATATATATACACATAATTATGTATGTATATATATATATATGAATAAACAACATCTCTATATGATTCCATAATTGACAACTAAACATGGGGTGAAGAGTATGGTAAACCAGTGGATTGTTGAGGTATACCTTAGGTTCAGATCTGCAACTGGACCCCAAGCTATCATCCAAGTGATTGCTCGTTTCTAATGGCGAAATTGGAACCCTCATGGTGTGAAACACCCTTACTACCGTAGGTAGTAGGTGGAAAAACCCACTGGGTCGATGGAACATGTTTTTTCTCATTGAATTTGGATTGGATGACATTTGCCATATGTTTGGGTTCCAAAAAAGTTCCATGTGAAAGTTCCGGAAAATCAGTGAACCATCAAAGTCGTCACCATCAGTCAGTCTAGTGGGATACCCATTGGACCATGACCGCAGAGTCCCGAAAACCGCAGCTGAGCCACTCTGGATTCACCAGCGAGCCAGCAGAGGCTTCTCTCTCAGGCCTTGACCATGACAGCCAAGTGCTGCACCATTTTCTTCACAAGTTCTGAACCAATGTAGTTCGCAACTCAAAAACAGGAACTCCAACATTTCAAAAGTCATGTTCTATCATCAGGTATCACTGATATGTCATGGTTTATTGGCCTAGAGTCGATGATTCCGTTTGAGAGTTGAGTGTAGAGAAATACACATCCAAATGCTGTACATAGGGGGGGTTGACTGAAACTACCTCATTCCATCTCATGCTCTGAAGCTCCATATGTTATATTTCCATATATTTCCCATGGTTCGCGGCCATGTTGCATCATTTTGGGATGTACCCTCCAGTAATTTCAGATGATGGGCTGGTAGCTTAGCTATGGAAAATGGCCCATCTACAAACGATTTTACCGACTAAAGACGGTGATGATCCATAGCAAACTGCTAAATTACCAGAGGATATTCATGCTTTGGAGCGCAACCTGCCACCAATCTGAGCATGGCACCCCAAGACACACAGCTCCGGCAGCGTCAGCTCTGTTCGCTGTCCCCGACCATGGCCGCCGGGTCCCGGCTCCCAAACAGTCTGCAGGCAGCTGTTGAAGCGGAGGCTCCAGGCTGCCTGGTGTCTTGGAACGATCTCTGAAGCTCCGATAATAAATGTTAGTAGATAACATAGACCCGGGCAAGCCGGCGGCGGAAGTTTCCCAAACATAAATGACCTATAGTTCAAAGACACCCTGTCCCGACCGTGTCCTTCCCTCGACACTCCACACCTCACACTGCACACTGCACTCTTCGCACTCCAAACTTCAAACTTCACACTCCACACTTCACACTCCACACTTCTCACTTCTCACTGCTTCCTTCACACTCCAAACCTCACACTTCACACTGCACACTTCACACTTCACAGTCCACACTTCACACTTCACACTTCACAATCCACACTTCACACTTCACACTTCACAGTCCACACTTCACACTTCGTACTTCACAGTCCACACTTCACACTTCACACTTCACAGTCCACACTTCACACTTCACAGTCCACACTTCACACTTCGTACTTCACAGTCCACACTTCACACTTCACACTTCACAGTCCACACTTCTCACTTCGCATTTCACACTTCACACTCCACATTTCACACTTCTCACTTCTCACTGCTTCCTTCACACTCCAAACTTCACACTTCACACTTCACACTTCTCACTTCGCACTTCACACTCCACACTTCACAATCCACTTCACACTTCACTGCTTCCTTCACCACTCCAAACTTCACACTCCAAACTTCACACTTCGCACTTCACACTCCACACTTCACACTTCCCGCTTCACAGTCCACACTTCACACTTCTCACTTCTCACTGCTTCCTTCACACTCCAAACTTCACACTTCACACTGCACACTTCACACTTCACAGTCCACACTTCACACTTCACACTTCTCACTTTCTACACCCCCATGCTTCCTTCACAACTCCACACTTCCCACAAATTCCCCTAACTTCGCACCTTCCACACTCCCCACTTTCACTCACACTTCCACACTTCACACTTCTCACTGCTTCCTTCAACTCCAAACCTCACACTTCACATTCACAATTCACACTGCGCTCTCGCACTACACACTTGTGTCACAGTCCACACTTCACAATTCGCAATTCACACTTCTAACTTATCATGCTTCCTTCAACACTCCAAAAACTTCACACTTCTCACTTGACCACACTCCACACTTCACAGTCACACTCCACACTTCTCAATTCTCACTGCTTCCTTTTTTTTTTTTCCCACTCCAAACTTCACACTCCAAACTTCACACTTCAACAACTCTCACTTCCCCCCCACTCGCAACTCACACTTCTCACTGCTCTTCACACTCCAAACTTCACACTTCTCACTTCGCACTTCACACTCCACACTTCACAGTCCACACTTCACACTTCTCACTTCTCACTGCTGCCTTCACACTCCAAACCTCACACTTCACACTTCACACTCACACTTCGCCCTCCAAACTTAAACTTCACACTCCACACTTCACACTTCTCACTTCCCACTGCTTCCTTCACACTGTACACTTCACACTGCACTCTTCACCCTCCACACTTCACACTGCACTCTTTGCACTCCAAACTTCACACTCCACACTTCACAGTCCACACTTCACACTTCTCACTTCTCACTGCTTCCTTCACACTCCAAACTTCACACTTCACACTTCACACTGCGCTCTTCACGCCCCACATTTCACACTACACTCTTCACACTCCACAGTTCATCTCATCTGAGCTCTTCTCACCTTATCCCAGCTCATCTCTTCTCATTTCGTCCCTTCTCATATGTCATCTATTAAGCTTTCATTAATCAATTCCCAGCACTACTACTAATCACTGTCGAACCCTTGATGCACCTACTCCATTACGATTTACGAAGTCCAGTTGCAAAAGACAATAGTATTGCGCATGCAGCCGCGGCACCAAGCAACCTTGACGCAGCCATTACAATGCGATCTGCAGAGACTGAGTTGCAAAACACAATAGAACTACGCACAACGGCGTCGGAAATTGTAGCTCCAAAACCGGATGGATCTCGACGCCAGAGCGAAAAAAAGACGATTTTGAAGCACTTTTTAAAAGAATTTTTAAAAAGAAAATCATTGGCGCCAAAATGGAGAAAATCTGCTGACAAATCAATGTCGCAGCCTTCATGCAGCCACTCCAATACGATTTACGAAGTCCAGCTGCAAAAGACAATAGTATTACGCATGCAGCCGTGGCAAGAAGCAACCTTGACGCAGCCAGCACAATGCGATCTGCAGAGACTGAGTTGCAAAACACAATAGAACTACGCACAACGGCGTCAGAAATTGTAGCTCCAAAACCGGATCTCGACGCCAGAGCGAAAAAAAGACGATTTTGAAGCACTTTTTAAAAGGATTTTTAGAAGGAAAATCACTAGCGCCAAAATGGAGAAAATCTGCTGACAAATCACTGTCGCAGCCTTCATAAGGGAAGTGCAGTGCATTCGGTTTTTCGAGCAGGGTTACTGGGTTTTATAAAAAGCTGTGTGGCAAGAAATCATCATGTTTTTGAGATGTGCAAAATGTTCAAAATCAACGGAGAGATGCACAATTTCAAAGCAAAAATTGATATCTAGTGAAAACTTGGACCAGGACAAGGACCTCGAGCTTAAATCCTTTCATTAATCTTTTGGAAATTTTCTACGCAGCTGTTGGGAACATAGATTTCAAATTTATCCGTATAGGTAGCAATCTCAAACTTGCGCTGGCTGAAATCGAATTAATGAAGGCAATCGCTCTCAGAAATTCCGAAGGAGCCAAGGCATCCTGAATAAAAGGAGCCAAGGCGTCCTGTGCCTCCGCCACATCAGGCAAGAAGAAACGGTGATCATCAGAATGCAACCTTGCTCTTGCAATGGACATGACCTAATTGTTTGAAGGATGTCTTATTGAGTTCATGATTGGAAGAAATCATGTATATCTATATATTTGGTAGCGGAGCTCACTGTGCAACAAAAAATCTTTCAATCGATGCGTTTGACTACTGAAAGCTGGAGCCGCAACACACTAATTCATCATAGTCTGCGACAGTACTGACCAATGAGGCAAACGCGTGGTGACTGACCATGAGCTGAACCAAGGAGAATTTTAGGATGCTGCTTTTCCAACCAGCTGGACAACCGAGTCTGGGTCCCAGAGAAGATTCCAAAACTAAAATATGATACGTGAAGCACATTGTTTGCTCCCACAGCAGCTACCTTTCACTGCGCTTGGCCATCATCCACAAGCTGGAAATGAATGACCACATCTTCACATTCCCAGACACCATACGCTTCGATGCAAGCTGCCCAATGGCCATCAGCCATGTAGATCGAGTGTTTCTTCACATAGTAGATGTCACTGTCGCCATAGAGGATGTCTTTGCGTCCACACAGGTAGACCTCGTTGTTGGCTAGCCAAATCAGCACAGCTTCCGGTCGAGGATCATCGGTGTCATCGATCCTGTGCCAGTCGGACTCAACAAGAAATTGCGACTCCACTTTGTACTGGTACTTTGAAGTGTCAGGGACACCAGCTGGCCATGGCATTCCTGAATCTGCAGGCGAAAACTTCCAAGCATGTGTAATGAAAGAAAAAATGGCCAGCTAACCACAAGCACGCACAAGAAAAAATCCAAATGAGACAAGTGGCCCATCCGACTTTCATGAGTCCGTGGAAGGTTGTTCCCTGACCCAGCCATATTTAATAATTTAACAAGAGTGCGCAGCTGAGCCAGACTTCCAGAAACAAGCAGCTTGATGTTTAAAGGAGCCGTATGGCATCCTGCAACCAAATGAAACAGTCAGACTCACACAGATGTACTTAGACACCTTTTCGGATTATGATCTCCCAGCCCTTGTGTGTCCACGCATCTATGGCGACCCGAAACATGATCATGACCGATAGTCATTCAAAATATCTGTGCATGCCCGTTACAAAAATGTGAAGGAGCGTTAAAGCGTCCTGCAACTACAAAGGAGCCATGAGAGGCTTCCTGCAAAGGAGCTAGAAAGCTTCCTGCATCTTCCTGCTCCCAGTCAATGCTTGCAAGCTGCACGGTTTCTTTCCCTGGGCTAGGCAATCAGAGGTCAGAGGCCGGGGACCAGGGCTACAATTTCTGAGCTGCACCCCAAAGCTACAGACAGTGGTCGTTTGCACAGCAGGCTCCCAACATTCTAGTGAAAATGTTTCGCTGCCGTGTTTCCCTAACTTGAAAAATCGCAGCGGCTTTCTAGCTGCAGCAACGGTCAGCTCTCAACATCCGTTCTGCCATGATTTTCACTCAGTGGACACGGTCAGCTGGACATAGTGCTCCGGGGGAATCACTACGCTGCCCTTCAACCACACCATTGGCTTGATACCGGTCAAGCCTTGCTTTGCCCACCTTGAAGTCCACAGGATCTGAATCGCATTGAGGTCCCAGGCATCTGCAGGGACGAGCGCTGCCAAAGTGGCAGGGTTTTGCTTTTTGGCATCGCCTTCCACCGTTGCTCTCTCAGCTCTCCAGCCAACTTCGTGCTTGAGTTCGATGTCAAAATCTCCAGGTCCATGGCAGCCTTGCGGATTGTCCTTCAGGATGTGGTAGCGGAGCAAAACCTTTTCTGGCTTGGTCTTCTTCATGTCTTCCAGTGCCTGGTGCAGGGTCAAGCTCATTCCATCCAGGATCAGAATGTCACTGCTGGAAGTGAATTTCCAAACAAGGTCAAGGGCAGGATCAAAACCTTCTCCTGCTTCTTTCGGGGTCCACCAGCGCCCCTTGTGCCAGCTGGTGAGGTGACCGGTAACGGCCACATCACTGGCTGTCGGGTTCAGCAGGACCAGGACATTGCTGGGGTAGAGCTGGAAAGTCAATCCCTTCAACTTTCCAACCCCACTGGCCTGCACCATCATCTTTGTAGCGTCCAGGCCACTGATAGCTTTGACTGTCACAGGCTGCCCTTCTGCCTGCGGCGCGGAATCCACTCGTTGACGTTTGGCTTTGGGCATGCTTGAGAGATCATGTCTTGGTGGAAGCTGACTCTCCATGTCTTCCTGCATTTGGGCCCATTCATCCTTGAAGCTGCTGGCAGCCCATTTGCCAACAAGGTCTGGTGGCAAAACCAGGTTGACGCCATCGACGATGCCAATGGCAAGCTTTGGCACC